TCTGCACATTTCTGACCGCTCAAAACCCTGATGTGACGTACAAGTCTGGCGGCTGTATGCTTTCTATGGGGTTAAGCTCCCATTAACAACACAAAGGACCTCTTTCATTCACTTATGTGGACAGACCAAATCCATTTGCTGCATCAGCTCAACACGCACTGTATACTCTCCAGTCGCACATGCTGCACTAGCAACGGCTGCGATGGCTACAATCACCTGTCAAAGAGCCACAGCCGCCGCTACTGGTGATAGCAGTGGTGGGAGAAAAAATCTATTCTGTTCAGTATCGCAATATTGTGCTCGTGCCAGGGCCAGATTAACACTTTGTTGTACCCTGGGCAACAATATTCAAGGGCCCCATCATCACGACCCCAGGATCACCATAATATGGTCATATATAGGATATATTACTGTAATATACAGTAAAAATACTCAATACTTCAAATCCTAACTGTCATTAGGTGTATTTTCATTTACAAATATTTAAAGCTCATAGAACTACGAATGCACTACTATGTCCCCTATCAAAGACATTCACTCACATATGATGCTATGAAAACAAAACACATCAGCATCTGTATAATCTGGTAACATTGACCCACTACATTGAGAGGGAAGGAAGTATCCTCCATTTTCACAAAAAATGAATAGATAAGCAACCACTTTTAAACCATTGTTTATTTAACAACACTTATTCCCAATAGAAATGTATGGAATAGATAGAGCTATCACAGAAGACCACAGACAACAGATCAAGCAACATTTTGGTCCTCTGCTCATTGAACTTGTTTTAAAATATAACAACATGCTATAGCACAATTAACCAGTCAAACATTTTAGTGCTACATAAATACACTACACAATACAATTTCTCTGAAGAAGACGAGATAAAATAAATGGTATATAATCTGGCAAAACACAAAATTTTAATCCTAAATAATGAGGAAGTGCATGTTTGCTTTCATTTGGCCTCTTATACTGGCTTTTTTCTGGACTTTGACTGTGCAAACTGATGTATGATCTCTTCGAAATCAAGGCCACTAACAAGTTCATGTTCAATGGCTAAGAGAGAAAGTGCAGAGAGCCGTGTCTGAGACATTGTGGTCCTCAGCTCATTTTTAACTCGTTTCAAAACAGAAAATGACCTCTCACCCTCACAGTTAGATACAGGTAAGGTTAAAAACAGTCTTAGTGCAACATAAACATTCGGAAATGTTGTCTTAAGTCCATGTCTGTCAAGAGCTTGCAGCTGCTGTACAGGTGAAGTTTCATACTGCACAAAGTGCTTGAACTGAATAAGTTCATCTGACAAGGAACTATCCAGATCTGTTGGATAAGTGGAGCTCAGTTTAGCATCTCTTACACGCACATCACAATCGTCACAGTCCCTCTCAAACAAAACCACAAAGAGGTCACACACATGTGAAAGAAAAAAAAAACGATGTCCAGAATCACTGTAAAACCTGCTGCTCCTCCTGCTGATGTTTAGACACAAGTCCTGTGTGTGTGCAGATGTGATCTAAAGCCAAGGGCCGCTAGAAAAATCATGTTTTACATGAGATTTTAATGGGAGACGCGTTGGTGCGCGCACAAAATTAGAAATCTGCTGCGCTCTAATTTAGGATGGATTTCTAATTTTGTGCGCGCACCAACGCGTCTCCCATTAAAATCTCATGTAAAACATGATTTTTCTAGCGGCCCTTGGCTTTAGATCACATCTGCACACACACAGGACTTGTGTCTAAACATCAGCAGGAGGAGCAGCAGGTTTTACAGTGATTCTGGACATCGTTTTTTTTTTCTTTTATAAAGTCTCGCGTCTGGCCAAACCAGCACAGAGACCATGAAGACAAACACATGCATGTGATTTGTGTTGCTCTACATCAGTCCTCTGGCCCGTACTGTCCTCTACACTGCTCCATAGACTACACAGGGAGAGCATCAGAAGACGCGGACCTGCGCGCACGGTCAGTGTAGATACTCCAAAAAAATGTTACGCGCAGAGAGCGCGCAGTAAACGCGTACGTGCTGTTTACGCCTACTGTGTAAATTCCCCGTAACAGTATTTTGCTCGTGCCCTTGCTGTCTGGGCCCTTTAGATGGGCCGCCCATGACGGCCCTCCGTAGGCCCTGGGCCCAGACAGCAAGGCCCTTTAGATGGGCCGCCCACGGAGGGCCCCTGGGCAATTGCCCAGTTGCCCGTATGGTTAATCCGGGCTTGGCTCGTGCTATTAAATCGTTAGAGCAGAGCAAAGTTTGCCAATATTTAATGCATAATTATCTGTTTATTTGTTATATCAGAATCAGAATCATTTTTATTGCCACGTAAGTAACTGGAGGTCACAGACTTGGAAATTGCTTTGGCTCAGTGCAACAGTCAGAAAGAGATAATAAAAATAAGAATAAAAAACACTTCTAAAGAAGAAATTTAAATTTAAAATAGAGTTACAGTTACTATTTACAATATACAAGTGCACATGGTGCACACAATGTAAGGTGACAGCAGTACAGTGAAGTAAAGTGACGTATGATGGGCAGTAAAGTGACTTTATAAAGGGCGGGGGACAGGTTAAGAAGTGTTCAAGAGTCCAACAGCAGAGGGGAAGAAACTGTTCTTGTGGCGGGAGGTTCTAGTCCTGATGGACCGCAGTCTCCTGCCTGAGGGGAGTGGTTGGAATAGTCCATGTGCAGGGTGAGAGGGGTCGGCTGTGATACGACCAGCCCGGCCTCGAGCTCGGGCGACGTACAGGTCCTGCAGCGATGGAAGGCTGCGGCCCGATCACTTCCTCTGCAGAGCGCACAATGCGCTGTAGTCTCTGTTTGTCCCTGACTGTGGCTCCAGCGAACCACACGGTGATGGAGGAGGTGAGGATGGACTCGATGATGGCCGTGTAGAACTGCACCAACATCTGTGCAGGCAGCTTGGCTTTCCTGAGCTGCCGCAGGAAGTACATCCTCTGCTGGGCCTTCTTGATGAGGGAGCTGATGGTCGGCTCCCACTTGAGGTCCTGGGTGATGGTGGTGCCCAGGAAACGGAAGGACTCCACAGAGGTGATGGGGGAGTCCATCACGGAGGGTGGGGGCGGGGGGACAGTGCTCTTCCTGAAGTCCACAATCATCTCCACTGTCTTCTGGGCGTTCAGCTCCAGGTTGTTACCACTGCACCAGGACACCAGCCGGTCCACCTCCCTCCTGTAGGCGGACTCATCGTTGTTGGAGATGAGTCCAATGAGGGTGGTGTCGTCCGCGAACTTGATCAGCTTCACGGAGTCGTGGCTGGAGGTGCAGTGGTTGGTGTACAGGGAGAAGAGCAGGGGAGAAAGAACACAGCCCTGTGGGGCTCCTGTATTTATAATCCGAGAGTCCGAGACATTCTTCCCCAGACGCACTCTCTGCTTCCTGTCCGTCAGGAAGTCAGTGATCCACCTGCAGGTGGAATCGGGCACGTTGAGCTGGGAGAGCTTGTCCTGGAGCAGGGATGGCAGGATTGTGTTGAAGGCAGAGCTGAAGTCCACGAACAGGACCCTGGCGTAGGTCCCCGGGGAGTCCAGGTGCTGTAGGATGTGGTGGAGGGCCAGGTTAATGGCGTCGTCTACAGATCTGTTTGCTCTGTAGGCGAACCGCCAGGGGTCCAGGAGGGGGGAGGTGAAGGACTTGAGATGGGAGAGAACCAGGCGTTCAAATGACTTCATGACGACAGACGTAAGTGCTACAGGTCTGTAGTCGCTGAGTCCTGTGATCCTGGGCTTCTTCAGGACGGGGACAATGATGGAGGATTTGAAGCAGGCCGGGACATGGCAGGACTGCAGAGAGGTGTTGAAAATGTCAGTGAACACAGGAGTAAGCTCACTGGCGCAGTGTCTCAGAGTGGCCGGAGACACGTGGTCCGGGCCAGGAGCTTTGCGGGGGTGCAGCCTCAAGAAGAGTTGTTTAATCTCTTTAGAGGCTATTGTTAGGCTGGGGGCAGGGCTGATGGGTGGGTCGTTAGAGTAGTGGGGGGGGGGGGGGAGGGAGAGGTGTCAGGGGCAGCATCAAAGCGACTGATATCATAGAAGCTACCTGATTGAGCTTCTTCCTTTTAAGGGGCGGTCAGACCGGATCCTAAATTGCGTCCAGTTTCAAAGTCCATGACGGAGGTTTTCAACTATATCTGTCAGAGGGCCAAAGTGAGCTGTGGTCTGAGCGGCCCTTTAACCTGTAGATGGTTCTCATAAAACGTCTGTGTTGAGAAAAAGCTCTAGTTTTCCTTCCAAAATAATGTCTGTATTGAAAAGTGCTTATTAAAATGATGGAATTCTGATGTCACAGCTTGGAGAGATCTTTATTATAGTTCAATATTGTCTTTGGATTCAGCCTCTGCCATGTTAAAACCATTATTGAATGAAATGGGTTTTCCCCAGTAGTTCTTTACAGTAAGTGGCCTTTTGTTGGAGCCTCAGTGGGACAGCTGTGTGTGGGAGTCCGGCCTCCTCCTGCTGGGACCTGGACTCTGGACTCTGTTTGGTCTGGACTTTTCGTTTGGTCTCCGTTTGGACTGGACCCCGGCCCTGTGTGTGTCTGGGTGCTCTGCTTTCATCTGCAGCCTTTGTTCTCACCAAAGGGAATATTGTAGCGCTGAGTTTGACCTTTTTAATGTGCAAACTTTAAAAATAAACAGAATGATTTTCACATGGACAATATATGTTTTCTCTTTTGGATCTGTAGATGGGATAATATATTCAATCTATCTATTCCTGTATCGCCCTAAATCACAACAGTTTTTATCTCTACTTTGCTAAGCTGTTGATTCGCCAACATAGATCAGAGAATCAAACAGTTTAAACTCAGGAAATGAAACGATAAAAGACATAAAGGGAGGATGACCAATGTCCATAAATGTTATTATGGACAAGGCAAGGGCGTTGTTGAGTGTCGCTGTGTCAGACGGAATGAAACTGTACTTTGGATTGTAAATAGTAATAGGAAAAGCAACTTAACCGTCCTCTTGTGTTTGTGTTCAGGAAAGAGCAGAGCATCCTGTCTCCGCAGAACTGCTGGAACCTTCTCCTGCTGCAGGTGAAGCGAGAGAGCAGAGACCACGCCACGCTGTCCGACCTCTACCTCAACAACATCATCCCACGCTTCGCACAGGTCAGCGAGGACTCGGGACGCCTCTTCAAGAAGGTAAAGCGTCGCATTCCTCTGGAGGCCTGTCACTGCAACTCTCAGAGCAGTCAAATTGACGACTTTTAGTTTTGGAAGTGTAATTATTCCGCTTTTGGTCTTTCTATCGTTGTAACTTTTTCTCTCTTTCTATGTGTAATTTATTTCTATGTTATTATTTTTATGAAATTATCTTATAGTCTTTTTTTTTGTATGAGGATGCACCAATGCCAGTTTTTTCAAAACCGATACGAGTACGAGGATGTTGCCGCTACCAAATATACGAGTACTGCGTTGTGTTATCCATGGGGATTCATAAAACTAATACAAGTGAAATTTGAAATGTTTTATTTCTCATTTCAACAATAAGAAAATGCTTTAAATCAATTAAACTTTTTAGCAATTGTAAGTAAGTCAGTAATCTAGTAAGTAATCTTTATTTATATACCGCCTTTTCACTGCACATCGGAGTCTCAAAGCGGTTTACAATTGTGATTTTTGGGAGTGGGGGTCACCAGTACAGGAGGCACATGCCAGACCTATTGCACATATTTTTAGTGGTAGGGGAAACCGGAGTACCCGGAGGAAACCTACGCAGACACAGGGAGAACATGCAAACTCCACTCAGAAAGGCCCTGGTCCAACCGGGATTCGAACCCAGGACCTTCTTGCTGAGAGGCGAGAGTGCTATCCACTCAGCCACCGTGCCGCCGTTCTAACAGTGAACAATAAGTGCCACTGTCATATTCCACTCATACAAATGCTCTGTTGTAGAGTTGGTTGGTTGTGTGCTCCGGTGCTAGCAAAGGTGCTATACTCCGTGTGGTGGTGAGTTTTCAGATGTTTGATCAAGTTGCTGGAGTTATACGTGTTTGTTTTGGACCCACCACACATTAGGAACTCTGACTCACTACAGAACTTTAAATCACTTCTCAAAACCCACCTGTTTAAAACCGCCTACACATAACTGTTTATTTTTAGCGTTTATCTTTTTCTTCTGTAAAGCGTCTTTGAGTGTCCATTTAAGTCCATGTATTCTTATTATTATTATTACACAACGTACAGTCCGCTTTACTTTAAAAAAAACTGGCATACAACTGACATTCGTTAGCCGCTAAGCTAACCATGCACTTATTTGCTGCCGCCTTTCAGAGATCACCATGGCAACACCCGCCACACAGCCTCAGAACTAATCAATACTAACACTGACTATTGCCCATATAAGGAAATTGGCTCCAGCTAGTTTATGTTCAAATTGGCTTCTTCCGCTTAAAGGCTAACACTATGGTGACGTCAGCGCTTATTTAGGGACATTTATTAACATTTATGGAAATAAATGCTGCTTTTGTGATTTTGCGCCAGACAAAAATATCTTGAATTGTTGTGTGTTCTATGGGAAGGATTAGCCTAAACAATATTTCGTAGCTATCCTAGTAAACCATATTCAAATGAGTTTGTTATGACTGAAAACTCCTGATAGATTCAAACTATGAAGAGCTGGAGCTGCAGAGACGAAGCACGAGGGGAGAAGGAAAATAAAGAGAAAGAAAAGAATGAGGGGAAGAAACACTGCGGAAGAGAGATGCTTGTGACCAGAGCCTCTCGTCTGTCCATAAATCAGGTCTGACATAAAACAGATGCAGCTGAGGATTGAGCACTGGACAAAACGTGATATGGATTTAGTGGAAAACAACTCGAGTAACAAATGGAATTATGGAAAACAACTTTCTATGGTTTGACCTTGATGCGATTTTGGTGCATTCATTGTTATGGCTGCTAAGTGCTCAGTCAGATCAGATCGGAGAGACATTTCCCCTGAACTGGAAAGGCTTCTATTTTATTAGCGTCTACTGCGGCCGGTTGTTTCATATTAGGCCTGTCACCAAATCGGAGATGGCTTTACAGTAGAAAAGAACAAAAGTAGTCGGTGCAGAAAGAAAAAAAGTCTGTTGTGTATTTCAGAGATAGAACTGAAACTCTATAAAATCAGCAATTTAAGAACACCAAAAATGCAATATCAAAGACAATGGTTGAAGCTGGGCGGACTAACCTTTCTCCATAAATAATAAATTGTGTGTGTCCCGACAGAATACCCTGTGAGTATTGTTCAGGCTGAGAGCTGAGTGCGACGTGGTCACTTTTCTGGTTAAAGTTAAAGATGTGACAGAGGCCAGAAAACACATGTTCTAGAGCAAGGACATGGATTTTAGTATATACACTGCAAAAAGAGATGAAAAATAAGGCATACATTGCTCAAATTTGATAAAATCTATGTTATTTTGTGTCACATTTTGACTGCCTTAAAAGATTTTCCAATGGGACACAGCAAAATGATGTTGTTTTAAAAAGATACAAGAAATGTCTCCCTTGGGAATGGTAAAATAAAGCAACAGATTAGATTAGATTTAACTTTATTGTCATAACAAATAAAGTTAAACCAGTAGTGCAATAGCGCAAGTATAGGATTATATTTACAACACAGATACATGTATTTGTATATATGAGAGACTGTACAAGCTGCTATTTCGAGTATATACATTAATTATGTTCCATTACATTTTTTACAGTTCTTGAAAGGCCTTTTTACCAGTCAGAATGTACTCGGATTAAGAGAAAAACCACTCGATTCAAGCAATTATTACTTCATATTTTATCATATTTTGTGTAGTTCCATTATTTGTGGTTTTAAAGTTAGGTCTCACAGCTTTAACGTTAAAACACACTGTAAAAGTAGCTGTTAGTTTTAGAGTTCAGCTAATAATCTTGCATTGAATCAAACGGTGAGGCGTTCAAAGACTCCCCAGACTTTTACTTGGGCCGTAGCAGAAGCGTGGTTTCTCTTTGACTCACGTCCGCTCGCCACATAAACAGGAAGCACATGGTCACTGCAGGTGCTGGTGCATCTTACGGACAATTAGACCAGGGTTCCCCATTGTTGCGTGAAAAGCAAAATTGCCAAGGCCCATAAAAGCAACACAACTTGACTCATGTATATACAACAGGCAGAGGGATGAGCCATCGTGGGTTTTATACAGTTGTTTGCGTTTGGTTTGTTTTAAAGTATGCATGACAGATTAGATAGTCATCATTGGTAAAGATTTCACAGTGGTCTAATCCCTTACTCTAATGCGATTCATTCATTTTTTTTCTGGTGTGTAATTTTACAGCGTGCTTTTCATGCACCTGCAACAACATCACATTCAATATCATGTGATCGGGAGAATAACATGACGGTTACATTTAGTCAGAGGAAAACCTTTGTAGCTTTTGTGCACCGCATCGGTCACTTCAGAGGTCGCTCTCTGGTCTCTCTCTCTGGGCTCTCTCTCTCTGGTCTCTCTCTGGTCTCTCATAGGTCTTTCTCTCTCTTTGGTCTTTCTCTCTCTCTATGGTCTCTATCTGGTCTCTCTCTGGTCTCTTACTGTCTATCTCTCTGGTCTCTCTCTCTGAGCTCTGTCTCTGCGCCCAGGTCTCTCTCTCTCTGGTCTCTCTCTGGTCTCTCTCTGGTCTCTCTTTGGTCTCTCTCTTGTCTCTTTTTGGTCTCTCTCTGGTCTCTGGTCTCTCTCTGGTCTCTCTCTGGTCTCTCTCACCGGTCTCTCTCTCTCTGGTCTCTCTCACCGGTCTCGCTCACTGGTCTCTCTCACTGGTCTCTCTCACTGAGCTCTGTCTCTGGGCTCTGTCTCTGGTCTCTCTCTGGTCTCTCTCTCTGGTCTCTCTCTCTCTCTGGTTTCTCTTTGGTCTCTCTGGTCTCTCTCTGGTCTCTCTGGTCTCTCTTTGGTCTCTGGTGTCTCTCTCTTCTACTTGTATCCTGGCGATAAACAAGAAACCACTGTCATCTTGTTCCTGGTATCTCGCAGGCGTCTTTGCACCACGCACACTTCCTGCTGGCTCAAACCACAGCAGCTCTGATGGTTCTGGCTGAAGCGAGTCTTGAGTTTGTGGTTTAGATCAATCTCCCACAGGAAACACGAGCGGGACAGAGTTCACGGCTCCGATGACAAATGGGCGGGGTTGGTTGCGGGTGATTGAGCTTTGATTGGCGCCACGGTCCACATAATGACACCGAACACCCGCCTAATGTTGTGTTTAGTGCCACGAGGACTTATCCACTGACAAACTGTACGTCAAGCCATTGTTCCCTAAGTAAAAGTGTTTTCTTTGTACTGCTGTGTCTTAAGAGATTTAACAAAGTCACTAATAGCACATCCCAATGTCTTTAAGTCCTTTGCGAGTCACAACATGTCCAGTCGTGTGTATACCTGTAGAAATTATAATTTAACTTTTCTTATGACTAAAAAACAAACGTTGCCAGAAAATCTACAAAAAGAATAGATCTTGGAGTGCTGTAGACACAACCCTGACCACTCGTACAGCCTCTGGGTCAATACAAGATCAAATACGCAAAAACATCCACTCGTTCACATAAAAAGTTGTCCATTGCTTCTTTAAAATATACTTCTAAAAATGGGGAATTGCAGTCAGGATTAAGAGATTCTTTATTTGTCCCACAGCGGGGAAATTCCAGTGTTGCATCACCAGTCACAGAACAGTTGGAATGAGGAGCACACAGTATAAGATAATTGAATAATAAACGTATATTGGAGGATTTTCTACTTACGGGTGGATCATGAAGACTATTGGTCCTCCCAACTGTCAATCATTCTAGTGATACGTGCTAGTCCAATAAGAGCAGAGAGTTTTGTTAAAAAAGTGGAGATTGCGGTTCTTTCCTAAAATTTGGGACAATCCTCCTTTACACCTTTAATTATAGCACAACTCTAAACTTAAATAAGTAAATAAAACTAGTGTATCAGCCGAGCACGCAACTGAAGGGACAATTAGTATTTTTATACCTCTGAGCGACACTGACGAAGCATCGCAAATTAGTAAAAAATCTATACACAAATGGCTCTAACGACAACTTTAAATGGATGCATGAAAAGACAAATATTCTATTTCTGGTTTCAAAATAAAACTCAAAATCCAGTTGAATGTGACAAAAACACATGCCTAATCACTGTTTACTCTGATCACTCATCCGCAGCGTGTGTGTGTGTGTGTGTGTGTGTGTGTGTCTGTGTGTGTCTGTGTGGTCATCCTCCTCCTCTTTAGCTCCTGTTTGTGCTCCTCCATTAAACTCCATTACCCACAGTTCATTGCTCCCTGTCTGACGGATGAGACGACAGTTTGTTGCCCGCACACTTGTCTGGCCTCAGATGACGGACGCTCGTGTAATGACAGTTTAGACCAAATGGGAACACGCCACAGGAAATGACCGCCTCACGCACCGGGACTTAAGACTTTAAATGTTCCAAACCAGGCCTAACTGGACTAAACCAGGCGTGAGAACAAGGCATTGGACACTAACAAAATAATGTGAATAGTAATTGGTTGTGGTACTTTGCTGGAAAAGAGACAATAAACCATGATTCATTACACAGTGTCATTAGACATTATTTAGATGGTATTTGCTTGGCGGCACAGTGGCTGAGTGGATAGCACTCTCGCCTCTCAGCAAGAAGGTCCTGGGTTCGAATCCCGGCCGGACCAGGGCCTTTCTGAGTGGAGTTTGCATGTTCTCCCTGTGTCTGCGTAGGTTTCCTCCGGGTACTCCGGTTTCCCCTACCACTAAAAATATGTACAATAGGTCTGGCATGCGCCTCCTGTTCGGCGACCCCGCTCCCATCTCTGTGTGGAGTGAGAGACAAGTGCCCAAGAATAACAATTGTAAACCGCTTTGTGACTCTGGTCTGTGAAAGGCGGTATATAAATAAAGCTTACTTACTTACTTGTAATGTGTTTTGCTTTTGTAAAGTTGGAAATCTGAAGTCAATCGATGCATCAGTTGTGGATTGATTATCATTCATTAAATATTGGTTTTATTAAAATACAGTTCAGTGTTAGCCTGGTCTTATCCATCCGTAAACTCCGCTCAATCATCATTTCCTGCATGTAACGTCTGGGTCTTGTCCCTGCGTGAGCGATTACAATCGGTTGAATTCCATTCGACCAATCAGCGAGCGCGGGAGGCGGGTGTTTTAGTTAGATGTGGGTGACGTCAAGAGAATGCGATAGTAAAGTAATCCATTCTGGTTCTAGCAAATGTAATTACTGGCAAAGATTGTGGCGCTACTCCCCAAGGCCTCCGTTAGCGTCAAAGGAGATAGCTAAAGCTAGCCTAATAGCTAAAAGCATCTCACTCGGGCGCATTTCATACGTCACGGTAAACTCCAATCGTTTCAATCTGTAAAAGGAGTTAACCTCCGACCTGTTAACGAAGTCAGTGGAGCAAATCCAGACCGTAGTGCGAAATGTAATTTGTACTATGGTGTGGTACGGCCAGGCTAGTTCAGCGTACCACAATCATAAAAGTCTCCAACAACTCTAACCGGCTCTACTCTACTCTACTCTACTCATCAGTACTCTTCTCTACTGTACTTTACTCTACTCTACTCAGCTGTATTCAACTGTACTCTACTGTACTCAGCTGTAATCTGCTCTAGTCTGAGAAAAAGGGTTGGTTGTTATTGTGATTGTATTGAATAATCATTACAATGAATCGCTAAGATTGCATACTACATACTCTCCCTTTAATTGCTTCTACTTTTAATACTTTTTAAAACTACTTTAGAGCTATTTCATCTGGATTATTGATTATATTGTTTCTCTATTATCAGTCTGTATGTGTGCATTTCCTCACTATCGTTCTCAGTTTCTCAGACCACTGAAGAAAAATGATACACGTTTTTGTTTTCCCCCGGCTTTTAAACTAAATCTTTTACACATTTTATTTTCTTCCAGAGCAAAGAAGTGGGCATCCAGCTGCAGGAAGACCTCATGAAAGTCATGAATGAACTGTACACGGTAAGATCCATCTCCCATGAACAAACCACACACACGCAAATCTCGTAAACGTCACGGGCATTCCCCTCCAACTAAAAAAAAAAAAAAGCACAGATTTTCTTACCTTTTTAATAAGCAATTCATCTTTCTTTTACTCTTGCGTCGCTTTGGGGCCTCGTCGTGTCGCGTTACACGTTGGAAATCCAGCCAAGTTCTGAGGTAATCACTGAGATTTCCAGTCTGCGAAAAGTGGGTTAAGTTTCCTACTAAGCAATGAATCAGTGCAGCTATAAAAGGCCAAGCTAGCAATTACAGCATATAGCCAGATAGAAATAGGATTGGTGTTTGAACTGGTCCATGTTCTTATGCCATAGATCTGTAGTATTTGTCAAAGGGGGGGATGAGGGGAAAACGATATATAATGATAGATGTGGCGGTTGTGGTCGCAGAAATAAGGCTGAACAAGCAAATCCGGAGCAGGAGGGAGGGAGTGCTGGAGGTTTGAGTGGATCGCAGTGACAGTAGGATACACAAGTGCTCGGCGTGTGTTTGGATCCGAGGAGTCTCCCCTTCCACTTGAGATGAAGTGCTTGTTTGTGTAAGAGACCCAGAGGTCACAGTCGGGTCCAAAAAGACTTCATGTTTATTTATGCGTTCCACTTTACGCTCAAATTTGACGGTGCAAAGCTGAAGCTCAGTGTGTAATGTAATGGCTGTGTGTGTGTTCAATGAAAGAGTATGGAGCAGGTTTCTGATTGTACTGCTGGTTTTCAGTAATTCAATTGAATTCAATGTGTTTTTGGCAGTTTACTCGGAGGACTTTACAAAACTAGTTGACAATAATCAACATTTATCAACATTTACGGGCATTGGTCATCTGCCCCTTATGGACCAATGGCTCTGTGTGTTTTTATCATTGCATTTCTTGTTTGAACTTTGGCAAATTCGGTAACACTTTAGATTAGCCCTCACTTATTAACTGCTAATTTGTGTTTAATTGATGGTTAATTATCTCTTAATTGGTATTAGGGACTTATTCAGGCCTTATTCAACATCTAACTAACTACTAACTGACACTTTCCCATTTGGGTTTGGCTACTGCTAGGGCTGGGGTTAGGGCTAACGTTAGGGCTATGGCTAGGGCTATGCTTAGGGTTAGGGTACACTAATTATCACTTAATTAGCTGTTAATTAGTGAGGGCTAATCTAAAGTGTTACCGAATTTGCCAAGTTCAAACAAGAAATGCAATGATAAAAACACACAGTCATTGGTCCATAAGGGGCAGATGACCAATGCCTGTAAATGTTGATAAATGTTGATTATTGTCCATGAATGTTATTGAGTATTTAGTCCTGAGTCATGGACTGGTGCTATTAGCATCAGATGGCAGCTCTGTAACCCCCCCGACCCAGAAAATGGACTAATAACAGGGGAAGATAAGTAATGAATAGTCCTGAGTCCTGTAGATCCAGAAGTCAGGCCGAGGACAAAGGCCACACGGTGCAACTGGTTAAGAATCAGAAAACTTTTTATTGCCATTGTGAGTAACAGGAAGTCAGAAACTAGGAAAGTGTTGTGGCTCTCGGTGCAAACAACTTGTACAAATAAAAATGGAATGAAGCATGCATAAAAAGAAAATCAAACAAAAATCTATATCGCAATTCTTAAAATGACTACGATATACACTTATTAAACCTTATAATTCATCTGTTATATACAAAGCTAAAAACAGGCAATGAGTTAGATACAGCGGAGAAAGGTCTAACAGTGAGACCATAGACTGTTTTCAGATGGACACAGCTAACCCGCTAGCTCAAGGAAGCCCAATAGGGAAGTGCTCATGGATAAAGTTTTGCTCCAACCAGCTCTGGCTCTTATCGACTCAGTGATTGTTCGTGTCACCCTCACCGTTAGCAGATATTAGTTTTAAGAGTTTGCGGGGGAAACTCCAACTTGGCTTAGCGTCATGTCTGCTCCTCTGGCAGTAGATCGTTGTTGGGATTTGAATAAATTGACTCCAAATGCAGATCCAAGGAGTAAATTTAAAGTACATATATTATAACAAAAACACTGGAGAAACAAAAACATGTCCAAACAAGCTCCATGAAAAAACAATGGGCACGCTGGTCCTCCGCCTGAGGAAATACAAAAACCTTCTACCGCAGTCAATAGACGAACTGGCAGTGGCTGAGTGGATTCCCAGCATACAAATACTCTCCCCAATTGGCCTGATGGGAGACAGGTGGGCTCTCCCAGCAGCCACCTGCAATGTGGGAGGAGACTCACAGACACACAAGGGGAGGGGAAGACGGAGGAGGAAGGAGGAGCACCAAAACTGCCCTCATGAGACAATTGTTTGTTGAGATGCAGGAGATCTCGATACGCTAACCATTTCTTTTCACAAGCTGGGATCAGTTTAAACAAAGCACTTTAATGATCTTGCACTTGTATTGAAACTGTTTTTGTTGATTGGTTTCACAGTGACAGTTGTTTCCTCAACTTTTTAGCTTGTTTTATTTACATACTTGTCTGGTGCACACTGTGGACTTTTTGTGCATGTTTTCCAATGTGGTTTTACTGCAAATGGCAAATAAAATAAATCTGAATCTGATCTGTTAATAACGTCCTCTGAGACACTGCTGTTGTGATTCAGGCTTTTACACAAACACATTGAATTGAATGGAATGTGCTGGTCTGTGTTCCAGGTGATGAAGACCTACCACATGTACAACACAGACAGCATGAACGCCGAGTCGAAGCTGAAGGAGGCGGAGAAGCAGGAGGAGAAGCAGATGGGCCGATCAGACCGACAGACCCCGCGCTCCCCGGACACACTGTCCTCCATCAAGTCTGAGGACAAACCAGTGCGCCGCTCCAGCGTCAAGAAGATCGAGAAGATGAAGGAGAAGGTACGCTCTACACCAGGCATGTCAAAGTCAAATACATCAGAGGGCCAAAAAAACAAATTTGCTGCGAGCCGAGGGCCGGACTGGTTCAATGTTTATTAACTCATTGCCTGCCAGCCTATTTCAGAACAGGTACTCCCATATTGCCAGCAGTTTCTGATGATTTTTATAGATTTTTCAAGAACAACAGAATATTGTGTACTATATCTGAAATCCGAAACCAGATTCTGAAAGAATAGACTGTCTACTTTCATCAGCAAAAAGAATTTAGTTTCTAGCTTGTAATCCCCAGTTGAGTAGAGGGAAGTTTTGCTGAAATCACCAAAAAGTTGAGAAAAAAGAGGCACAACAAGTGCATCTAGCTGTTTTCAAACCATTCAGAGAGCGCGGCTGGGATCTTTCATTTCACGGTAGTCACTTTTACGCTTCTTAACTTTTCTCTGCTCTACGATGTCCCTGATGTACTCCTTTGTGATGTACTCCTTTATCTAGCTGTTTTCAAACCATTCAGAGAGCGCTGCTGCCACCTGCTGGCTTGATTCAATATGCTCTCAAGCTTATCCCCATACATATTAGATATAATAGCCATCTGGGAACATGAAAATAGCGGAAAACGCAATTGACGTAATAGTGCGTCAATGGCAGGCAACGGGCCATGTAAAATTAATTCGCGGGCCGGATTTGGCCCGCGGGCCTTGACTTTGACACATGTGCTCTACACAAATGCTATAGATAGATACAGTAGATACTTTATTGATCCCTGTAGGAGAAATGGAGGTGTCCAGTAGCAGCAGAAACACATCCATCCACACAAACAAAACAAAAGCTGACAATAAAATGCAACAGTCTTTCAGGTCACAGCAGCAGAGGTGGAGCCGGCTTGGTTCGGACCATTTTCTCTGCTCTGGTCCAAAATGAGAGGCTAAATTCTTCGTTAGCATTTTCCAAAAAAGTGGATTTTCGGCTGATCCGCTCGTGCATCACAGGACACAGAACAGTAGGAAAGAGGGCACACAACATAGAATGATACTAACGGCTTATTAACCGAGCGCGAGGTCTGTATGGAGAAGTATCAGACCGCGGCCTTAATGTACTGTGCAAAAAGGCCAAGCTCTGATATTTCTCTGAACAGACCGAGCAATCAAGGTTAATAAATGTTTTATTATATGACTCTTGTCAGTGTCTTTACCAATGCTTTTGAGATATTTGTGAAGTATGTTCATGTCCGACTTGGTATTGTGTGATACGGGCTGAGGACCAATTGTCATGGTAACGGTCCGAGATGGGAAAATATCAGACCGCAAATCAACCAATCAGAGCGCGCGTACGATCCAAGTCATATAATAAAAGTGAATATCAAGTATGGGCTCTATGCACCACTTCCGCGTTTTAGTTTAAGTCAGGGGCGATTTTAGACTTTCAGCTTCAGGGGGGCTTAGCACCTTGGGGTGGGAGGGGCATAGGTAGATGGAATTTCAATATGAGGGAAATTTATTGTAATAATAGTACAATGATACATAATTAGAACAGACCGGCTCATGAGTACAACGTACAACAAACTGCAAAATTAGTTACAGAAATGACACGCTCTTACAACATATCTTAGCTCAGACAAAACACTGCATGCTTGAACACCTTGAAGCAACATCTGACTAACACCAGAAAACCTCTTCTCAAGTTCAGCCAGCGTACGATCCAAACAAGGAAACAAAAGTTTCCTTTGATTATCCACAGACTCTGAGGAGACATCAGCTTCCCTCCTTGTCCTTCATGAGGATTCCACAACATCTAATTTTCTTGCCTTAGCTCGTTTACCTGAAGAAGGTTCTGGAATCTCATTTGCCTCACACAGAATTTGTATAAATGTTTGCAGCCGTGACATCACGTGGTTTCTTTTTAAGGGAATCAATAATGGCATCTTTGTAAGCTACAGTAAGGCATGTGCTAACAACAACAACAACAGCAAATTATTCTTGTATAGCCCTAAATCACAACAGAAATCATCTGAGGACTTCTCAAAACCATTGAAATCACCAACACAGATCAGAGAATCAACAGTTAAAACACAAAAAATACAAATATGAGTTGGTCCATAGGGAGCGACCAATGTCCATGAATGTTGATAAATGTCATTCATGTTGTAGAATGTTGAAGTGTCCTGGATCACCACATCCTTCTAGTTGGACACTAACTGCCCAACAAACCCTCCTGCATCGGCAAGGAAAAACTCATTACAAAAAAACCCAGCGGGAAAAAAGTGAGAAACCTCCAGGAGACCCACACTGAGAGGATCCGCTCCACACGGTGCTAAGTCAACATTCTCTTTTTGCAGATTCCTGTGCAATCCTGAAGTGGTTGAAAGTAGAGCCTCAAAAACTAGTCACATCTTAAGATCAGCTTGTTCGATTGTGCTCGTATTTGTTAAGAAAATGATTACAAGACCCCAACTTCAAAACATGGCCCTCAAAGCAAATATGATAAATAATAATTCCATCGCTCGCACAACTCATGCTTGGACCAACATTTGTGTTGTTAGTGTCTTACCTGCTGTTCTCACTATGCCTCTGATCAATATTCTCCTTCCCTTTAATTGTTGTCAACTATAAGACACATTTAATATGCATGAAGTACACTATAAAATAAATATAGCACCTATTAACTTAAAAGATCACATCACAAAAAAAATTATTCTGATTAGCTTGACAGACACACAGACAGACACACAGACACACAGACACACACACACACACACGAGGTCAGAGAAGCAGACGCAGCGGGACCTGAGCAGGTGCGCGCCAGCGTCTTTTTTTTTTTCTTCGCGGTGCGTTCTCTGCATGAAGTGGAATGACTCCAGAAATGTTTAAATAGATGGTAACAACGAATTTTACGAAACAATAACAGTATTTATAAATAACCTGGATGCGTTTGAAAAATCCGTAAAAATATATATATATATTTTTTTTATATTTCTTGTTCTATAATTTTAGGGGTGCTTGACATATATTAAAAAGGGGCTAGCTACGTCCCTGGTTTAAGCAACACTTGACTTCCGGTGCGCGGGGATTGGCTTGAGTTTCACTGGGGTTCACCAGATGTTTATGCAAGATCCTAATTAATGCTCAAACAGGAATTAAACTGTGAGGATGCTGGGTATTTTTGCTTTTGTGCTTTTATAAAATTAACTAATCTCTCTGAGTGGCCACAGTCAAAGCTATTCCTCAGTGAAAAAGCACGTCCACACTTTTGGGTCAGTCTCACAGCTGAATGTATCAATCTAATTACTAAAAATGTCACTACAACTCAACACAATGTCATAGCAATAGCACAGACAGGAAGTAAACGAGCTGTTCTTTGTTTACAGGAAATGATGTCACGCCTCCCCGTGAATATAGCCCATTATAGTGTTATTGAGTGAAATAGCACCTTTAGCTTAATGTGTAAAAGCATTAACATGTAAAGCAGTGAGGTGTATCGGGGTATTGCACTAGTGTGGAGTGCTGGACCCGATGCCTTTTTTAATATAGCAGCTTACATTTTTTTACTAATAATATCCTTAAGTAGAACTGATACAGAACATTTACAACAACTATTTGTCTGTCGAGGCTGCCCCACATAAACCATGAACAAAAGGACATTTCATTTGTCAGATGCGTCGCAGCAAAGACTGTGACATTGATTTAGTGAAGACGAGCCCTGGGACTTGATCCTCCACAGTTTTTCATCTGAAATCAATATCGGCGTGATCCCAGCAGCACCTTGTTTTCCCGCGGCACGAGCGTTCGACTCCAGCTGCTGCATTTAGAACGAGGCCAGGACATACGTGTTTTCGTCTGTTTAGAATTGTTCTGTGTGGAACGTGTGTGTCTTTGAGTGCTGTTGATTTTAGATGCAACCCTCTCGATGATAAGACGTTATGTTTGATCCTTTTGTTAATCACAGCCTGGCTTTGATATCTGTCATGGGGCAAAGATGAAATACAGCTTTTTCACACATTTTAGGCCCTTTTTGAACTGTGTTTCATTATTTTGAGCTCATAACAGGTTTTCAATATGTTCTTTACTATGATGGCTGTTTAAATAGTTCATATTTTAGCGTATTTGACCCAGTGGCTATAGGAGCGGTCAGCATGGTGACCCGGCAATGGATAAACTGGAAGAAAAGGGAAGGATGGACTTTGTGGGAGGTTTTGTTATGTGTGAACAGGACTTAAGAGTTTGAAGTTTGATTTATTAAGGACAATGTGGAGTTGCATTAAAAAGATGGCGGCATCAGATTTACCATGCTACTTTCCACCTGAAGTCCTTAACAATAGTAAGTAAGTAAGTAATGTTTATTTATATAGCACATTTTTTACAGACCAAGGTCACCCAAAGCGCTTTACAAAGTTCAGAGTCAGATATTGTTCCAATCATTCCACACACGGTGATGACAGAAGCGAGTCCAGAACACACTGGACCATCAGCTCCAACACCATCCATTCACTCTCGCATTTACATTCAAACTTATTGTGCATGTTTTTAGTGGTAGGGGAAACCGGAGCACCCGGAGGAAACTGGAGCACCTGGAGAAAACCTAGACAGACACCGTGCCGCCCACAATCATGTACATTTAAATCATGACTTGCACAATAATATACAGGTTATTAAAAAAACATCAAAGTTCAAATGACTAAAATACATTTTAACATACAGTACTTACATAAATATGAACCGTAGACCAATGGATTCTATCGCCGAATTATTAACTGAGCAAAAAATAAACGGCTCATTACAAAATTTACCTTTCTGTGTTTCGTATCACAGCCGACCCCTCTTACCCTGCACATGGACTATTCCAACCACTCCCCTCAGGCAGGAGGGGAGTGGTCTCCTCCCTTTATAAAGTCATTTTACTGCCCATCATACGTCACTTTACTTCACTGTACTGCTGTCACCTTACATTGTGTACACCATGTGCACTTGTATATTGTAAATAGTAACTGTAACTCTATTTTAAATTTAAATGTATTCCTTAGAAGTGTTTTTTATTCTTTATTTTTATTATCTCTCTCTGACTGTTGCACTGAGCCAAAGCAATTTCCTAGTCTGTGACTTCCTGTTACTCACGTGGCAATAAAAATGATTCTGATTCTGATTACTGAATGTTGTGATATCAGAATCAATGTTTTGCCATTTTCAGAATACACTACATTGGAATACAAACAGGAGACACAGTGAGGCACATATAAAACTCTGAAAAGCATGATTAAGAAACTACAAAGGAGCTAGAAAGAGATCTAGATCTTTCTCTTTATGGTCGGGCAGGTTTTCCTACAGGGGGTATGAGGTCAAGTTCATGTTTTCCTACAATAAGGGGACAATGAAGTCGACCGTAACCTAACCTTACCTTAGCTTTTTGTAAAAACATTGTCTAATTTTGTCTTGTTTGTCTCCCTTTCGCCGGTTGCCGTGGTCACAGCGTCAGGCCAAATACACAGAGAACAAACTGAAGGCGATTAAAGCCCGGAACGAGTATCTCCTGGCTCTGGAGGCCACCAACAGCTGCGTGTTCAAGTACTACATCCACGACCTCGCTGACATCATCGACGTGAGTGACAGCCGTGTGACCAACCTGTCTGTGTGTACGTGTGTGTGGGTGTATGTGTGTGTGTGTCTGTATCTGTGTGTGTGTCTGTATGTCTGTATGTGTGTGTGTGTCTGTATCTGTGTGTGTGTGTCTGTATCTGTATGTGTGTCTGTACGTGTCTGTATGTGTGTGTGTGTGTCTGTATCTGTGTGTGTGTCTGTGTGTGTGTGTATGTGTCTGTAGGTCTGTGTGTGTGTATCTGTATCTGTGTGTGTGGGGGTGTGTCTGTTTGTGTGTGTGTGAGTGTGTCTGTAGGTCTGTAAGTCTGTGTGTGTGTGTCTGTGTGTGTGTGTCTGTCTGTGTCTGTGTGTGTGTGTGTCTGTATCTATGTGTGTGAGTTTGTCAGTGTCTGTGTGTGTATGTGTGTGCCTGTTTCTATGTCCGTGTGTGTATGTGTGTGTCTGTATCTGTATTCTCAAATCATTAATGACAAAACAATCCGGGCCTTTGTGAAAAAGGTGTTGGTTATAGATTTGTTGTTGACAAAACTCTTGTCTATTAAGTTATTATTATGGTGCCAGCTGGATTCGCCTGCATATCTGGCAACCTGAGTCAGGGAGAGTGGTAGAGGCTGCAGTACCACCTTTGGCCAGATATTTACAAACTGCTGTTTAAAAATGACAGTCAGCTGACAAAATTGCATGTTCCTATTGGCTTTTTGTCTAATATTACATTTGTTATACTTCAATGTGGTATTTTAACCGCAATCTAAAGCGTGTGATATCTGCTTGCTCCAGTGCTGTGACCTGGGATACCACGCCAGCCTGCAGAGGGCGCTGCGGACGTACCTGTCGGCCGAACAGAACGTGGAGACGTCGAAGCACACGGGGCTGGAGTCACTAGAGGGCGCCGCTGAGAGCCTGGAGCCCAACGGAGACAAACAGAAACTGATGGAGACCTACAACAACGTGTTCTGTCCTCCCGCCAAGTTCGACTTCCAATCGCACATGGGAGACTCGGTACTAGGGCTATTACAGCTATTACAGATATTACTGCTACTGCTACTGCTAATACTACTACTACTACTGCTACTACTACTAATACTGCCACTAATATTACTCCTCTTACTACTATTACTTCTGCTGCTGCTACTACTGCTACTGCTTTTGGTTCTGCTGCTTCTACTACTGCCGCTACTACTTCTGCTGCTACTACTACTACTGCTACTAATACTACTATGGCTGCTACTTCTACTGCTTCCACTGTTACTACTTTTGCTTGCGCTTTTTATGCTGCTAGTAGTTTACAGCTGCTGTTGCTACTACTACTGATACTACTGTTACTGCTGATACTACTAAGTAATCTTTATTTTTTATTTATATACCGCCTTTTCACTGCACATCGGAGTCTCACAGCGGTTTACAATTGTGATTTTTTTGGGAGTGGGGGTGCCAGTACAGGAGGAGTAGTCAGAGGTGGGACAAAGTCATTGTTTAGCAAGTCACAAGTCAGTCTCAATTCATTGCCCTCAAGTCCCGAGTCAAGTCCCGAGTCAAGACAGGCAAGTCCCGAGTCGAGTCCAAGTCAAAGACCAACAAATCTCAAGTCAGTCCCAAGTCCTACGGTTTGACTTTCGAGTCCTCTCGAGTCTTTTTGACTGCGATTTGTTTCTTGTTGGTCTCCACGTACTTTTGTAGGCAAACAAAATAATGTTAGGAATCATTTTGCTGGTGCATTTTCGTTGGTCTCTGACCCATGGACTAACAGTTTGTTCCATGTCGTTGGCTGCTGGTAAATCAAAACTATCTATGTGATCTAATTGGATGTTGTGCCAGATGCAGGCTCAGTTACACATGCACAGACCACACATAAAATCAGAGCAGTCCGTGTCAACATACTTTTTATCTCTGGGGTTTTTAATGGGAAGTAGCAAGTGCAGCATATATGAATAGTATGCTTATATTATAATCAATTAATCTCAGTATTGGGCTGGGACCTGTATCTATATAATCAGTTTAATGTCCGTAGTGGTTATTGTTACAAATGTCCTACTGTAGGATAGGGGTAGTATGAGGGGTAAAAGGACTGAAGGGACCAATGGAGGGGAAGGAACCTGGCCTGTATGAACTGGACCAGCATTAGTAATATCTCATAATTACCAATATATCATTACATATTAAAATGTCTCATATAAATTAATTCAATCAGTCAAAGCACTGATTCTCATATCAATGCACCATAAACAATAGTGCAAATATTAATCTAGCTTAGTGCACATAATCAAAACAACTATCTAATGTATGCAAACTTTAGCAGGAGGAGCACAGCAAAAACATACTCATAATAATAGGCCTCGGCGCCCACACAGAAAAATATAAGAAAGAGCCAACAGAGCAGCGCAGGCTAGCGCTAGTTTGACTCACCAGTTCCTCTTTAAAACACGGCACACAGTGTGACAACTGCGTCGATTCAATTGTATGAGGCGCCTGTAGTGAAAGCATATAATTACGGTTTGTAGAACAAAATATGACGTTAGGTCGCGATAAATACCTGCAGCTCGCTCATTTCCAGCTCCCCTACGACAACACACCCACCGGTGAATGCAGTGCGCTTGTTTAGGGAAGTGTTGCTGCGCGAACTGCGGGGAACTCACGTTCGAACTCTCTCGCGAGCGCTACAACTACCGCGAGGCTTTGTTTCTTCAGAGACGGTATTCTGCCGAGTTGTGCCGCTTAGATAGGCATAGATAGAAAGAAAGATGCGGAGAAAAATGGCCCGGGTTACGCAAGTCTTTACAAGTCAATTGGCGCAAGTCCAAGTGAAAGTCAGAGTCATTGATGTTAAAGTCCAAGTCGAGTCGCAAGTCTTTTTATATTTGGTCAAGTCGAGTCTAAAGTCATCAAAATCATGACTCGAGTCTGACTCGAGTCCAAGTCACATGACTCGAGTCCACACCTCTGGGAGTAGTACTACTACTACTACTGATGCTGCTACTGCAATTGCTACTGCTGGTACAACTGTTAATTACACTGCTACTGCTGTGCTGTTGCTACTACTGCTTCTATTGTTACTATCACTACTTAATCTTGTGACTTTGCCTTTAAATGCGTCTTGCTCATGAGAATGAACGTACTTACTGGACTATAAGGCGGACCTGTGTATTAGCTGCACCACTTCAATTTGAAAAGATAATACATTTTGTCCACATACTGTATAGGCCGCACTTGAATATAAGCCACAGGTTCTCATGTCGGAATGTAGCCAAGTTACTTCAGAAACGTAATGCATTAGGTGTTACTTGTTACTGCTATTTCAGAGTAGTGTGTTACTACAATATTACTGTCTTTGAATTGTAAAGCATTACACTACTACTGTTTTACTTTTAAGTTACTTTCACCAAATATATGTATTTATATATACAAAAGTAGCTTATATGTAGCTTATTATGCTAATGCGTGGCGTTGATAAAGCTTTTTGTTTGGTACATCAAGTGGACTTAACTGAAAAAATGGAGTCAGTTCATCTTGAAAATGTACTTTTGTCTGACATAGTGCCTGCTTCTTCTTCAGCTTCAGCTTCAGCCGTCTTCTCCCAGAAAGGAAAAAAAACACTTTAACACTACTATAATGATAACATAATTCGATAAAAAGGTCCATAAACTCTGCTCTGACAAATCTACCACAATAAAAACACACATATTAACAATTCAATATATAAGCTGCAGGGTTAAAAAAGTAGCAGCTTATAGTCCGGAAATGACGGTACATTGGACGGGACGAGCTGTCGGGTTTTCACTAGAACCAGGTAAAGGTCCTCTGCGTGTGTGCGTGTGTGTGTCTATGTATGTGTGTGTGTGTGTGTGTGTGTGTGTGTGTGTGTGTGTGTGTGTTTGCAGGTGGGGGTGGTGTGTGCCCAGCAGCCTCTGGAGAGCGAGCTGCTGCAGAGGTGTCAGCAGCTGCAGAGCCGACTCTCCACGCTGCAGATCGAAAATGACGAGGTCCGTTTCACATTTTAAATTTTTTTCTATCAATGATCTAAGTTGTGCAGTGCATCTACTGTACACAGTGAGTGATGCAGTTGTGTTTAGAGCTGCAGAAATCTTGCAAAAAGTGAGTAGTGTGCAGCAAACTATAAAGGGTTTGAAAGTCCAGTGGTTCCTTAGTATACAGATGTTTTACTCCAATATCAGACACACAGATAAGTGCTGGTATAACATGATAGCTGCCTTTATTTAAAATCAGAAGGAGACTTTTTAGGCTTGTGTGCACCACAGTGATGAGTTCAGAGGACTTTCCGTGGACTCTCTCTTAGGTCTCTCACTGATTGCTCTCTCTGGTCTCTCTCTGGTCTCTCTCTCTGATCTCTCTCTGGTCTCTCTCAGGTATCTTTCTGTCTGGTCTCTCTCTCTGGTCTCTCTCTCTTTGGTCTCTCTCTCTGGTCTCTCTCAGGTCTCTTTCTGTCTGGTCTCTCTGGTCTCTCTCTGTTCTCTCTCTCTGGTCTCTCTCTCTTTGGTCTCTCTCTCTGGTCTCTCTCAGGTCTCTTTCTGTCTGGTCTCTCTCTCTCTGTTCTCTCTCTCTGGTCTCTCTCTGGTCTCTCTCTAGTCTCTCTCTCTCTGGTCTCTCTCTGGTCTCTCTCTGTTCTCTCTCTAGTCTCTCTCTGTTCTCTCTCTAGTCTCTCTCTGTTCTTTCTCTAGTCTCTCTCTGTTCTCTCTCTAGTCTCTCTCTGGTCTCTCTCTCTGGTCTCTCTTTGGTCTCTCTCTGGCCTCCCTCTGGTTTCTCTCTGCTCTCTCTGGTCCCTCTCTCTCTGGTCTCTCTCTGTTCTCTCTCTGGTCTCTCTCTGGTCTTCCCGTAGCCCTCAGTCCTACTCCTAACCCTCAGTCTCCTCTGCAGCTGTATTATTACAGTGTATGCACAGCTTTTGACAGCTGCAGCAGCGCTCACACCTGCAACCAACAGGTTTGATATCTCTGGTCTCTCTCACTTCAGTTGTGAGTTCAGGTGCATGCAAAAGTGTATAATGTATGTGAGAGTTTTACAGCCTTAAAACAAACAGCTGCTTATCCGTTATTTCTAAATCGTAACCTCTGCGATAAATAAGGAAACACTGTTTTACAATTATTAGAAGTTCTATTTTACTCTTTTTGAACTTCACAAATTCAGACAAATACAAACTACACTTGCATCCATCCCCCAAGTCAAAATCAAATTATTTTTAAATTAAAAGATTCTGAAAAACTGAAATATCGTATCCACGTATAGAAGGCATTAACATTCTGACATCCATCAATTCAAATGCGCATGGTTTCAAATTCGTAAAATACATATGCTGCAAAAAGAGATGAAAAATAAGTGAAAAATGTCCCAGATTTGGCAAAATGTATCCTAATTTGAGCACATTCTGACTGAGCCTTAAAACAAGATTTGCCAATGGGACGAAGAGCAAAATGAGAAATTAAAGGAACAGTTCTTTAAATAATACTACATGGCTTCGTCCCATTGGAGAATCTTGTTTTAAGCAATTATTACCTCACATTTTATACTTTTTTGGAGTGTAAAAAGATCTAATTCAGTATTCACATTGCTCCAGCTTCAGATCCGTCATTTTCCTTTTGAATTCCCAGTGTTCCCCAATCCTCTTTTCCTCTTCACCTCATCCATTGTTGCCTGTATCTTCCTCTGTGTGTTTTGCAGGTGAAGAAGACGATGGAGGCCACGCTGTCCACCATCCAGGACATGGTGACGGTGGAGGACTTCGACGTGTCCGAGTGCTTCCACCACAGCAACAGCATGGAGTCCGTCAAGTCCTCCTTCAGCGAATCATACCTCAGCAAACCCAGCCTCGCCAAGAGACGGGCCAATCAGCAGGAGACCGAGCAGTTCTACTTCACCGTATGTACAGTAGATAGATAGATAGCTAGATGGATGGATGGAAGGAAGGAGGTCCTCTGGGTCATGGGTGTCAAAGTCATGGCCCGGGAGCCAGATGCGGCCCGCAAAATACACGATCTTGGCCCCGGGATGAGATTTGATAAGTTTTAGAACCAGCCGCACAGAGCCATAAGAAAATATTGGATTATTAATTTAATGTTCAGGAGGTTTTCTCTTTGAGGAAGTTTGTCTGAAAATGAAATGACCAACAGAGCCATACAAAAATATTTAATTTAATCATTGAATAAAATACGTTCCACTGTTTTAGGCCTTGGTTCAACAGGTGATATGCATTCATTTTAAGATCTTTTAATAAATATTGAACCAGTCCGGCCCTCAAACTTATAGCAAATTTTTTTTCTTGGTCCTCTGATGTATTTGACTTTGACGTTCCTGCTCTGGTCGATGAATGCAGACTCTGCTTGGTTCGGACCATTTTCCCTGCTCTGGTTCAGAGTGAAATTCTGAATGCTTTAACCCTAACTCTAACCCACATGGGAAAGTGTCGGTGTCTGAGTAGTTAGCTAGATTCTGAATGAGGCCATGTAGAGTTAAGACTAATAATTGCTTACTAAATACCAGTTAAGAGCTAATTAACCATAAATGACGCACTAAAGTGTGGCGATAATTCTTTTTTCTCAGGTAAACTAAACTGTTGTGTATGTGTTTTTGTTGTAGAAGCTGAAAGAGTTTCTGGAGGGCAGGAACCTGATCACTAAACTCCAGGCCAAACACGACCTCATCAACAAAACCCTGGGAGAAAGTGAGTGAGAGCTGTTTTGTCGACTTTTGCAGACGTCGAATTGAAAACAAGAAACATATACTTTCAATGCATACAATTTGTGTTGTCTCTGAGGACTTTGCAAAGCTGTCAATTCGCCAACAGTAGTTCAGAGAATCAAAGGCGGCAAAGGAGATGGCTAAAGCTAGGCTAAATGCTAAAAGCTAACGACTCACTCGGGCTCATTACATACGTCACGTTAAACTCAGATCCAATCATTTTAATCTTTAAAAGGAGTTAACCCCTCCCACCTGATAACAGAAAAAAAACTCTGAACTATTGTTGTAGTCGTAGTTTTTGTTTTATTTTGTTAAAAAAAAGGGGGTTAATTTAAAGCTGGGCTAAAATGAATGCATGTTTTTTTTTGTCTCAACATAAACAGCTAGGCAAATGTAAAATAAATCAGACGCACACACCGTCTTTATCCTATAGAAAAACATGTTACCTTCTGCATACTTGTAAGAATGAGCCCTGTGAGTCACTTTTTGATGCTTTGGGCTGAAAGCTGATTGGCCGATTGAGGGTGGTCCGCTCTGTTTTTCTTTTCTGTCTGAAAAAGCAGATCTAAAGATGTGACAGAAGCCAAAAATACATTTGTGTGTGTGTGTGTGTGTGTGCATATGTGTGTGTGTGTGTGTGTGTGTGTGTCATTGACTGTTATGTGTTTTGTTAGAGGAACGTTATACTTGCTTCTTTATTATACTAAAGTTAGAGATATAATTTAATTCTAGTATGGCTTTATAGTTCTTACCTTGTGCTGTGTTCTCATCATTCCTACTTCCTATGATGCAACACTGAAAGTTCCCCACTGTGGGACGATTACTGTATCTCTAAATCTTCATCTTACTCTGATGCAAACTGTTTTAGAGCCAGGAACTTCATGATTACATGGATTTCATCACATAGTTCCATTTTGAATCTTGGTTTTGAAAGTGAGGAACCCCATACAGTATATTTCACTGTTAGATAAAGTTAAGTTATGGTTATGAGTTTCCCCATTCTGCCTCAGCCTCGGTGAAGCTGTAAAAAGTGCAGCCCGGGCATATTACGTTATGAAGGAGCGATCTACAGTCATCTCACAGGAAGCATATCCGATAAACTCTGTGAGCTCAGTGTAAGCAGGAAGTGTGGATTCCAGATCTGTTTACATCGGGACAACCATATGTTATGTCGTTTTAACCTATGTATTTATTTTTGTTTGTTTTGTTTATTAGACGCCTATGGGACTGGATATAGCCTCCGTCAATATAGCATTTCTTACCAACTGTTTTTTCTTATGTCATTCCTTGTCGATGCAGGAGGGTCCCAGACATTTATAGACATTGGTCGTTCTGCTGCCTATGGACAAATGAGAATCTGTTGAGATTAGGGCTACACAAAAATGGATTGAATTGAGTTGAGTTTTGTTAGAGCGCCCCCTGGAGTGCAGGAAGAGTCATGGATACAGCTCTATCAGCGGACGTAGCACACATTCCTACTTCCTGGTGTGTTTATGTGAACAGCAGAGAGTGTTGAATACGATTAGGGCTTTTTCCAGTACAGAGTTTAAGATCTTAATATTTAGACTCCATGAAGCTTTTGCGATCATGGGTCACACGTTCATTGTCAAAATATATTTGGGTTTTACCCGAGTGCTTTGATCATCACACAACAGCGAACAGTGAATTATTAACCCTCAACCAACCGAGATATTTCAGCGACTAAAATGACAGAGTGGGGGGTCATTTGTGACTTTATATAGGATTTGTTTTAGATAAATGATTGTTTTAGAGTTCTTCATATTTACTTCACTCTCTAATCAGTTGTCCACCATCTTACAATTGACAATACAATACCATTTATTCTTGTATAGCCCTAATTCAATCTGGAGAGACGAGGAGACAAAATGCATTTGAAGTATTTTATTGAAGGTAGTTTGGCGCCCTAGGCCCCGGTGCGGCGTTCAGTCAGCGAGGCTCCTGCGAGAGTGCGCGCACAATCCCCCGGGACCTAGGCACTGGTGGCGGCATTCGGGCAGCAGGAAGAGGCATGATTGAGGCAGGGTGAGAAAAGGAGGAGGAGGGGAGGCGGTGGTTTGCAAGGCTTCGAGAAGGCCGTAAAGTGGGAGTTTCTCCGCTTTTAAGCGGCTGGCCTGGCCGGCATAGGTTGGTTGGAAATGGGCGTTTGCTGTGCGATAGGCTGGGGCTGCGAGGCCGGCCTGGAAGGGGTGGCTTTGCTGACGTCTTCCAAATTGAATTTCCGCGAGGCTGCATATCACAACAGTATCATCTCAGACTTAACAAAACCATTGAAATCACCAACACAGATCAGAGAATCAACAGTTAAGTCACAAAAAATACTCATATGCATTTGTCCATAGGGAGAGACCAATGTACATGAAAGTTCATAAATGTCATACATGTTAAAGTGTCCTGGATCATCACAGTCCTTCATGTCAGACACTAACTGTCCAACAGACTCCTGCATCTGATGTCTTAATGCATGGAATTTGGTTTATTTCTAACAAAAAAGCTGCCAACAACACTCAACGATAGAACATCCTCACTCAGAATCTGTCTCAAAGCCTGTGCAGCTGTAAATCTTGCTATTCTAGGTCCTGCAAAACAGTAACGTATAACGCAAATTGACCAATAATAGCCATAATTACAGTTGGCAATTTACAAAACCATCTGAAAATATAATGTCAACAGTGTCATAGATCTTCCTGGGGTCATAGGTGAACCTGCACAAGCGTGGGTTATACATGCATTAAAAATAGATTTCGATGGCTTGAAGGTTCAATCCAGGAGTTCAGCGATTATTGAAAGTGTCTATGAAGTGAGTTGAAATGTGACTGGCAGAACAAACGCTTCTTTCCTGTTATATTTTGTTTTTGAACTTTTCTTTTGCCATCCCAGCGATTACAAAGTACGTGAATGTCGTGTTGGATTCATGTGGATAGCATTAGCGGTGTGTGCACATGTGGAAGTTGTGTAACCGCGGTTCTAATCTGGTCACATCCTCTCTCCTCTGCTTCCTTTTCTTTCAGGTCAAAAGACGGACTGTTGCGTTGCCAGGTAGGTGTGGCACTCAGAGGAAACCAGACATGGAATTGGACGAAATATGTTCTGCCACGCTGCAAAAATACATCAATCTCAGTCGTTTTTAGCTCGTTACCGAAGTTACCACTCTATATCACTGCGTTTTCCACACATTTCAACACATTATTTCGTATTTGTAGCAAGATTGTGTTGTCAATGTTGTGTGTACATTTATTCAAGCTACCGTAAGTAGTGGGAAATACACATTCCAGCTCTGCCACATGAGCAAATACGTCTATCCTGGCTCAAAAACACCTCAGACTATAAAGAATAATAAAGTCATTCATAACTTTTTAACTTAACATAACATTTGTATATAACTTCGCATGTGTACTTTTGTGTATTATTATCTGTGCTCATTTTTGTTTCATGCTTTCAGTGGACGGAGGAACTCAGCTCTTCGAAAACAGGTACAGCCTATATTTTTGTTTTTGCTCTTTAAAAATCAGCAATTATCAGTTCGAAATGACAGTAACTTTGAACTAAAGCTGGCGAACCATGGGCTGCTGAGTTCTGGCAAAAATGTCAATCACCGTTTGGCTTAAGATGTTTGAAATAACTTGTTTCAACTTTAATTCCTACAAAGTTACTTGCAACGACCATTATGCAAAACATTTGGATCCATTTAGTCAGACAGTTTGAACAAAGTGTTTCGTAATCATAATCTTGATACTATTATATCTTGGTATTATTCTTACTATTAAAGCCACAAACCATTCACGCTGAAACCATTTTGCAGTGTGGGTGAAGTGTCTTGCCTAAGGACACAACAACAGTTTGAGACTGAGTGAATTTGAAAATGATAATACATATTTTAAAGTTTACTATTCCGTGGAACTATTGTCATTCACAAATTGACACTAACTTATAAACATATTTAACTTGGATCATTCTCTACAATATTAATGTGTTTTGGAGGAAATGCTGTTGTATTGAAACAGTCCTTGTCTCGCCACTGTCTCCCTCTAGTGGACGCTTTGGGGTCCTGCAGCTCACTCCACACTTCAATTCATCACGTTTCATTCATATCACTCTTTCACTATATAGGTCACGATCTCATTCATAAAACATGGAGAGCATGTATTATCCATCACACATGTTGAATATGTTCGCTTTGGTCCGGATGTGACAAAAAGAAATACCACAAACAAAGAGAAACGGTTTCATAGCAACAGAGCGTTCCCCCATGAGCCTCTCTGTCCCTGTGAATGAGGGCGTAGTGTTTGACAACCTCATCATTGCTCTATTCATGAAAGCTTTAGGGATGTATTACTCTTTTAAAACAATGTGTGTTATTATTCAGTCTTATCTATTTTAGTCCATGTCTGATCTTCATAGTGATTTGACTTATGCCTTATATTGGTATTGAGAAAACTTCAGAGCATAAATGAGTTTCGTCTGCAGAGTGGCTCACCCCTCACCCTAGCTCCTTTAGAGATAGGGTGAGGGGATCCGTCACATGGGTGGAGCTCGGAATAGAGCTGCTGCTTATCGAAGTCGAGAGGAGCCTGGGGAGGGGTTGCAGGAGATCAGGGGAAGACCCAGGAGATGCCGGAGGGACTGTCTGTTAGCCTGGGAACGCCTCGGGATTCCCCCAGAAGATTGTGTGTGTCTGTCTGTGTGTGTGTGTTTGTGGAGAGGGAAGACTGGGCGTTTCTACTCAGACTGCTGACCCGGCAACAGATAAAGCGGAAGAAAAAAGATAGACAAATACTTTATTTAACCCCCTGTAGAAGTTATTCAGATGTCCAGCAGCAGAAACACATCCATCCATAAAACAAGTACAGTATATACATAATTATTAAGTTACTAACAACGATGTGTTCTGCTTGTTCAGAGTGAAATTCTGAATGCTTTAATAGCATTTATTAAATTTTTTCTCCAATGGATCTACGCTTGATCTGCTTGTTTTGAACCATCCACTCTGCTCTGGTCTGACTCAGTGCAAAACCATGAACACTGCAGTCACGTTTGCAGCTCGAGAAAAGCAAGAAAAATATTGATTGTCAAGCACAAAACAACAACTGTTTGTTTAACAATAGTCAGTTGTACCTGTTTATAAAAATAGCTTTATGAGAGGAGTATTTCAGAGAGAACTTATCTGAGAGTGAAAACTAGATGCGTTGAAGGTAAAGCCGTCATGCACGTGCTGAGGCTGTGACGTCTTCTTTGCAGGACTCCGGTGAGGCCATTCCTCTGATGGTGGAGAGCTGCATCCGCTTCATCAGTCGTCATGGTGAGGACAATCACAGCCGGCTCCCATTTCCTCCGTCTGATTTGTTCATTGTCGTCTCTATGTCCGGATAACGACATGTGTTTTTGTGTGCGCCGTGTGTAGGTCTGCAGCACGAAGGCATCTTCCGAGTGTCCGGGTCCCAGGTGGAGGTCAACGACATCAAGAACTCCTTTGAAAGAGGTACGCTGCTGCAAGAATCACTTTTAGGCAGTGCAGACTGTACAATTAGTGTATTTTTAAGGGCCAAGCAGTGTAAGGCAAGGCAAGTTTATATGTATAGCACAGTTTATACCATAGACTGTATATATTAACGGACAGAGTCACGCCTATCTCCGCCGTTCTAACTAATGGGCCAAAAAATGTGCTCTACTGGAGCAATCCAAAATGCCCGCGAGTGGTCCCGCCCACAAGAAAATTGTGAAAAAACGCATCTGCGCATGCGTCAGCCAACGCAGCTCCATTCATTTGAACGAGAGACTTCAAAAATGCACAGCAAGTAAACTAGAGTGGTCCAAAAAAATTCACCCCCCTCAGCATTGACACAACAAAAGATAAAATAATAATCACAGTACGTAAAAGAGTAAAGATCAATCAAAAGTCTTGTGCATTTCCCAACACTTCCTTCTCTCTGCTGTTCACATAAACTCACAGAGAGGAAGGAATGTGGACACTATCATTTGCTCTGAAGATTAGAGAGTGTCCAAATCTTTTCCCCATCCCTTGTAAGGCTGTATAGTTACAATTCAAAACAGTAGCAGCTTTCAGTCCAGCAATGATGGTAGTTCCTCACTCAAGAAAGTATAGCACTAGTTTTTACATAACATTTTTTATTTAGATTCTGTCACATTTTTAAATCAGATTTTTCAGACCGAAAAGTGTCAAAAGTGGACCCCCCTCAATCAGCCAATCAGCTCTCAGCTCAAAGAGTCAAACAAGTTTTATTATAAGACAAAGACAGCATGTTGTGGTCTGATTTATTCACAACATCAAAAGTATTATCTATGAAACAGAAAAGTTACGTACCCAGGCTTTAATTCTTACAAGTGCACCAGTGCGCATGGGCAGCAGATTAGTCTAAATTTTCCAAAGCTTTGTAAACATGATCTCAACAATAAAGATAGAAATGAGTCTGGCCTGGTATCCTGCGTACAATCAAAGGTTTGGAGCCCACAGACGACTCTGGAGAAAGGGGAAGACCAACTTATCTCCAAACAGCACAGAGTAACTGACGAGAATTCACATGACGTCTCAAGAGAAAATAAAATCAGGTGTGGTTTCGACAAGACTGGAGCAAATGTCTGGAGTTATTTCCCTGATGAGCCTGCGTTGGAAAGTCTCCCAGTCTGTAAACACTTTTACAGATTCAGAAACTTTATTGATCCCAGAGGACGACTGATTTACACTACAAACTCACTGGAGCCATTGGTCCTTTGGGAGCAGAAGAATGAGCTATGTCCATGAATGTAAAAAAAAAAGTGCATTAATGTCCTTAATTGTGAGGATTTTAGTACCGATTTTTTTTCAATTTATATTTACAAAAGGCAAAAAAGAGGACGATAAAATGAATAAACTAAACTAGAAACTGGCAATGGCTGAAGCCATTGCGATTGACTGCGGAACAGATCTAATGTGGAAATCTGCTAAAAAAAATCCTTGAAATCCTTTAAAAGGCCTTGAAACTGTTAAAATACTTGATAGATATTTGAAACTCCTGAAGTCCTTGAAATTGTTGAAACCTTTAAACTCCTGAAATCCTTGAAACTGTTGAAACATTGAAACTCCTGAAATCCTTGAAACTTTTTTAAACCTGGAAACTGTTGAAAGTGTGGAAACTCCTGAAATCCTTGAACCTCCTGATATCCTTGAAACTGGTTAAATTCTTAAACAGTTGAAATCCTTGAAACTACTGAATGTATTGAAAGTGTCCTTGAAACTGAAAAATCCCCTCACCGCTGAAACAATTTGGTTCCTGTAACTAAGGAAACCTGGTCTGTGGTCATTATCTGGTGGTGGTCTGAGTCTTCGTTTGGGTCTTGGTCTGGTGGTATAATGCAACCTATTAGGTTGCATTATACTGGTTTACATGGAAAAATCCCTATTAAGTTGCATTATACTGGTTTACATGGAAAAATCTCTATTAAGTTGCATTATACTGGTTTACATGGAAAAATCCCTATTAGGTTGCATTATACTGGTTTACATGTACAAATCCCTATTAAGTTGCTTTATACTGGTTTACATGTAAAAACCCCTATTAGGTTACTTTATAGTGGTTTACATGTAAAAATCCTTATTAAGTTGCATTATACTGGTTTACATGTAAAAACCCCTATTAAGTTCCATTATACTGGTTTACATGTAAAAACCCCTATTAAGTTCCATTATACTGGTTTACATGTAAAAACCCTATTAAGTTGCATTATACTGGTTTACATGAAAAAAACCCTATTAAGTTGCATTATACTGGTTTACATGGAAAAATCCCTATTAAGTTGCATTGTACTGGTTTACATGGAAAAATCCCTATTAAGTTGCATTATACTGGTTTACATGGAAAAAACCCTATTAAGTTCCATTATACTGGTTTACATGTAAAAAAAAACCCTATTAAGTTGCATTATACTGGTTTACATGGAAAAATCCCCATTAAGTTGCATTATACTGGTTTACATGAAAAAACCCTATTAAGTTGCATTATACTGGTTTACATGAAAAAAACCCTATTAAGTTGCATTATACTGGTTTACATGAAAAAAACCCTATTAAGTTGCATTATACTGGTTTACATGGAAAAATCCCTATTAAGTTGCATAATACTGGTTTACATGGAAAAATCCCCATTAAGTTGCATTATACTGGTTTACATGAAAAAAACCCTATTAAGTTGCATTATACTGGTTTACATGGAAAAATCCCTATTAAGTTGCATTATACTGGTTTACATGGAAAAATCCCTATTAAGTTGCATTATACTGGTTTACATGGAAAAATCCCCATTAAGTTGCATTATACTGGTTTACATGGAAAAAACCCTATTAAGTTGCATTATACTGGTTTACATGGAAAAATCCCTATTAGGTTGCATGATTACACTGAAGTCCTTGAAACTGTTGAAGTCCTTGAAACTGTTGAAACCTTGAAACTGTTGAAACCTTGAAACTGTTGAAGTCCTTGAAACTGTTGAAACCTTGAAACTGTTGAAACCTTGAAACTGTTGAAACCTTGAAATTGTTGAAACCTTGAAACTGTGGAAACCTTGAAACTGTTGATGTCCTTGAAACTGCTGAAGTCCTTGAAACTGCTGAAGTCCTTGAAACTGCTGAAGTCCTTGAAACTGCTGAAGTCCTTGAAACTGCTGAAGTCCTTGAAACTGCTGAAGTCCTTGAAACTGCTGAAGTCCTTGAAACTGTTGAATCCTTGAAACTGTTGAATCATTGAAACTGTAGAAATGTCTGAAAGAGCTGAAGTCCTATTAAAATGCATGGGCCTATTAAAATGCATTGCAGAATCCTCAATGCAAATTAATGGCAGAATTCCCAAGCCCGTAGAAAAAAACTGGAAAACTGCAGAACTCTAATTTTTTCTGAAAACTCACAAGTTGTGGAAGCTGAACATGCACAAACTGCAGAAAATGCTGAAAATGTTGAAGAAAATTCTGAAAACTATGAATTTGTGGAAGCCCCATTATAAGTCAATGGGAAAAATCGACCGATTTTTGTCCGATTGCGGAAAAACCGGAAATCGCTGAAGTCCCAAAAGTAATAGCAATAATCTCCCAAACATGTGGAACGTTTTGATGTATAACTTGTGGAAATTGTTGAAAATGTGAAAGCTGTGAAACGTGTCAAAAATCAGGAAAAAGACGGAATAATAATAAAGAACGTGAAAACCAATGGTTGACTGCGGAAGGTTCCGCAGTCAATCAATAATACATGTTACAACACAAGCTGGACAAGGGTTGGACGAAGCAGACTCTTAGTTCCAACTTCTCTCACACAGACAAGACACAGGCCCAAACTCTCTCCGACCCTACATCTATTCTATTCAATTTCTTCTCGTGTAGCCCTAAATCACAACAGTAGACACCTCAGAGGATTTAACAAAACCGTTGAAATCTGACAACAGATATAGAATCTTAGTCCTGGATCATCATGGACTAAGTAATCTTCTTCCCACTCCTTTTCAGGCAGAATCAAGTATAATGTTTACATGCAATATACACTGTACACTAATATACTTTCTGTCCATATCTTTTTCACACTATATGACATAATTATATACCTTCTACTTATCTGTGCTAATGTCTGAAATAAATGAATGAAAATGAATGAAATCAGCTCCACAGTCCTTCTTGTTAGACCACTTATAGTCCAACAGACCCTCCTGCATCGGCATCGGAAAAACTCTAAAACCCAGTGGGAGAAAAGTGAGAAACCTTGGGTAGAACCATCTCTCTCCCATCTCTGGGTTTGAGATGATCATCCATCTACCTTCAGCTCTCTCACGCGTGGTGTCGAGTTAGCTCCAAGAATCTGTTGGAATTGTATTTATTTATTTCATTTGAGGACATGACAATACATCAGATATTACAATTATATTTCAAACAATTCTCATAGCTGTGACTCAACAACAAAACCTACATTACCTTACAAACTTTCCCGTATATTTTACCGTTGTATTCTGTGTGTTTGTTCTTGAAGGTGAGGACCCTCTGGCCGGGGATCAGAACGACCACGACATGGACTCTATCGCCGGAGTTCTGAAGCTGTATTTCCGAGGCCTGGACACGGCGCTGTTTCCAAAGGAAGTCTTCCATGACCTCATCTCCTGCGTCTGTGAGTGTCTCCGTCTGTCTCTGTGTTTCCTCCGCAGGGAACGCTCTGATTAAACCTGCAGTCGCCTCACATCATCCTCCTGCTGCCGGAGGGCATCCGTCACTGTGTCGGGGTCCACTGCACAAATGGCTTTAGTCTTAAACGCTTTGGGGAGATTCACTGAGAGACATGGAGAGGAGGAAATATAATTGCCAGACAACAAACGTGTAACAAATTTCAAGTTTTTTTGGGAAAATACAACAACAACAGCACTTGAGCAGGATCGCGTCATTGGCATCAGACGCTGTTTACATGAGCCACAGGGGCCACAGGAGCCACAGGAGCCACAGGGGCCACATGAGCCACACGCTCCACAGTGTCTGTGATAGATTGATAGACTGATACTGTATGATAAATCCAGGTGTCCTGCAGCAGAAACACATCCAAACAAACAAATAGATGTATAATTCAAAAAGTGACTAACAATAAAAGGTGGTGTCGCTGCTTCCTCTGGTTGATGAAAGCAGAGTCTGTTTGATTCTTGGTTATTTTCTCTGCTCCAGTTAAGAGTGACATTTTCAATGCTTTATTAGAATTCCTCCAGTGAATTTCTGCTTGATCTGTTTGGTCGGGACCATTCTCTCTGCTCTGGTCTGGACCAGTGTAAAACACAGTTCTGCAGTAAAATTTACAGACAGAAAAAGTAAGAAACAACAATTGTAAATCACAAAACCACTGTTTCAGAGATACTTAGGACTCGCTGCTGTTTCTAGGATTCAGAAGATGCTCCTCTCTATTAGAGAAGTCTGGCGCCACCTAGTGCCTCAGCTCAGTTTAATTTCTCTCCTGCTCTTCAATTATTTTTTGTAAAGCCCTAAATCACAACATCCAACAACAGATCAGAAACTGATGAATCTGATGAACCTCTCTATACAAAATATCAATCTGCTTTGAAATGAGTCACAGCTCGTCTTTGGGCCTAAAATCTGCTCCTTGATCATGCACAACATTGTTTACAATGATTTCAATGTATAATAATGTGCTTATAAAATAAATGTGTTTTTCAGCCATGGAGAGTCTGCAGGAGCGAGCGGTCCACATCAAGAAGGTGCTGCAGCCTCTGCCGAGCAAAACTCTGATCATCATGAGATATCTGTTCGCCTTCTTAAACCAGTGAGTCTGAAAACACAAGAGACGGTTCAGACGGTTCAGACGGTCCAGACGGTCCAGACGGTTCAGACGGTCCAGACGGTCCAGACGGTTCAGACGGTTCAGCCGGTTCAGACAGTCCAGACGGTCCAGACGGTCCAGACTGTTCAGGGCAAAATGAAACATGAGAGGAACACCCCATTCAAATGTTGAGATGATCCATTTTATAGATTCATATTCCTTTTATTTACCATTTCCAGTAAAACCACATTGGAATACACGGGCAAAAGTACATAAATATATCTAGCTAAAGAGTAGAGGAATAAAATAAGCTGAAAGTGTAGATACAGAAGGGGCGGAGTTACATCCCTGACATTAGCGTAGATAGATCCGTATTTGTTTTTCTCTCTAATGTGAGGATTGCATTTACCCACAATCCCAGTTTTGCCTCTGAAGCAGACCACCACCACATCCATACGTTTGGTCACAGCTTAAAACATTCTCTTTGTTCTCGGACTCCAATGTCGTCTCTGAGGAGTTGCTGAACTTTCCGTTTTCGAGTCTGGCTCAGTTCCACAGACGTTCTCCTTCAGCACATTTTACTGACTTGAAGCGACGACACAAACCAACTCATCCCTGAGCGAATGCAGAACTGAAACTGAAGCTGTTTATTTGAGGCTTTAGGCTTCTGTGTATTTGAAGAAGACGGTAATAACCAAACGACTGGGAAAATAAACATGCAGAAGAAGAATGCTGTTAAAGATACAATGAAAATAAATTTTTTGTTAAAGTTCAACACACGGTGAACACACTGTGGGCTTGTTTCTCTTTGAGCTGTGAAAGAGTTGGATTTTAATCTGGATCAGTATTTTCAGTCTATCAGTCATCGGTCATTCTTATGGAGCGGCCTCTGGGAGCTAAGGAGCAGAGTTTAAACTTTGGAGAAAAAAATGTCTATTTCTGGGGATAAAAGTGATTTAAAATCTTCTGTTTTTGGTCTATTTCAGTAGGATTGGATATATACTAAAACAAAATTGGTACTAATCCATCTGGAATCAAGATGGATTTTTAACTATTTTCATTTTCATTTTTTCCTCTCTTAGAAATAGAGAAACACATATTTTTGTAGCTATTTTTTACTCCAGCATATGCCTGCAGAACCAGTCCAGGGCCAGTTTAGGACCAGTCTAGGGCCAGTTTAGGACCAGTCTAGGGCCAGTCAAGAACCAGTCTAGGGTCAGTCAAGAACCAGTCAAGAACCAGTCAAGGGCCAGTCAAGGGCCAGTCTAGGGCCAGTCTAGGGCCAGTCAAGAACCAGTCAAGAACCAGTCTAGGGCCAGTCAAGAACCAGTCAAGAACCAGTCTAGGGTCAGTCAAGAACCAGTCAAGAACCAGTCTAGGGTCAGTCAAGAACCAGTCAAGAACCAGTCTAGGGCCAGTCTAGGGCCAGTCAAGAACCAGTCAAGAACCAGTCTAGGGCCAGTCAAGAACCAGTCAAGAACCAGTCTAGGGTCAGTCAAGAACCAGTCAAGAACCAGTCTAGGGTCAGTCAAGAACCAGTCAAGAACCAGTCAAGGGCCAGTCAAGGGCCAGTCTAGGGCCAGTCTAGGGCCAGTCTAGGGCCAGTCAAGAACCAGTCAAGAACCAGTCTAGGACCAGTCTAGGACCAGTCTAGGACCAGTCTAGGATCAAGATAAATTCATAAACATAATGTCATAGAAATAAACTACATATAGAAACAGAAAAAGGGACAGTGTTCTGAAGACCAAAAGTGGAGTAATCCCACTCCTGAAACCAAAAACCGTCCAATTGACTGCTCTGGGAGTCCTGTTGTGACTGCTCTGGGAGTGTTTTGACTGCTCTGGGAGTCCTGTTGTGACTGCTCTGGGAGTGTTTTGACTGCTCTGGGAGTCCTGTTGTGACTGCTCTGGGAGTCCTATTGTGAAGTGAACGATGGACGGTCTGTAGTCTGTATTAAAGCAGGTTCTTGTTTCTGTAACAAACCTCTGTGTTTGTCCCTCTTCCCTCAGCCTGTCCCAGTACAGCGAGGACAACATGATGGACCCGTATAACCTGGCCATCTGCTTTGGTCCCACGCTCATGTCGGTCCCTGAAGGCAACGATCAGGTGTCGTGTCAGGCCCACGTGAACGAGCTCATCAAAACCATCATCATCCACCACAGCGACATCTTCCCTTCCGCCCAGCACCTGCAGGGGGCGGTCTACAACATCCCCGGCACTGGAGACCACTTCTGGTGAGACAATATTTGGTTTTTGTTTTTGGAATTTGGATATAGATATAGATAGATAGATAGACTTTATTTATCCTCTGTAGGAGAAATTCAGGTGTCCTTCTTATCCTCTGCTTAGTTCGAACCATTTTCTGGTTCAGAGTTTTCCATGTTTTTTTTGGCATTATCCCCAATTTTTATTTTTTTTCGCTCACTGCAGTAACATTTACATCTAGAAAAAAGCAAAAAAAATGATTGACTGTTCCAGCGCCACTTAGACTTTCTCATACACACACACATTCAGTTAATTCATGCATGATTTCAGGTTGTAAAACTGGTTTCCTCCTGGTGCTACGGTTTCCCCTACCACTAAAACATGTACTAGAGATCTGAATGTGATGAGTGAGACTGAGGCTTCGATGAGTGTCTGGCCAAAAATATCAGCACGCCAAAACATTGTAAAGATTTGTGTGACATTGGTCTGGGAAACGCGCTGTATTGATAAATATTAAATATTATCAATAAATGAATGAAGTTTTAAGGCTCAGTCAAAATGTGCTCAAATTCAGAGACATTTTACCAAACTTGAGGGATGTTATCGATCATAATTTTTTGCAGTGTAGTCTATGCTCTGTCACTGACTGGTGTCTGTTGCTTGTTCCGCAGCGATAGTCCACACTGTGTGCCTCCTCTGGTGGAAGAACCGGCTCCTGAAATGACCAGTGATGACGGTGAGAAAGAACTTTACAAACATTCTCCTCTGTGTTCTGAGCCTGCGTGTGATTCAAGTTTTAAACAAGGGGGCGGGACTAACTCAGATCTTGGCGTTTCGTCCTGAGCAGAAGTAAATATTTATTGTATTGAAGATGTATTATGTTTAACCCTCTAGACGACAATAAAAGATAAGATATTCCTGTATTTGTCCCTCAGTGGGGAAAGTTCAGTGTCATCTTTGCACACGTTACAGCAGAGAAAGAAGGAAAAAGAGCATTCAGATTGCACACATCAAACAGGGTCTATTATTTAAAGGACAACTCACCCTCAAATCCACTTTTTTTTGCTGATAAACGGTATAAATGAGTGTCCAATAGTGTTGTCTACATATCCTGGTCATAATTTTGTCACTTTGGTGCAAATTAGTTGAAAGTTAAACTTTCTGCCTAAAACCGTCTGTGAGGCGCCATCTGCTGGCGACCTGTATTACTACATTTGAATTTTGAATCTGGCGCCAACACTGGCACAGAAGTTGGACCTGACGTCAGCAGCCCCCCGCCCAGAGCAATGTAAACGGCCCAGTCTCGTTCACGCCCCCTTTAGTCCTCCAGGCTACGCCCATTTAGAGGAAGATTTGAACAGGAAATGTGAGTGACGTAAGCTCCGAGGAGCGGGGGTGAGAACCACTTTAAGATACTAGATAATCTGGGTGCAGCTCTGACTGCCACCCCCTGACCCAGAAATGGATAAAGGGGAAGAAAATGGATGGATGGAGATAATAAAATTAAAATATATGGTACTGTTTAAAACGACCAATTGTGTCAAGCAGAATGTCAAAATCCATCCGAACCCCCTGCCACACAATGATTTGAGCTCTTTTACTATTTCCCTGACCCTTGAGTATAACGTCCTCGTGATCTGTGTCAGTCTGTAAAAAAATATATACATAAAAATCCACGAATGCCACCGCCCTATGAAGTCATGATATGCTAATTATATGGGTACGTACACTTTGGGCCATCCTTTTCATTTCTCTAATTTACATTAAGCCTCTATCTATTACCACTTTTGAATTATTAAGAAATTAAGATTGAAAAAATTTAACCTCTTTGGGAAAAAAACCTCTGGCTCCTAAAGGGTTCAGAGTTCAGGTTAAGTCACTGACCTATCACTGTTTTCTTTATGCTCGGGTGGACTGACTCTCTTTAGACTCACTGGAATCTCTTCATTCATAAATGTAGTGTTGAGTTGTTGCCTCCTTATCTCCAGCAGCAGAGGCCACGGCTTGTGATCTCAGGACCTGATCTTTCTCTGAGTCCAGAAGTATGCACAGAGCTGGGAAAGAAATATTTTGTATAGGGCTGGTCTCTCACTGAACGGTTTTAAACAGCTCTTGTATGAACTTAAACTACTAAACTAGGCAGTGGTTCTTTGCATAGATTTAATGTATAATGTGTCATGTCTTTGTCTCTTTGTCCGGGAAATTATTATTTTATCCTGGTTAAATAAAAGTCTTGGTTAGTTCATTTGGTTAGGGTTAGGCTGGATTTTTGCTGGACCAAATGCCAAGATCCTAGCGAGGGTGCAGAGCTTTTAAGTCCAATACTTTGTCTGGTCAACTTTGCTGCTTTGCTTTTTGCTCACACATGTTACAGTTTGAATGCACTCAGTCTAACCTGCTTTGCAATAACCTGCTTTTTCCATCCTGTGCTTCCTCCTGTCTCCTCTTTGTCTGTCTCTCTCTTTGTCTGTCTCTCTCTCTGTCTGTCTCTCTCTCTGTCTGTGTCTCCTCTCTATCTGTATCTCTCTCTCTGTCTGTCTGTATCTCCTCTCTGTCTGTGTCTCTCTGTCTGTATCTCTCTCTCTCTCTCTCTGTCTGTATCTCTCTCTCTGTCTGTATCTCTCTGTCTGTATCTCCTCTCTGTCTGTGTCTCTCTGTCTGTATCTCTCTCTCTCTCTCTCTCTCTGTCTGTGTCTCCTCTCTCTCTGTATCTCTCTCTCTGTCTGTGTCCCTCTCTCTGTCTGTGTCTCCTATCTGTCTGTATTTCTCTCTGTCTGTGTTTGTGTGTGTGTGTGTGTGTGTCTCTCTCTGTCTGTATCTCTGTCTCTTTCTTGCTCTCTCTCTGTCTGTCTCTATCTGCCTCTCTCTGTCTGTCTGTCTCTGTGTGTCTGTCTCTCTCTATCCTCCTCTCTCTATCTATCTGTGTCTCTCTTTCTCTCTGCCTGTCGGTATCTCTGTCTCTCTCGCTTTCTCGCTCTCTGTCTCTGTCTGTGTGGGTGTGCCTCTCTTTTTGTCTGTCTCTCTCTCTCTCTCTGTCTGTCTGTGCTCCGTAAAACAGGCTCGTTGGCCGTTTCAGACGGTGATCCGTTCGAGGCCGTGGCGCGGTTCGACTACACCGGACGGACCAATCAGGAGCTGACGTTTAAAAAGGGCGATCGTCTGCTGATGTACCGCCGTGCGTCCAGAGACTGGTGGGAGGGACGCCACAACGGCAAGGACGGGCTCGCACCGCATCAGTACCTCATCCTCCCAGATATGTGAGAGATTCTGCCTTCATTACGGACTTTAATAGTACTGCAAAGACTGGAGTCAAATTTTTAATCACATTTTTTATTTATTTGCAAATTAGAATAATCTTATATTACTGAACAAGCTCATTGCAATACGACAATTGGCAAATGACACAATTTGTATATCTTCCCTAAAAAAACATGGGATGTTCTGTTATCAAAGTTTATACTTTTTATTCTAAAGTATGGATTATTTTGGCCCTGAAAAATTATACTTTGTCATTTCATGTTTAGAATGTGAAATAATATCTTAAGTACAGTGCCTTGCACAAGTATTCACCCCCTTGGCTTTTTACCTATTTTGTTACATTACAGCCTTTAGTTCAATGTTTTTTTAAATATGAATTTCATGTGATGGATCAGAAAACAATAGTCTAAGTTGGTGAAGTGAATATACTTAAAACTATTTTTCAGAAATAAAAAACTGGAAATTGGCATGTGCATATGTATTCACCCCCTTTGTTATGAAGCCCATAAAAAGCTCTGGTGCAACCAACTACCTTCAGAAGTCACATTAATAGTGAAATGATGTGGAAAAAAATCACTGACTATCTTTAAATAAATAAGTAAAAAAGTTGGAGCCGTCAGTATCAATAGAGGTATTTTTGCTGCTTTTATCCTCTTCAGGGATAGTCCCCACTGGTCTCTGCTTCCTGTTTGATTGAGTTCATGAGAAAGGTGTTTGTGTTCAGGGGCGACGGCGGCAGGGGAAGTCCTAAACTTGATCCTGACATGAAAGAGCTGCTGGAGGAGCGAGTGTCCACCAGGGGGAGTGCTGCCTCACCCACCGGAGCGCACGTGGCTGATATTTATCTGGCCAACCTCAACAAGTACGTGTTTGTTTCTGCAAGAATATTCACATGAACTCTTGTGCATCTTGTTCAGTTCCAGTCCTGTTTCCCACTCAAACCCATATGGACTTTTTACATGTTCAATTTAAAACTCAGAAAAGCAGTTTGCTATTTCTTCTCATGTGTAAGTGCTTTGTAACTTTTATTTGTAGAGTGCCTTTCCTACAGTAGTTAAAACCCTGTAGTTAAAAACCTTAAAACATTAAAATCTCACACAGGATTAAAATCATAAATCGCCATAGTGCATTGAGAAGATTCCCAGAGCAGCTGAGAGACATGTTTCAGCGTGTCCTGGGTCATGGTCTCCTCCCAGTAGAACCTCATCTGGCTCCTCTAGACACTGAGCAGCAGCAGCGGCTCCAGTCCGAGCTCTTCCCGTATGACTGAGCTCCTCACCCTGTTTCTAAGGGGCCACTCTGCAGATTAAGGCCCAGTGAACGCCGTATACAGTTTCCACATTTATAGTAACACATAATTTTTTCGCGCCTGTCTCCCTTAGATGATAAACGAGACTATTTTAAGAAATACTACATATTTTGTATATAAACCTGAAGTATCTTTCTGCAGATTTTTTCTTAGTAATTATATTTAACCTGTGAAATTTTCTGGAGAATACTGTAGTTTGACAAATGGGCGGGACCTCTGCTGCGTCCAATCAGGAAGCTGTGGGCGGAGCTTCGAACCTCCAAATCTCAGCACAAACCAGAACGCTGTTAGAACCCTCTGCCCTCACCCAATCATCTGCCCTCACCCACCCCTCTGCCCTCACCCATTCATCTGCCCTCACCCACCCCTCTGCCCTCACCCATTCATCTGCCCTCACCCATCCCTCTGCCCTCACCCATCCCTCTGCCCTCACCCATCCCTCTGCCCTCACCCATTCATCTGCCCTCACCCATTCATCTGCCCTTACCCATTCATCTGCCCTCACCCATTCATCTGCCCTCACCCATTCATCTGCCCTCACCCATCCCTCTGCCCTCACCCACCCCTCTGCCCCTAACCCATTCATCTGCCCTCACCCATTCATCTGCCCTCACCCATTCATCTGCCCTCACCCATTCATCTGCCCTCACCCATCCCTCTGCCCTCACCCACCCCTCTGCCCTAACCCATTCATCTGCCCTCACCCATTCATCTGCCCTCACCCATTCATCTGCCCTCACCCATCCCTCTGCCCTCACCCACCCCTCTGCCCTCACCCATTCATCTGCCCTCACCCATTCATCTGCCCTCACCCATTCATCTGCCCTCACCCATTCATCTGCCCTCACCCATCCCTCTGCCCTCACCCATCCATCTGCCCTCAGCCATTCATCTGCCCTCACCCATTCATCTGCCCTCACCCATCCCTATGCCCTCACCCATCCCTCTGCCCTCACCCACCCCTCTGCCCTAACCCGTCCCTCTACCCTCACCCATTCATCTGCCCTCACCCATCCCTCTGCCCTTTCCCATCCCTCTGCCCTCACCCATCCCTATGCCCTCACCCATTCATCTGCCCTCACCCATCCCTCTGCCATCACCCATCCCTCTACCCTCACCCATTCATCTGCCCTCACCCATTCATCTGCCCTCACCCACCCCTCTGCTCTCACCCGCCTACAATGTGACATGTTTTTTGCAGAATGCGCAAACATCCGGAGTCGATGAGCGTCAGGAGGAGCTTCCGGGCCTCGGACAGCGACGCGCCTCCCAGTGCAGGGGTCAGGACTACATCTCTGCCTGTAGGGGGCGCTATGGTGAAGGAGAGTCCAGACAAGAGGCCAGTGAGCGCCCACAGCATCCTCAACTCTGTGACCCGACACTCCTCCCTCAAGAGCAAGGCAAGGACCTCACTATTACATTTTATTATCAAGAAACAGGAAGTTCAGCGCTAATGTGGCTAACTCCTGCTAGCTCAACGGCTCCGACTCACACTGGTCTCTGTGGTGAATAGATATATGGCAAGGCAAGTTTTTTTGTATAGCACAGTTCATACACAAGGCACAAGCACTTAACAAAACAAGATAGAAACAATCAAACACAACATTAAAATCATAAATAATCACAGTGCATTAAAACAAGTAAAGACACCTTCAGTCGTTGCAGCCAAACAGAACCTTTTAGATTAGAAGCCTGTCTTACATGTTCAGGAAGACTGTTGCAGATTTTAGCTGCATGAATCTGAAATGCTGCCTCCCTATGTTTAGCCCTGATTCTGGGCACCAGCAGGAGGCCAGTCCCTGTGCTCCTCAGAGTCCCAGCAGGAGGCCAGTCCCTGTGCTCCTCAGAGTCCCAGCAGGAGGCCAGTCCCTGTGCTCCTCAGAGTCCCAGCAGGAGGCCAGTCCCTGTGCTCCTCAGTCCTCCTTAGTTCATATGGCACTAACATGTCACAGATGTACTTTGGTGCGAGGCCATGGAGAGACTTGTTCACAAACAGAGCTGGTTTAAGTCTAGTCTCAGAGCTTTTATTGAAGATAGCTGCTAGACATTGTTTAATTATTTGTTGAATAATGTAATGTGTGTCTTCAGGTGGAGAGCCCACAGCTGCGTAAATCGACCCCAGCGGGACGCTCTAAAAGCTTCAGTAACCACAGACCACTGGACCCAGAGGTGATCGCTCAAGTGGACCACAGTTCACAGGTAAAAACCACTGACTTTTATACACTTTTAACTGATGTACTTTTATCTATTCACGTTGTCTAGGCAACAGAACAAATCATAAAGATCAAAACTGTATTTTGCTTTAACCACTAAAGTGATGTCAAAAAATGATTTGACTGACGTGTTCAGAATTTGATACAGAAATAAGGCCAAGAATGCAGGAGTTAAAAATAGAACATTTAATTCTCTTTACAATTAAATATTGATACAAAAACTCTCGGAGCCCTAAATTCTCTAAAACTAACCCTATGCTGAGCCATTCTAACTGTCCCTCCAGGCCTGAAAAATGTGCAGGGGACATCCAGGCGCTCTGCGATGTTCCCTGTCTAACTATCCCTGCTCAGACTGCCTGAAAATCTCCTCCGAGCAGTTTCTATCAGAAAGTCTGATGACGTCACAGGTCCCAGACTGGTCCAGTCTGATCCAGCTTTTTCTGGTTTTGGGAGGCGCGTACTCCAGCTAGCCCATTGGACTCTGGACTCTGTCTGGTCTGGTCTTGGTCTGGTCTGACATCAATCTCCTTCTCCAAACAACTCTTATCTGGCTGGGGGAGCTCTGCATTCCTCACATGGTCTGGCTGACTCGACTAGACCCCACTTAATATGAAATCACTGAAAATATAAACAACGTGTGCAGCATTTCTTGAGATGATGCATTATTCCCTCTTTTGACCTATATTAAACCAATTTAGGTCACAATCTTTCAATATCCCTTCTGGGTGACGGGACTGGGGAACTCTTCCATCATCGCCTTGGTTCTGGCTCGTTATCTGTGAAGAGTTAATACAGAGAAGACAAACAACACACAACAAACCACATTCGAAACATTCCTTCACTAAACTCTTTGATGACTACTGCTATGTCCTTCTGAGTCTTTCTTCAACCTCGTCTGTAATGTATGCACTGAATCTATTCACTATAGTTTAAACTATTCTAATCTATTTACAAATATGTTTGCATATTTTGCTTTTATTGAGCCCTATTCTTAAACATATGTTTTTATCTAATAAATCTGTCTATACTGTGGTTTGCTGTCATTATCAGTGGCTTTGTGCCATTTTGTGGGGCTTTGCTCATTTTTCCAAACACATTTTGTTGAACCAGGAAGTGCTGTCACTTCCTCCTCTCAAGACAGTTTGGGATAAATGTACATCGTTAATCAAATTGGTATTATCCGTACAGGAGCTAATCTATTTTAGCAGGTTTCTCTGGGGTCAGTCCCTATACAACGGTATTTGATTCTCTAATCTGTTGCTGACAAATCAACAGTTTTTTTAAATTCTCAAAAATACCTAAATATCTACTTTTGTGCTTTACCCAAATACATTAAAATGCTTTCAAATGTTTTTGAATCTGTGTTGGTTCTAATCGATCTCATTAATCTATCTCATTAGCTTTTTGCATTGTCAACATTCACCCATGTTTGAAACAAGTGAATTTGACAGTATCTAATAAAACTGTGCATAAACTGTAATGAACTTTATCTACCTTTGAAGTAAATACTTTTAGACATAATATGAAGGAAATGGTCCTTTTACCGTTTGATATTAGCCTTGGCTAAAAATAATCTCTATTTTTGAAAGCATCTATGGTTGATGCATTTATCTATTCCTATTTTTACTCTATTGTGACTCTAAAGCTCGGTTGCAGCTTGAGCAAAGGCATATTCCCAATTTTTGAGTTCTGATTGTAACAATTGCATTGGCAATAGACGATTTTTTATTGGCCGGTTCTTGTTCTGCAAATCATTATTCTATGTATTGTATTTCAGACAATTCCAAAAACAACACAGTCGTTCTCCAATATTAAAGACATACATCTAAATCAAGTTGCCTGAAAGGGATTTTAACTATTTTAAAACGTTCTCTACGATTATAAGGCTATGAAATTAATTATTTAATAAACAAAAGCACATTCATGGCTTCTGTCCACTGCTTATAACTGTTTAAAGAGTTGTCCCAAACTTAATGTGTGTAAATACATCAGCTGTTTGTAATAAACAATAACATTTAACCTGTTCTCCAATGGAGCAGCTCAGAGGCTGCGTCAAGAGCAATGTTATATTTGAGCTATTTTTAGATTTAAAATTGTGTTAAAGCCTGTCGTTCTATGTCTGCATTTTAATACTACTCTCTATAAACACCTCTGCACCAGTTCCTACAGATGTGGAAAACAGAAACATCTAAAATCTGACTCCATTTGATTCCTTTTTACTTTAGTTATTAGAACAATTTGACCTTATTGATACTTATTTCCACAATAGAACTATTTTGATTATTCACTAGTCTAACTATTATTACTATTGTTTATTCTGACACTTCAACCTATAGCTCCTCGAATCCAATGACATTATAGCTCCAGACTATTTCATTCTATTCTATTATTATCTTATTATTATATGATCTATTATCTTAAAGAGTAGATCCGTTTGATGTTATAAGCGCTATTATTTCTCCTTTTGAATTTGCACAACACTAAATTTAGAATGACCCCCTATACTCCGAAAATTACTTAATAATTTTCCCATTTTGCTTTTTTAGGCTGCCCTTTCTATTATTTATTTGTTCTTGTAAATATATGTTTTACACTTCTTTCTAATGATTTAGAAGGTTAAGGACCATGACCACCTATGACAATAACATTACTATACTCCTCTTTTGGTCGTGGTCCAAAGTATAAAACATGCATCTGTATGTGTGTGTAGATTACTGTTCCAATCCTGTTGCTCCTCCCGGATCGTCCTCAATTCATATTGTGGGCTTTGGTGCCAAAGTAGAGGCTCATTTCCTTAATTCATACTACTGTCATCCCTGAAGCAGGTGCAGTTTATCTTTCATCTGAAAAACAAACATTAGAACACAAGAAACACCCACTTTCCTCTCTTCGCATGGTGCGGCCTGTCAATCAATCCAATTGGGCAAAACATAACTGCATTGACAGACGGTGTGTGGCATCAGGGCAGAGGCTGTAGCCAAATACAGACTTAACAAAATGTATGTTTCTAATTTTATACTCCCCTAAATGTGAATTACAAACCAAAGTTGTCCTCCGCCCAATGACCGCTCACTGCGGTTGGACCGAATCACTGTCCGGGCAAACAGCAGAGGGGGGGGACTCCCAATACCTTCAGCAAGGTATTCATCTCAGAGTACTTTCCGCAGAGTACTTTTCTCAGAGTACTCATCCCAGAGTACTCTCACTTTTACACCTGTTCAATAAAGCTTGAATCTCTAGTACACCGTATGCTGTTGACAAAAAATAATTATTCCATGATCACATTAAAACATTACAGAAAACTCTCCGTTCAGTACTTAAGGTCAACGTAGTGTATTGGACGTATGCTGTTGACAAAATTAACAACACAAGAGGCCTGTTAATTTTAACTTTGTTATATTTTTCCATGTCCAATTACAATTGTCTCATGAGCTATTTTATAGTTGCAACTTTTCAGGAGCCTGCAGAACATGCAAAGCTTTGAGAGATTTTTCCTAAAAGGATCCATTTCAAACTTTAGTGTTTAAACCACGTGGTCTTTACTCGGGCTTGTCACAAACTGTGAACATATAACAAACTATAACACACAAACATTCATAACATACACAAACATATAAACACACACAAACATATAACATACACAAACATATAACATAACACAAACATATAGACAACACAAGAGGCCTGTAATTTTAACTTTGTTATTATTTTTCCATGTCCAATTACAATTGTCTCATGAGCTATTTTATAGTTGCAAACTTTCAGAGCCTGCAGAACATGCAAAGCTTGAGAGATTTTTCCTAAAAGGATCCATTTCAAACTTTAGTGTTTAAACCACGTGGTCTTTACTCGGGTTTGTCACAAACTGTGTCCCTATATTTTTAATGAGCTCTTGTTACTAAAAAAAAACTCATGCACGTGCAATAAATGTTTTTCCCTTTTTTTTTTTTAAAGCCAGTTCGGATTCCTTAAAAATGTAAATTAGTTTCAAACTTTAATACTTCACCTTTGTTTCACGTTCATGTGGAGAAAAGACCATTGTTTTATGTGTGTGTACTTGCGCCAATCATGTCTCAGATAAAACTGCCAACAGTTATATCAAAGACATAATTGTCCTAATTGTTTCTAATTTAGCTATTTGGAAGAGAAAAAGTCATAAAAGATTTCAAAAAATGTCCCTACATCTTTGTTTTCAACCAATGAACAGTTGTTGCGTCTATGTGTTATCAGAAATGATCCAATATTCACCTTTAGCCCAAAATTCAGAAATGCTTTAAATCATTTTCAAACTTTAATTGGTCTGAACAAACCATTTTGTACTAAATGCAGCGTCCATTAAAAGCTGCAGTTCTCTTTCTAGCACCAGTTTCATCTGTGCATGTGATTGTTCTTAAATGATAACGAGCCACGGTTCAGAGGTTGAAACACTCTTTACTGCTTTAAATATCCGTATTACCAAGATCATGCAGTGTCAAAATCAATAATTCTAAACTTCTCCACGTCTATAACTTTAAATAATACTAGTTTCAATAATAGAGCTCCTCTACTTTAAATATTACATGCTGTTCTAATCTCCTTGTGTCTCATGCTAAAGCTAAGAGTCTAATTAATTTTAACGATTGTCTGTATTCTTTCATGCAGCTAAATGTGGTGTTATGAACGAATGACCTAAATGTGTAAATATGACTTAATATGGTCTCTGTGCTTTTGTTGTCTGTATATATTTTACCTTCTGTCTGTCTCATTTGCCCGGCCACGTCCTCCTCAAATAGTGTCTGTTAATGTCTCTTTATTTTACTCATGGCGTCTTTCAAGTCTTTTGTCTCAAAGTGTCCAATGCCTTTGCCTCAATGCCTTTTTTCTTCCTCTTCAAAACAATCACTTTTCTTTCTTCTTCTTCTTTTCAATCAATCTTTCTTTTTCCTTCCGATAACTTTTTCTCATAATGTCTTTCCTTTTCAATCACTTTCTTCTTCTTTCGACAATTTTTCTCATGTCTTTCTTCTTCTTTCTTCTTCTTTCAATCTGACACACCCAAATGTGTCGTGTCCTTCTGCTCGGCTCACACACCGTTCCTCTTCCTGCACATAACTTCACCCAGTTTGTGCAAAAGTCTGTGGCCTGTACTTTGCTGCAGATGATGATGATGATGCTGCTGCTGTTGCTGCAGCCGATACTGCTGCGGATGATGATGATGCTGCTGCTGTTGCTGCAGCCGATACTGCTGGAGATGATGATGATGATGATGCTCGGTTGTGGTTTGTGGCAGGGACGATTTTGGCGATCGGCCAATGAAACAGGACAGAAGTTTTCTCAGAAAAAACAGATTCTTAAAGAAACACAAACAAGTGTGTTAGAGGGAGAATTAAATAAACCTATGAAATAATTACTATTAACATTTTTAGAGAGAGAGAGCAGACAGAAAGAGGGAGGGGGGGGGTCAAAAGAATAACACAATGCTGAGTGGCCTGTATGCAAGCATTTTTCAGAGAGGGAGCCAGGAGGGAAAGAGGGAGGGGGGGGGCTGAGTGGAAAGCATTTTTCAGAGAGGGAGGAGAAGGAGGGGCTTTGTGGCTTCTCAAACAGAGGAGTACATGTACGACTGAAATACACAAAATTCATGAACATCCCCTTTAAAATTTGCTACATTTTCCTCGTTTTTTATCGTGACAATGTTTTATCAGTGGTGAGAGTTCTCTCACGTCAAACGACACTTTACATTTATTTAAATACGTCAGTAATGGAAAACATTACAATTTGCTTACATGAAGAATGCATCACTAGGTACAGCCAGATCTTTTTCGTAATACCTCTGTAACTACTGAAACATTACATCACAATACAAGAGAACTTCCATAACTGATCTGGTCATTTCTCCACATGGAAACTCGTATTTACAGCCAAGTGGCTCTCTTTTTCCTCATTAATCAGATCATTATTATTCAATAGTCAAAATCGAACAGTTTTAAATACTTGGCTTTTTTGTTTAAATTAAATGTACCCTTTTTCCTGTCCCTATTTCTAATTTCACTAAACACTTGTGCCTCTTTTGCACTTTAAAACGGTGTGCCTCTTTTGCACTTCTAAAACCCTTGTGGACTTTGTTTTCCCTTTTTGTTTTTTTAGAGGGGACCCCAAAATTCCCTCAAGGTAAAACGTCAAATAAACCTGACTATTGTTTTATCGCGTCCGATAAAACGCCCATCACGGCGGGTCTGTCCACACCTGCAGTCATGTTGGGCCGAGATCTCTCTGTCTTCTATTTAAAACAATGTGCAGATTTTAGAAATGGTATCTGCTTACCTGTGTTTTGCAGAGTAGAGAGCCCCCAGACCCAACAGACCCAGTCTATCTATCTGAGCTCATCTTGCGTCTTCTTTCTGTATCAAATCACGTCAGGGTCACCATCTGATGTCAAAAAATGATTTGACTGACGTGTTCAGAATTTGATACAGAAATAAGGCCAAGAATGCAGGAGTTAAAAATAGAACATTTAATTCTCTTTACAATTAAATATTGATACAAAAACTCTCGGAGCCCTAAATTCTCTAAAACTAACCCTATGCTGAGCCATTCTAACTGTCCCTCCAGGCCTGAAAAATGTGCAGGGGACATCCAGGCGCTCTGCGATGTTCCCTGTCTAACTATCCCTGCTCAGACTGCCTGAAAATCTCCTCCGAGCAGTTTCTATCAGAAAGTCTGATGACGTCACAGGTCCCAGACTGGTCCAGTCTGATCCAGCTTTTTCTGGTTTTGGGAGGCGCGTACTCCAGCTAGCCCATTGGACTCCGGACTCTGTCTGGTCTGGTCTTGGTCTGGTCTGACATCAATCTCCTTCTCCAAACAACTCTTATCTGGCTGGGGGAGCTCTGCATTCCTCACATGGTCTGGCTGACTCGACTAGACCCCACTTAATATGAAATCACTGAAAATATAAACAACGTGTGCAGCATTTCTTGAGATGATGCATTAAAAGCCACTAAAGCAGGCATGTTCAAACTACGCACCTGTGTGACATTGTATGTGGCCTTCTGCCTTTCTATCATAATCTCACAGTGTCCTCCAGCCAACTTCAGCTCCATCAATATAGTCATGTTATCCAACCAGTAGCTCACCAAAGGATTTAGAAATGAACAAATCAAATAATATTCTTAATATTTCAGATTCATTATCTATCATTGTAAATGCACTTATTTTGTGCACTTGTAACAAATGCGATGATGAATAATGAATACACCCGATATCAGGCTTGATATCAGGGCCACTTAAAAGTTTAGCCTTTATCGTCATGAGAAAGACGCTCTCCGGGTGAAAAAAGTTGGAGACACCTGAAATATAGTCTTCAATGTTCCAGGTGAATGTCCCAGAGAGTTGTGTGGCCGTACTTTATGTTGTGTTGTTCTAATACCTGTGTGTTTCCGCAGGACATCGAGGCGGCCATGAGCAGTGCGCTGAGTGAGCTGCGGGAGCTGGAGCGTCAGAGCTCGTCCAAACACACGCCTGACGTGGTTCTGGACACTCTGGAGCAGCTGAAGGGCGGGGGCGGGGCCTCGGAGCCCTCCAGCCCACTGCACTCCAGGCTGAGGGACGCTGAGGGCTCCCACCACGCTCACCCCCTCCAGCGGAGCGCCTCCTCTGCCAGCGACGTGCCCTCCTCCTTCAGGGCCAAACCCCGCAGCCCCCTGCCCTCCGCCTCGCCCTCGCTCTCCTTCTCCGCCCTCTCCACCTCCGTGCCCTCCTTCAGGGAGCTGCGTCCTCCCGCCACACGCCCCAAACCGGTGGTGTTCCCCAAAGGCACCGGGGGCAGTGGGAGTCCGGCCATGGGCTCTCCCACCTCCACCGTGCCCCCTGCAGCTCCTCCCCCTCTGTCCCACACACCTCCTCCCCCTCCTCCCCCGCAGGCCAACGACAAGTCATGTCCTGCTTAGACGTGTCTTCAACCACTGCTTCTGTTGAGAATCACTTCAGCCACGTGCTCTGCTCTGGACAGACACACAATTGTTGTGAAAATTAGAATCCTGAGAAATTGGAACGTTAACAAAGACTAAATACAACAGTGAACGTCTCTCACTCCTGCGATGTGCTTGTGGGTCGTTACAGTATCATGTTCAAGTTAGCTTTTATAAAGCCTAATAATGCATGGAATATTATGAAAAAGTCAAAAGAATTCCTCAAATAATCCCAAAATGACTTAATGCTTTGTTTCTTTGTAAACACCTTAAACTTGGATGAGTTCAAAATAGGTATTTAATTACTAATGTTGAGATAATTACTTCTCAAAACTGTACAAACCTTTAATCAAACCTAGCTTTGGTTTCCACGTGGATTTAAGAATGAGACAGCAGCTGCAGAATGACATGTAGCATTTGAGTAAGTGACTTGTGCCAATCTCTCCTGAATCCTCCTGTTCCTCCTTCAGGACTCTCTCCTGAATCCTCCTGTTCCTCCTTCAGGACTCTCTCCTGAATCCTCCTGTTCCTCCTTCAGGACTCTCTCCTGAATCCTCCTGTTCCTCCTTCAGGACTCTCTCCTGAATGGTCCTGTTCCTCCTTCAGGACTCTCTCCTGAATGGTCCTGTTCCTCCTTCAGGACTCTCTCCTGAATGGTCCTGTTCCTCCTTCAGGACTCTCTCCTGAATGGTCCTGTTCCTCCTTCAGGACTCTCGCCATCAGAGATTCAAGGGAGCGCTCACTGGACTTAATCTTATTTTCTTAAAGGGATCAGGACTCCAGACTGGAACGACATCATTATTTCTACTGGAGTGAGTGTGCAACAGAGGGCCTCGCCTTTACTTATGAAAAGCACTATTTAAACATGTAATATAGATGTCTTTTTCTTTCTTCAAACGGCCTATTGCAAGTGGAATATGTGTTTGAATATTTGACTGTGAAAAGCTACAGATACTACGTTGACTTGCTGCTTGTAAAACACAGATGGACCTGTTTCGAATCATTCAAAGACTTAAGCAATGGTCCAAATATGAGCAGAAGTCACATGACCAAGAGCTTTATTATTTTATCACCTCTTCCATAATTTGTTGATGGTGATTTTACTTGTGTTTCGATGTGTAGTGACAAAAAGAGACGTTTTAACAGCAGTGGAAGCAGGACTTTGAAAGGGGCTGGCTTCATGTGCACACCGGTGTTTAGCTGAGGATAATCTTAAAGCAGATTTGTTTGCTGTTTTTGCTAAAGTCTTTACCATAGACTTTATATAGATGGACAATGCTAACCCCTGAGCTCAATGAGGTCCAACAGGCAAGTGCGAATGCTGAAAGTTTTGCTCCTATTGACCCCTCTAGCTCAGTAACAGTTTTGTGCCAGACTCGGCTTTGATTCAGGTTTTTATCACGATATCGTCGATGTAAATCCAGATATGAGCCATTAAAACAAGCCAATCATGAGCAGGGACAGACGATCCATGGGACAGACGATCCATGGGACAGACCGGTGCTGTCGGTCTGCTGCTCCTGATTGGTGCTTGGTAACTCGGTTGTTGCTACAAACTAAATCTGCAAACTTTAGTTCAACTAAATACATTTTGCTCCACGTTCCCGCTCATAAAGCCTGTTTGAGTTCATTCTAATCCGCCTCCTGCATTGAGGCTAACACTATGGGTGAGGTCAGCACTCGCTCAGTCCACTCCTAATAAGTCTATGGTCTTTACCCAGAGCTTTAGCATGTAGCGTTTAGCCAATGTAGCACTGACCGCTGCTATGAATATTTGACCAGTTTATGCAAAAAACCCAATTATAATCAGTGTATTTACTGGTAATATTGTGCCCAATATGATGCAAGTTTTAAAATTATTGGGCATCAACTTTTTCACTAGTTTTCCTGTGACGGTGGTCATCTTCCATTCTAAAAAAATCTATAATATATATATATGTAGTGCACATAAACATGTTTGTTCAAAATAGTGCAGGCGTTGATATTTTCCCATTTATTTTTGTATTGCCTTAAATTACAACAGCTGCCTTGTTGATTCGCCATCAACAGATCAGACAATAAAAAACATTTCCAACACAGGAAAAAGCAAACAAATTGATAGATAGATACTTTATTGATCCGCGCAGGAGAAATTCAGATGTCCAGTAGCAGCAAAAATAAAAAATAAAATGAATCATTCTAAAAAACTAACAATAGTAATAATCAGCAACAGCCCTTCAGGTCAGTGGGATCATAACTGCCCTTAGACCCTCCTGAATCGATTGGGGGAGGCCCACATTGAGACAGATGGCCAGGCTATTTGTAGCTTCAAAGTATTTGGGAGGACTTTCTTCTTCTGGGTGGATCATCTAAATAATTGGTCCTCCTAATTATCAATCATTCTGGTGAGATGCGAGACACGTTTTAATAGGCGTTTCATCTTTCTGAATATTCTGGAAAATCCTCCTATATCCCTTTTAATACTGGTTATAGTGATATTCCAAATTGTGCCAAAAACAAATTCACAATTTCTGGTCAAAATTAGAAGTCCTCAAAAAGTATTTCCCATCAGAGCAGAGCAGTTTGAACGTCAGCATGAACGCACAAATCTAAAATGTATGTGTGTGTCATGAGCCAGCCCCTTCACGTGTGTATAGCAATAAACAGAAGAGCAGCAGCTGTTTCCATCCGCTTGTTTTTCCCCTTTTGGCTCGATGTAACAAACCAGTGAAAACACAAGGACTTTTTTGGACTGTGCACGTTTCTGTGGCAGCTAAAACTTCTGGTCAGGTTTTTCATTCTGGGGACGAGGACAGCAGCAGCAGCAGCGACGTGGGAATTCACTTTTGGTCTGAGAAAAACTGTTTTAATGTCTGTTGTAATTAATATTCATAAGTGGAAACGTGACACAGAGGTTATGGAGCACTGCAAAAAAGGAAACCAGCTGAAATACCTACAATTGTACCAATCTTGTTTGGATACTTTGCTGTTTTTTGCCTGTGTTTTGAATCTTTTTTTTAACCATTCTCAAAGACATTTATATTTTTTTTCCCAGCCACAGTTTAGGGCATTGAGACTGAGATAATAGTTTTAGATTGCGTTAATTACTCACTTTAATTCAATTAGTTTGTGTATAGCCCGACTTTACAACAGTGTCGATTCACCCACAACAGATCAGAGAATCAAAATGAAGAAATCCAGTAATAGCAAACACATAGGAGCCATTTGTTTGTTATTATTGTATTTGACTAGACCTCTTTCTCTCTAAAACATGGTCAAAAAACAGCTCAAATTATCAAACCAATTTTGGATTCTTGTACATTTCTTTTGTCAGGCATTTCCCTTTTTGCAATGAGTGAGATAAGCACAACCACGACCACCTCATCCAATGCGTTTTTTTGAATATGATTTTTTTTTTGGAATACCTTTAATTCACTCTGGTTTCTCATGTCGATTGTTGATGGTGAAAATGTGGGACCGTGTAACAGGTGTGCGTTAGCATGTGCGTGTGCGACTTTTTGTGAGCTTGCATGAATGTCCATTATACAGTCTGAAAAAGCACCAACTCATTTTTGGGCCAAATGTTGATTATTCGATGATTATGCACTCTTATGTATGCGGTTATAGCAAATGCAGAGGCCGTATGGACCCCATGGAGTGGTTTTGTAATTCCCATGGAAATTATGGCATGGAACAAAATGGCATTTGTTGTTAAAGATGCACAGCTGGCTTTTTTGTACCACGCAGCGACAATGCTCTGGAGTTTGACTGAAAAATATAAGTTTTGTTAAAGCTGGGGTACTTAACTTTGAAGCCAAAATGGAACTATGCAAGAAAATCCACGGAGCTACTGTGGTTACATCGTTCCTCGCTCTCAAGCCAGTTTAGCTTCGTCACTCGTTTGTCCAATGTATTTTTGCCTCTGTCACAACTTTTAGATCAGATTTTTCAGATGGAAAAGTGAAAAAGAGAGGATGACCAATCAGCTCTCAGCCCAAAGCGCCAACAAGTGACTCACAGGGTTCTTTCTGTTGTGACGAGCAAGACATAAAAGTTAAATACCCCAGTTTTAAACCTTAAAGACATTCTGTGTGATTTTTACGGCTGCTCCATATGAAAAAACATGTTAACTAATATCAAACGTGACCTTTTTAAGAATATTTACCTCCACCATGTTTTTTAAATTGTATTCAGAGGCTTAGAAATCAACTTTTTAATGTCTATGAGAGCAGAGTACTTTCGAAGACCACAGTTATGTAGAAGAAACACCCAAACAACAATCTTTTTGAAAAAATATTTTGTAAAAGACCGGCTTCATAGCAGCAAAGTGTCAACATCGCAAACCACACGCACCGAACAATACATAACTGTTTTCATACCAAAAGTGAAGAGAACGAGGCAGAATCTACAACACGGTCTCAGGATGTTCTGGCCCGATTCGAGTCCAACTACTGTCACAAGTTTCAACAAAATGTATTACGGGGACAAGCCTCAAATATGCAAAATACACAGAATCCCCGCAAAACAATCGCCAGGAGACTTTATCACCAGCGTGAGTGAATGTGGTGTTTTCTTACCGTGATGCGGGTGAAAGCTAATATTCTGATAAATGCTAATAATCCGAGCTTTAGCCGTAGTTCTGCCGCGGCTGTGTCCATGTCCACGGCAATGTCCTGCTTCTCGGATCATCGGTTTTAAGCTCACACAGAATTTTTGAAATAAATCCAACTCATTGTGCAGCCTTGATTTACGAAATCTTTCAATCTTACATGGGTCAATCTTTGTCGCTGCGATCGCAAAAAACAGCTTTATTTTTGAAAAGACCAAAAGACACTGTAGCTAGCTCAACTGTAGCTTAAGTAGAAACATCTATAGTTTTCAAATCACACGTTTTAACTTTTGCCAAATATAGAACGAGGCCTTTTTTAAACGAGTATTAGCTGGAATATGTCCAATCATGAATCTATCTTTGTGGAATGAGGCTCTTCTGCGATTGGTTGACTGGAGCTATAGTTTCTTACATGCATTCGCCCGATGCAACTATTACTTAAGCTTAGGAATATTGTGATTAATTTCCAGCCTTCGTTTTTGAGCCCTCTTGTCGTTTCTATGAGAGCACAAGATACGTTTAATCACTTGCTAAAACCGTTTCCTCGTGTAATGCCAGCTTTGTGCATCTCATTGTGAACTGGAGCTGTTTTTGGCCTGTGTGCAACAATGTGTGAGGATGATCTGAATATTGTATGCATTTTGTGTGTGTCCAGTGGAAAATGAAACTAAAAAAAAGAGACTGTAATGTTAAATCTATTTATAGTTTTATCTGTATTTCTGGAGAATCCTGTGTCAGATGTACTTTGTATATACACACTTGTACATTTCAGAGGTACATTTCTTGGTTTGCTTTTCCTTTTTTGGGGGTACAATATTAATGTACAGTAATAGCAATAGTGGTTTAATCGAATAGGCCTTATAATTCTATGTGTAGTTCTGGTAGTAAATCTGTTTTCTTAAATAAACATTGCTTGCAATAAACGTGAATGAATTCTTTGTTAACTGAAAAATGTGAAGTCAAAATACCTGACAATTACTCACGTGACAATAATGCCAGTTGTTTTTGAATTGTCAAAATGTTTAGGCAAAAATAAGTGAATAAACTTCGGCCTAAACCATTTCAGTCAGAATTACGTTTTACGATATTGACAAGAAAGTTTATGAATTATTTTGATCTTATTGACTGAAATATAATTACCACCACTATATATCGCTTTTTATGGACACTCAAAGACACGTTGCATGGCACTATTCATTCACTCCATACATTGAGGTGACGAGCTCTTATTGTAGCCATACCTGCCCTGGGGCACACTGACAGAATAAAGGCAACCAACCTGTGCCATTAGCTCCTGCAACCACCACCAATCATTCACACACACCAGCCTCATTCTAGGCAATGTGGGTGAAGTGTAATGCCTAAGGATACAACAACAGTGTATCTATCTATCAATCTATCCACTCTCTTTCAGACACAAATGTTTTTTGATTTGTTTTAATTATAATTAAGCAACTGTATGGTCCTGTGTTTGCCTGAAATACATAATTGAATAAATAAATACATACATATATATCTATCTGTATTAAATATGCAAAGATATACATATAAATAGATACATTTATTAATTCATAAAGCCATCTGTGGAGGAAATGGGTCAGAGAAGCAGAAGCGACTGTAAAGATCCATATCAGTTTTTTCCCTGCACAAAAACTCAAACTTTTTCCCCCCAACACAGAGATATTATCTCCGTGAGAGAGAAGAGCAATAGACTTTTGCCTACGCGCATTTCCGCCTTTGTTCTCGTCAGTTTATGGGCGTAAAAATGTCACAGCGACTCTTCCATAACAGCACGCCGCCAAACAACCACTAACTCTCGGCTTTGGTGGAGGGAAAAACAACCAGGAGATCCGCCTTCACCTGCGGCTGCTGCGCGGGTCCTGGTCCCGGTGTGGAGCCAGGTAAGGCACCGGAGACTGTGGATACTACGGTACGTGAAGATTCGGAAGTTGTTATGGTTGGACATATTCGATGTTGAAGTTGGTTTGGTTAGTTTTAGTGTCAGAAAATGCTGGATTAGTGACTACATTTAGCCCTTTTGTTATTCTTGTGTTGAGTTGACATTGAAGAGACTATAGCCCCGTTTCCACCAACTCTACTCTACTCTACTCTACTCTACTCTACTCTACTCTACTCTACTCTACTCTACTCTACTCTACTCTACTAAACTCTACTCTACTCTACTCTACTAAACTCTACTCTACTCTACTCTACTCTACTCTACTCTACTCTACTCTACTAAACTCTACTCTACTCTACTCTACTCTACTAAACTCTACTCTACTCTACTAAACTCTACTCTACTCTACTCTACTCTACTCTACTCTACTCTACTCTACTCTAAACTCTGCTCTACTCTACTCTACTCTACTCTAAACTCTGCTCTACTCTACTAAACTCTACTCTACTCTACTCTACTCTACTCTACTCTACTCTACTCTACTAAACTCTACTCTACTCTACTCTACTCTACTCTACTCTACTAAACTCTACTCTACTCTACTCTACTAAACTCTACTCTACTCTACTCTACTCTACTCTACTCTACTCTACTCTAAACTCTGCTCTACTCTACTCTACTCTACTCTAAACTCTGCTCTACTCTACTCTACTCTACTCTACTCTACTCTACTCTACTCTACTCTACTCTACTCTAAGCTCTACTCTACTCTACTCTACTCTACTCTACCCTACTCTAGTCTGCTCTACTCTACTTTACTCTAAACTCTACTCTACTTTACTCTACTCTACTCTTCTAAACTCTTCTAAACTCTTCTCTACTCTACTTTACACTACTCTACTCTAGTTTGCTCTACTCTACTCTACTCTACTACTATACTGGTTTGTTGCCGTTATTATTATGGATCCATGGTTTGTTGTGGGTACACACAAACGTACAAATACAGTGTTTGTCAAACCAACACCGGGTAATGAGAGATCAGGTCTATGGAGGTAACAGCAATGAGTCTCTCCATGGCTTCTCACCAAAGTATATTAGTGACATGTTAGTGACATATGAACTTATTCGGACTCAAGGAGCACAGGGACTGGCCTCCTGCCGGGACTCCGAGGAGCACAGGGACTGGCCTCCTGCTGGTCCCAGAACTAACCATGGGGAGGCAGCATTTCAGATAAACATATAAAACAGGTTTCTTCTCTGACAATGTTCAAATCCAGGTTAAAACAGTTCTGTTTAGCTGTGGGATTGTGTCTTCACTCGTTTTCATGTACTTTGATTACATGTGATTTAAATGCCATGTTTTTTCTTGTTTTCTTAAGTACTCAGAGTTGCCTTGTGTAAGAAATGTGTTACAACTAATTTACGCTCCTTGAGTCCGAATAGGTTCATATGTCACTAACAGTCACTAATATACTTTGGTGAGAAGCCATGGAGAGACTTGTACACAGGCAGAGCTGCTATCTCTTCTCTGATCCACAGGAGCCAGTACAGAGACCTGATAACTGGACTAATGTGATGGTACTTCTTGGTTTTAGTCAGGACTCAAGCTGCAGCGTATACATAAAAAATCATTCAACTAGAGGCACCCCTTCAGAGTCTCATTGTTTCATCTGTGAAAGTGGTGTCTAACATTTTTCCACCAATGCTGTATTGTATGTTTTGTTTGATCATGTGTGCTTTGCTTTGCTTTGGCTTCTTAAAGAGCTGCTTCAAAGATGGCGGCGATAACAGCGAGCACGACCAACTACCTGTGGTCTATGCAGGACATCCTGGGACACGGGGCCACAGCCAGCGTCTACAAGGCCCGCCACAAGGTCTCAGTTCCACCAGTATTTCAGCAATGTCTTCACTCTTTTATTGTATAAATGTATGTGTCGATAGAAAAGGATTGACAATATTGGGATTCTATCTATCTGTCTATGTATCTATTTATCTATGTATCTATCTGTCTATGTATCTATGTATCTATCTGTCTATGTATTTTTTTAACTGTATTTTTTACAGTTACTCAAAATGAAAAAAACATGTTAACCAATAACAAATGTGACCTTTTTAAGAATATTTACCTCCACCATGTTTTTGAATTGTTGTCAAAGGCTTAGAATTTGACTTAAAAATGTACATGAGAGAGGGAGGACTCTACATGTCAAGGCACCATCTTGAAATGCAGTGGTTGATAAGGGACAAAAAGGAGTTTGAGCAGGAGTTGGAGACCACTGTCAAAGGCGACATATTGACCTGTGAAGCTACAGTAGTGCTGTAGATTACAAATATATGATCTCAACTAGAACGCTAGATGGGAGTAAAAACTACACAGTGTACCTTAAATGGAGAAAATTCTGGCTTCATTAAAACAAGATTTTCCAATGGGACAAAGCAAAATGATCTTATTTGGAAAGATGCAAGAAATGTCTCCATTGGATGAGAAAATTCAACGACAGTTACTAAATGGCTTTGTCCCATTGGAGAAATCTTGTTTTTAGACAGAATTAACTAAAATTAACATAAAAAACACTCGATTCAAGAATTTATTACCTCATATTTTATCAGCTTTGCAGTATATTGAAGGCCAAGTGTGTGCAGTGTGTGTATACGCATGTGTTGATTGTGCTGCTTTGTGTTTTGTGTGAGCAGCGGAGCGGGGAGCTGGTGGCTGTCAAAGTCTTTAACGTGGTCAGCTACAACCGTCCACACGAGGTCCAGATGAGGGAGTTCGAAATGCTGCGAAAGCTCAACCACAACAACATCATCCGACTGCACGCGGTGGAGGATGTGGGTTCCACAGCACGCCGTTAGAATGAAAAATGAACTAAAGAGGACATTCAACTAAGCCTTTGGTGCTTTTGGGGCTGATTGCACAAATTTGGCGGCGCACTTACAGCCGTCCGCCCTGAGTCTATTGTGGCTGCAGTAGTTGACCAGCTCCAGGTGTAGTTTGGCTGAAGTGTGTTTCCAAAAGAGTTAATGCATTGACTCCTCATTCATTCAAGTAACTTTACTTCAACTTTCACATGGCTCCGTGGAAATAGCTCTGGTGTGGACTGTCTGGTGCACACTGGGGTACTCTTGCACAGTTATTCCAATGTGGGTTTACTGCAAATGACAAATAAACTGAGGTTGAATTTAGATTAGGGCTGTCAAACGATTAAATTTTTTTATTTGATTAATTGCACAGAAATGGTGAGTTAACTTACGATTAATCGCATTTTTAACATTCTATTTCTAATCCACTCCAATTGAAGTTAAATGAGATTATCAAATATAATGACACATTGTCATTCAGACCAAATGTACTTAAATCTATTTGATTTGCTCACAACCTCTTGCATTTGGGCACAACCAAAATGAGCTGTTAATAAAAGGGGGAAATTTACGTACCCCAGCTTTAATTCAGCGTTTCAGTTTAGTTTATTTTCCGGAGGAGACAGGGACACTTTAGCGGTGTATTTGCGTGCACAGGTTACGCACAGGTTGCAAACACGAACACAGCATGCAGACAATAGTTTTGTGGCTTGTATGGTCTTATATGACCATGTTACCGCGGCGCCATTCGCTTACAGCCGCTCAGTCGTGTTGTTGTGAGCGGCTCACAGCCAGAGCGGCCACGGAGGAGGCGGACTTCAGTTCACAGCAAACAACAGCCCCTCTGTCACGCGCGTATTCTTTTAAAACTTGAATTCCCAGAGTTTCTTCCTGCTCTGATGTATCTCACACGCTGCATTCTGAGTGATATTATGGATAAATGGGCGGGTCATCCGGACATGCGTTAAAAAAAAAAAATAACGCATTAACGGGTTAATGAAAAATGTAATTAACGTGAGTTAACGCGATAATTTTGACAGCCCTGATTTAGATGTAAAGCACTGAGCGGCCCTTGTCCAGTTCACAAACTAAACTAGATAAAGTAGGTTATTGTAGCCTCAAGACTAAAATGACTTTGTGTTGGTTTGAAGCTGCCGTCGAAGCAGAAGGTGCTGGTGATGGAGTACTGCCCTGGAGGGAGCCTGCTTAGCGTGCTGGAGGACCCTGAGAACGCCTTTGGTTTGGATGAAGCTGAGTTCCTCACTGTGCTGCAGTGTGTCGGTCAGTGAGCCCTGTTCACCTGTTTGTACACAGTTCATCATGAGGCTCTGGTCTCAGTCTCCCTCTGGTCTCAGTCTTCCTCTGGTCTCAGTCTCCCTCTGGTCTCAGGCTTCCTCTGGTCTCAGTCTCCCTCTGGTCTCAGGCTTCCTCTGGTCTCAGTCTCCCTCTGGTCTCAGGCTTCCTCTGGTCTCAGTCCTCCTCTGGTCTCAGTCCTCTTCTGGTCTCAGTCTCCCTCTGGTCTCAGGCTTCCTCTGGTCTCAGTCCTCTTCTGGTCCCAGTCTCCCTCTGGTCTTAGTCTCCCTCTGGTCTTAGTCTCCCTCTGGTCTCAGTCTCCCTCTGGTCTCAGTCTCCCTCTGGTCTCAGTCTCCCTCTGGTCTCAGTCTCCCTCTCGTCTCAGTCTTCCTCTGGTCTCAGTCTTCCTCTGGTCTCAGTCTCCCTCTGGTCTCAGTCTCCCTCTGGTCTCAGTCTCCCTCTGGTCTCAGTCTCCCTCTGGTCTCAGTCTTCCTCTGGTCTCAGGCTTCCTTTGGTCTCAGTCTTCCTCTGGTCTCAGTCTCCCTCTGGTCTCAGTCTTCCTCTGGTCTCAGTCTTCCTCTGGCCTCAGTCTTCCTCTGGTCTCAGTCCTCCTCTGGTCTCAGTCCTCTTCTGGTCTCAGTCTCCCTCTGGTCTCAGTCTTCCTCTGGTCTCAGTCTTCCTCTGGTCTCAGTCTTCCTCTGGTCTCAGTCTCCCTCTGGTCTCAGTCTCCCTCTGGTCTCAGTCTTCCTCTGGTCTCAGGCTTCCTTTGGTCTCAGGCTTCCTTTGGTCTCAGTCTTCCTCTGGTCTCAGTCTTCCTCTGGTCTCAGTCTTCCTCTGGTCTCAGTCCAGGGCATGAACCACCTGCGGGAGAACGGCGTGGTGCACCGGGACATAAAGCCGGGGAACATCATCCGTCAGGTGGGAGACGACGGCCGCTCCGTTTACAAACTCACAGACTTCGGAGCAGCGCGAGAACTCGAGGACAACGAGAAATTCATGTCCATTTACGGCACAGAGGAATATCTGGTGAGAGCAGCTTTATCTGTTTACACCAAATCCAAGATGTCTGCCCTTATGAGTGAATGAAGAACAATAACTAAGCCAAAGCAGATCACGGCCTGTGCTTATTGGTGCACGCTCTCACTGTGGAGGCTGAATCATTATCATTATTGTGAAAACCTTGAGGTAAACTGTCTGCTCTGGGTGAATTAGTGAGAAAGTTACTGATTGAAACAAGTTGGAGATTTAATTTCAAACCTGCACAAATGCGATTTCACATATTGCTTTGTCTTGTCTATAGTAATTAAATACCAAAAATAACGGCGTAAAATACTGTCCTCCTCTCCAGAAAAAGAGCAGGTCTCTCTCTAGTGGATATTAAGAAGAACTACACTATGGACGACCTTAAAATATTGGAAGAAGTAGATAAAGTGACATTAACGTGCTGCTAACATGTACACATGTAAACACACAACTACATATTGCTTGCACTAGAACACACAGTACTTTATACTTGCTTCTTAAATGCCAAATGTAGAGATTTTACACTTGTTTCTTTGATGCTAGAGTTAGATATTGTATTTTATTTGAATTAGTATAGAGTTATTGTTCATTTATCTTGTGCTGTGTGCTCCTCATTCCTACTTTTATTATCTTTAATAACATTGGGTAACAAAAAAACGAATTAGACTAATTTTGATGCTCTGAGTCCGAACATGACCTTGGTTTTGCTCAATCAGGTCACAATTTTTTGCTACAGAAATATTTTTTTAAATCGATTTTGCGTAAAAAACTAATTTCTGCGGATCATCAGCTGAGAAACCCTTGACGTTTTTTCCATTTTCAAGAAATAAAAGTCAACGTATCCGAAGTCATTCCGTTTTTATTTACTCCATCAAATTTGATAAGCAGACTTTATTATAATGTAGACGTACATAATCCGTAACACTATGGCTGTATCTCAAAAAGTTGACCTGATAGAGCAAAATGCATGTGATATTCGGACTCAGAACACCAACATTAGTCTAAATCAGTTGAGAAACCCCTGACCATTTTTTGGCTGTCAACTTGTGTAATAGATCCTGTTTGATGTGTGCATAACCTGAGTGCTCTTATTGTAACGTGCACAACTTTGGCATTCAAATTTAAGTAACGGTTAAATAATGGTTTATCTTTTATCTAAACGCGCGTCTCTGTGCAGCACCCGGACATGTACGAGCGCGCCGTCCTCCGAAAGCCTCATCAGAAATCCTACGGCGTGAACGTGGATCTGTGGAGCATCGGCGTCACCTTCTACCACGCCGCCACCGGGACCCTGCCCTTCATGCCCTTTGGAGGCCCACGCAGGAACAAGCCCACGATGTGCGCACAGACAGGAAGTAGATATGTACTTTAGTGAAACATCAACAAATACTTAAGCGAAATGTAGGATTGACAGGTAAAAGTGTGGATGAGCTGTGTATGTGTGCGTGTGTATATGTGTGTATTTACAGTGCCTTGCAAAAGTGTTCGCCCCCTTGAACCTTTCAACATTTCGCCACATTTCAGGCTTCAAACATAAAGATATAAAAAAAATATTTTTTGTCATGAATCAACAACAAGTGGGACACAATCGTGAAGTGGAACGAAATGTATTGGATTATTTAAACTTTTTTAACAAATAAAAAACTGAAAAGTGGGGCGTGCAATATTATTCGGCCCCTTTACTTTCAGTGCAGCAAACTCAGTCCAGAAGTTCAGTGAGGATCTTTGAATGATCCAATGTTGTCCTAAATGACTGATGATGATAAATAGAATGCACCTGTGTGTAATCAAGTCTCCGTATAAATGCACCTGCTCTTTGATAGTCTCAGGGTTCTGTTTAAAGCGCAGAGAGAACCATGAAGACAAAGGAACACACCAGGCAGGTCCGAGATACTGTTGTGGAGAAGTTTAAAGCCGGATTTGGATTTCCCAAGCTTTAAACATCTCAAGGAGCACTGTGCAAGCAATTATATTGAAATGGAAGGAGTATCAGACCACTGCAAATCTACCAAGACCCGGCCGTCCCTCCAAACTTTCATCTCAAACAAGGAGAAAACTGATCAGAGATGCAGCCAAGAGGCCCATGATCACTCTGGATGAACTGCAGATAACTACAGCTGAGGTGGGAGAGTCTGTCCATAGGACAACAATCAGTCGTGCACTGCACAAATCTGGCCTTTATGGAAGAGTGGCAAGAAGAAAGCCATTTCTCAAAGATATCCATAAAAAGTCTTGTTTAAAGTTTGCCACAAGCCACCTGGGAGACACACCAAACATGTGGAAGAAGGTGCTCTGGTCAGATGAAACCAAAATCGAACTTTTTGGCCACAATGCAAAACGATATGTTTGGCGTAAAAGCAACACAGCTCATCACCCTGAACATACCATCCCCACTGTCAAACATGGTGGTGGCAGCATCATGCTTTGGGCCTGCTTTTCTTCAGCAGGGACAGGGAAGATGGCTAAAATTGATGGGAAGATGGATGGAGCCAAATACAGGACCATTCTGGAAGAAAACCTGTTGGAGTCTGCAAAAGATCTGAGACTGGGACGGAGATTTATCTTCCAACAGGACAATGATCCAAAACATAAAGCCAAATCTACAATGGAATGGTTCACAAATAGACGTATCCAGGTGTTAGAATGGCCAAGTCAAAGTCCAGACCTGAATCCAATCGAGAATCTGTGGAAAGAGCTGAAGACTGCTGTTCACAAACGCTCTCCATCCAACCTCACTGAGCTCGAGCTGTTTTGCAAGGACGAATGGGCAAGAATTCCAGTCTCTCGATGTGCAAAACTGATAGAGACATACCCCAAGCGACTTGCAGCTGTAATTGCAGCAAAAGGTGGCGCTACAAAGTATTAGCGCAAGGGGGCCGAATAATATTGCACGCCCATTTTTCAGTTTTTTATTTGTTAAAAAAGTTTAAATTATCCAATACATTTCGTTCCACTTCACAATTGTGTCCCACTTGTTGTTGATTCTTGACAAAAAGTTCAATTTTTATTAGGGCTGTCAAACGATTAATTTTTTTAATCTAGTTAATTACAGCTTAAAAATGTATTAATCGTAATTAATCACATTTCAAACTATTGGCAAAAGTATGCCATATTTTTCTGTAAATTGTTGTTTGAATGGAAAGATAAATGACAGCTTAGTGAACAACTGTATTTGTTTGTTATAACAATAAATCCATATAAAATGGAATTACTGTAACATTATTAACATTTTGTCTTTCTGTTTAGACTCAGACCAAAACCATTGTTTGTTACAGATGAGGGACATTTCAAAACAGTCTGAAGCAGAATGTCATTAAATCTGTTGCTCACACCATTACTTTTTTGGCACAACTAACATGAACTGGTAGTCGAATGGAAAATTAGGTACCTCAGCTTTAATTTAGCGAGTGCGCTTTGGGAGAAGACACGGAGGAGACTGAGGCTCCGCAGTCCAGCTTCAGCGCTGTACATATTGTGTGCATCGGTTACACAAAGACACGTACGCACACGAGAGAATAGTTCTGTAATAGTTCTGTGCGTGGTCTTGGATATGATCCCATTACGCAGCGCCGTTCGCCGTGATCACAGCCGCTGGAAGTGGGAACGGTCCAGAGCGCTGTGGCGCCCGCAGCTCATCATGCAGAGTTCATACAGGAAACAACAAGTGCCCCGCGGTCATGCGTGTATTCTTTCAAAACTTGAATTCCCAGAGGGCCTACCTGCTCTGTCTCCATCTTACACACGCGCATGTGTCCGCGGCATTCTGAGTGTTATTATGGGATGCATGGGCATGCGTCAAATGCGTAAATTTTTTTAACGCGATTAATGAAAAAAATGAATTAACGTGCATTAACGCGATAATTTTGACAGCCCTAATTTTTATATCTTTATGTTTGAAGCCTGAAATGTGGCAAAATGTTGAAAGGTTCAAGGGGGCCGAATACTTTCGCAAGGCACTGTAAATCAGGCCGTTTCGCTTCCTCTGGAGAATGAAAGAGAAAGATTGCTCTCTAACTGAGGGAATTAATGATAAACTACTACTGCAGGTGTATGAAGGCCAAATAGCTGTAATCAGGTTTAAGTAAGTAATGTTTATTTATATAGCGCCTTTCACAGACTAGAGTCACAAAGCACTTTACAATTGTTTTTTTTAGCCATTTGGTCTCACTCCACACAGAGATGGGAGTGAGGTCGCCGGTACAGGAGGCTCATGCCAGACCTATTGTACATGTTTTTCGTGGTAGGGGAAACCGGAGTCCCTGGAGGAAACCTACACATAGCAAACTCCACTCAGAAAGGCCCCGTTCCGACCCAGGACCTTCTTGCTGAGAAGCGAGACTGTTAACCACTCGCCCAAACTCTTTTACGCTGAATAGTTATATGTTTAAAGGAGATATTTCATGCTAAATAGTCTTTTTTGAGCTTTAAACATGGGGCACCTCACAGTCACATCAATGAATCATTCACGATCATGTGTTTTGGTGATTTCAGGTACAAAATCACCACCGAGAAGCCGACAGGAGCCATCGCTGGAATGCAGAGAGCAGACGGAGGAGCCATCGATTGGAGCTACAAGCTTCCACACAGCTGCAGACTCTCACAGTATGTTTTATTCTCATTATCACATTTATTTATTCTATTTATTTATGAGTTTATTTGAATAGGGACAGTACACATTATCAACATTGCTGTAAATGTGTCAGTACTAGCAAACAGCTCGTTTCCAACTGTAGTCCCGAGGCAAGGTGCAAAATGCCATCAAAGTACACTGCAATCATTACAATATAAAAATAATTACTTAAAGCATTGCAATTTAAAACATAAATTAAAATATAAAAATATGGTATGAACTTTAGTAAGTAAGTAATCTTTATTTATATAGCACATTTCACAGACCAAAGACACACAAAGCGCTTTACTGTGTTCAGACTAATCAGACCTATTATACATGCTCTTAACGGTAGTGGAAACCGGAGCACCTGGAGGAAACCTACACAGGGAGTTCATGCAAACTCTACACAGAAAATCCTAGAGGTTGCCATCTTTGATAATATTGTCAAAATTAATATGGTATGATTTTATATTTTTACAGTGTACAAGTAACATTAGGCAAAAGGAGAGATTTTTGTACCAGGTTGTAGCAACAGTGCTTATTCAACAGTCCCTGAGCAGTATCAAATTTTGCTCAATTCTGACTACCTTGAAACCAGATTTGCCAATGGAACAAGGAACAATTTCTTGTTTTATAAAGATCCAAAAAATGTCTCCCTTGGAATGAGAAAATAAAGCAACAGAAAATAAAACTAAATGGATTTGTCCCACTGGCTAATCTTGTTAGCCAGAATGTACTCAAAAGTTAAGGTAAAAAAAACTCCATCTTGATTCAATCAATTATTACCTCATATTTATGTATTTTTAGCCATGTATAATGTTACCAAGATAGAAAAAATTCTTAATCTCTTAACATATTATTTGCATTATTAAAATACCGGATGGTGCTGTGTGTCCAGGGGTCTGCGGGTGCTGCTGGTTCCGGTCTTGGCCGGAGTGTTGGAGGCGGATCAGGACAAGTGCTGGGGCTTTGACCAGTTCTTTGCCGCGACCACAAACATCCTGCAGAGACTCCCCGTGCACCTGTTCTCTCTGCAGCAGGCCTCCGAGCACTGCATCTACGTGCACCACTACAGCGCGTACGTACAGCACCAGCCCCTCACTCAATCTGATTAAAATTACGGTCTGTCAGTTAGGGACCCCTGTTCTAGTACAAGACATACAGTATATAGTTGTATGTTTACATCTGTACATGTGGCCTGGGGAACTAAAGTGGCCCTGTCACTAAAAGGTTTGGACACCACTGCTCTATAATGTTTTTTACATATTTTTCTATTCTATATTCTTAACACATTTCGATTATTGATTTTAGCAGTTCTCTATCTCTTATAAAGATTCCAGGCTCCACTTACTGCCTCTTTCACATCAAATACAAGAATTCATACTATATTTATGAACAATGTAGTACCACGGTACTTAAGCTAAAATGCAGCAGAACCTGTAAATATTATTACCTAGTTGTTAGCAGTAAGAAGCCACAGCTGTTGTGTTTGTTTGTGTATTTTACAGTGTGATAATGTGAATGGTGCTTTTGTTGTGTTTGTGTATTTTACAGTGTGATAATGTGAATGGTGCTTGTGTGTTGTGTTTGTGTATTTTACAGTGTGATAATGTGAATGGTGCCTGTGTGTTGTGTTTGTGTATTTTACAGTGTGATAATGTGAATGGTGCTTGTGTGTTGTGTTTGTGTATTTTACAGTGTGATAATGTGAATGGTGCCTGTGTGTTGTGTTTGTTTGTGTATTTTACAGTGTGATAATGTGAATGGTGCCTGTGTGTTGTGTTTGTGTATTTTACAGTGTGATAATGTGAATGGTGCTTGTGTGTTGTGTTTGTGTATTTTACAGTGTGATAATGTGAATGGTGCCTGTGTGTTGTGTTTGTTTGTGTATTTTACAGTGTGATAATGTGAATGATGCCTGTGTGTTGTGTTTGTGTATTTTACAGTGTGATAATGTGAATGGTGCTTGTGTGTTGTGTTTGTGTATTTTACAGTGTGATAATGTGAATGGTGCCTGTGTGTTGTGTTTGTTTGTGTATTTTACAGTGTGATAATGTGAATGATGCCTGTGTGTTGTGTTTGTGTATTTTACAGTGTGATAATGTGAATGGTGCTTGTGTGTTGTGTTTGTGCATTTTACAGTGTGATAATGTGAATGGTGCTTGTGTGTTGTGTTTGTGTATTTTACAGTGTGATAATGTGAATGATGCCTGTGTGTTGTGTTTGTGTATTTTACAGTGTGATAATGTGAATGATGCCTGTGTGTTGTGTTTGTGTATTTTACAGTGTGATAATGTGAATGATGCCTGTGTGTTGTGTTTGTGTATTTTACAGTGTGATAATGTGAATGATGCCTGTGTGTTGTGTTTGTGTATTTTACAGTGTGATAATGTGAATGGTGCTTGTGTGTTGTGTTTGTGTATTTTACAGTGTGATAATGTGAATGGTGCTTGTGTGTTGTGTTTGTGTATTTTACAGTGTGATAATGTGAATGGTGCCTGTGTGTTGTGTTTGTTTGTGTATTTTACAGTTTGATAATGTGAATGGTGCCTGTGTGTTGTGTTTGTGTATTTTGCAGTGTGATAATGTGAATGATGCCTGTGTGTTGTGTTTGTGTATTTTACAGTGTGATAATGTGAATGATGCCTGTGTGTTGTGTTTGTTTGTGTATTTTACAGTGTGATAATGTGAATGGTGCCTGTGTGTTGTGTTTGTGTATTTTGCAGTGTGATAATGTGAATGATGCCTGTGTGTTGTGTTTGTTTGTGTATTTTACAGTGTGATAATGTGAATGGTGCCTGTGTGTTGTGTTTGTGTATTTTGCAGTGTGATAATGTGAATGATGCCTGTGTGTTGTGTTTGTGTATTTTACAGTGTGATAATGTGAATGATGCCTGTGTGTTGTGTTGTGTTTGTGTATTTTACAGTGTGATAATGTGAATGATGCCTGTGTGTTGTGTTTGTTTGTGTATTTTACAGTTTGATAATGTGAATGGTGCCTGTGTGTTGTGTTTGTGTATTTTGCAGTGTGATAATGTGAATGATGCCTGTGTGTTGTGTTTGTGTATTTTACAGTGTGATAATGTGAATGATGCCTGTGTGTTGTGTTTGTTTGTGTATTTTACAGTGTGATAATGTGAATGGTGCCTGTGTGTTGTGTTTGTGTATTTTGCAGTGTGATAATGTGAATAATGCCTGTGTGTTGTGTTTGTTTGTGTATTTTACAGTGTGATAATGTGAATGGTGCCTGTGTGTTGTGTTTGTGTATTTTGCAGTGTGATAATGTGAATGATGCCTGTGTGTTGTGTTTGTGTATTTTGCAGTGTGATAATGTGAATGATGCCTGTGTGTTGTGTTTGTTTGTGTATTTTACAGTGTGATAATGTGAATGATGCCTGTGTGTTGTGTTTGTGTATTTTACAGTGTGATAATGTGAATGATGCCTGTGTGTTGTGTTTGTGTATTTTACAGTGTGATAATGTGAATGGTGCCTGTGTGTTGTGTTTGTGTATTTTACAGTGTGATAATGTGAATGATGCCTGTGTGTTGTGTTGTGTTTGTGTATTTTACAGTGTGATAATGTGAATGGTGCCTGTGTGTTGTGTTTGTGTATTTTACAGTGTGATAATGTGAATGATGCCTGTGTGTTGTGTTGTGTTTGTGTATTTTACAGTGTGATAATGTGAATGATGCCTGTGTGTTGTGTTTGTTTGTGTATTTTACAGTGTGATAATGTGAATGGTGCTTGTGTGTTGTGTTTGTGTATTTTACAGTGTGATAATGTGAATGATGCCTGTGTGTTGTGTTGTGTTTGTGTATTTTACAGTGTGATAATGTGAATGGTGCCTGTGTGTTGTGTTTGTGTATTTTACAGTGTGATAATGTGAATGGTGCTTGTGTGTTGTGTTTGTGTATTTTACAGTGTGATAATGTGAATGGTGCTTGTGTGTTGTGTTTGTGTATTTTACAGTGTGATAATGTGAATGGTGCCTGTGTGTTGTGTTTGTTTGTGTATTTGTGTGCAGAGTCTCCGTGTTCCTGGAGGAGGTGAGCTCTCACACCGGACTCCCACAGCAGCCGCTGCTCCTTCTGCACCTGGGCCACGAGCTGCTGCTGGAGGGAAACATGAAGGTGGTCAACCTGCCCCACACGTCCCCACAGCGCCCCCTACTGCTGCTCAGCTTCAACCCCGACAGCAGCTGCAGCCTGCCGTACAGAGAGCGTAAGACAACGAATAGATCCAGGACTCAGACTGTAAAACGAGGACTGAGGCTGTGCGGTGCAGGACTGTGATCAATAACATGTGTATAATAATATGTTTTTGTCTTTTCCTCCATAGCTGAGTGTCCAATTACACCAGCCAAATTTGATGTTGTCGCAGACTACAATTTTACAAAGGTAAATTCTTGTCGATTTTGATTTTTGACAAGAAAAAGCAAAATCTCATGGCTTCAATCACTTTTTTTCCCTTCAGGTGATAGTTGGCGTTGTTCACCAATATCTCCGAATGGCCAAAATGTTGCACTTACACCGAGACCTGCTGTTACAAGGATACTACTGCTACATGTAAGACCAGTCATCAGCTTTAGTTTGGATTCATATTTGACTGTTATTTCATTGATTTGGATTTGATGTCCTCAGTATGAAGCTGCGTGGCGAGTGCAGAGAGGCCATGAACAGCATTTCAAAGATCTCCTTAAGACTTCAGTCCTGTTTTAATGTCGAGCAGAGAATCCACAATCTGTGAGTATTAAAAACCCTGTCTGCAGTTCACTTAAAAGAATATCGTTTTATCACAAATAAAAAGGGAAAAATCATGTCTATTTATTTGTATATATTCATTTATCTTAATTTTAGTGCTATTTATTATCACAAATATTTACTTATTTATTTATTTAAACAGTATTTATGAGCACCCCACTCCCCAAACTCAATACAATTAGACTTTTCACATCACAATAAAATAGTACAGAACAAGGACACAAAAACAGACTACAGATGTCCATCCTGGATCATGGAAAGATCAACAGTCATTCTCTGAACAGAATAGATCATGCAGTTAGCAATTAATTATTGAGATGAGCACCACTGAAGAGAGCGAGAGAGACCGGAAAGAGAGACTAGAGAGAGACCAGAGAGAGGGAGCAGAGAGGACTAGAAAGAGGAGACTAGAGCGAGAGAGAGACCAGAGAGAGGGAGCAGAGAGAGGAACTAGAAAGAGGAGACTAGAGAGAGAGAGACCAGAGAGAGAGAGACCAGAGAGAGAGAGACCAGAGGGAGAGAGACACCAGAGAGAGAGAGACCAGAGAGAGGGAGACCAGAGAGAGACCAGAGGGAGAGAGACCAGATGGAGAGAGACCAGAGAGAGAGAGACCAGAGAGAGGGAGACCAGTGAGGGAGACCAGAGAGAGACCGGTGAGAGAGACTAAAGAGCGGGACCAGAGGGCGAGACCAGAGGGCGAGACCAGAGGGCGAGACCAGAGGGCGAGACCAGAGGGCGAGACGAGAGGGCGAGACGAGAGGGCGAGACGAGAGGGCGAGACGAGAGGGCGAGACGAGAGGGCGAGACGAGAGGGCGAGACGAGAGGGCGAGACGAGAGGGCGAGACCAGAGGGCGAGACGAGAGGGCGAGACGAGAGGGCGAGACGAGAGGGCGAGACGAGAGGGCGAGACGAGAGGGCGAGACGAGAGGGCGAGACGAGAGGGCGAGACCAGGGAGCGAGACCAGGGAGCGAGACCAGGGAGCGAGACCAGGGAGCGAGACCAGGGAGCGAGACCAGGGAGCGAGACCAGGGAGCGAGACCAGGGAGCGAGACCAGGGAGCGAGACCAGGGAGCGAGACCAGAGAGTCTCACTGACAAAAGGACAAAAAGAGATGTTACATTTCAACAGTTAGAACAGTTTGATCTTATTATTTAATTACCCATGCATGTAGCTTTATTTAGACCAGCAGGTGATCTAAAATGGCAGTAAAGGCAGGATTAAAGCACAACAAGGCAGAGAAGAGAAGATGAGAGCAACAACTTGTTCCTGAAATTCCATTATTCATATTGGTTTCTGTGGAATAAAAATGTGGTGCCGCTTTTTAACCTCCTTTGTTTTAATCAGTGGCTCGAGTGTCGACTCCACCGACTCCAGTCAAAAGCTTCACCAGGTGAGTCCCGTGGTCAATAATGTTACTGCTATTTCAATTTTGACACGTGCCACATACGGTAAGAACGGCGACGGTAAGGTGGGAGTTTCAGAGAAACTACAAAGAATCTTTAGGCAACACAAAATCCCTGTGTATTTCAAACCTTTCAACACGTTAAGACAGAAATTAGTGCATCCCAAAGACAAAACACCCAGACACAAACAGAGCAATGTGGTGTATTCAATTAAATGTAGTGAAGAGGAGTGCACGGACCACTATATTGGAGAAACCAAACAAACTCTACAGAAACGACTTTACCAACATCGTAGAGAAAACTCTAGTGGGCCACAGTCGGCTGTTCATCTCCACCTCAAGGCCTCCAACCACACGGTGGATGACACAGAGGTTAAAATTCTGGCTCGGGAGAAGAATTGGTTTGAGAGAGGGGTGAAAGAAGCCATTTTTGTGAGGAAACAAAAACCTTCTCTTAACAGAGGAGGAGGGTTAAGATTTGTTTTGCCTCGCATCTATGACGACATCCTAAAATCAACGCCCTAACTTGGGACAAGGTCAGTGACATGCTAATGAGTTAGGAGGGGTGAAACCTGCACTCCACTTGAGCATCCCAGCAGACAATAGGTCTGTGACATGCTAAGGAGTTAGGGTCGTTAGCCTCAGCAGGGTCGTTAGACCTGCTCCCTTCTACATCAAGCAGACCGTAGATTGTTTATGAGTTAGTATCAGGATTAGGGTGTGGCTTACCACACCCATAGGTTATAAATCTCCAACGCGCGGTCCGAGAATTCATTCCCTGAAGAAATCCGCTAGGTTGAGGACGAAACGTCGGGAAAACTTGCTAAGAAGTACAGATGATGGGTGAGAAACCTTCCTTTGCTTTGACTAATCCCTGTACGACTGAGAGCTTACACAAACATATTTGGAGTTGTTTTTAGCTCCATGCGTTAAAATGTGGCAAAACATTTTAACACATTTGAATCCATCATTTTTGTGTGATTATTGAATCTCAATTAATGAGTTAAAGTCCCGGCCCTAATTTTTACATCAGCTTTTTCAGACAGAACAGTGAAAAAGAGAGAGCCACCCTCAGCTCTCAGCCCAAAGAGTCAGACAGCGACTCACAGGGATCTTTCTCCCACGTTTGCATAAGATGTAATACTTTTCTAATAAGGTTATTTTTACAAAACTCTTTCCGTTTCCATGGGATGAACATGATGTATTCACTTTTTCAAATACGTGATCCTCCATTTCTAAACACGTGTTCTTGTGTAAACGTCAGGTCCATGAACATTTGCCCATTTATTCGTCGGGGATCCAGGAGTTCCAAGACCGACTGGACCATCTGCTCATCGAACAGGCCAAGCTCTCCGAGACCCTGGACCACGACAAGAGGTGCGGACTCATTCATGCTGCTGTTGTGAAGCCTTCAGGAAGTATTTAACCCAGGCATGGGCAAAATCCAGCTCGCAAGACAATCTTTAGTGCAGGGTTGGCCAACCAGTCAGAGACTAAGAGCCAATGTTTTTATTGTGTTACAGCAAAGAGCCACATCATACAAATGTGCACTACATAAACATCACCCCAACCCTCACACACGCACGCACACGCGCACGTACGCACAAACACATGCAATCTATCTGAGCAGAGAGAGGTGTGCTCTGCTCAGATAGATGTATTGTAAATGTCATCAACATGATAATGACAGAAATTGACTCGTACAGTACTAAAGGGCTGGACTCGACTCTCCCTGGTTTGCGGGCGCTTCCACCGCTCGCTTCAGCCGCTCCCCGGTACTTTTTATTAATGGTTTGGCCCTGGTTCTAACCGGGCGAGTCGATACCAGAACAATCTCACCTCAGCGAACATCAATTATGATTCCGAAATGAATGCTTTCAATCTCTAACCAAGAAAAAAAAATCAAGTTTCAACCCAGTGTTCAGCAGAAACACAACTGTCTTTATTGAACCATGATTCACTCTGACTGCGTTTAGTTAAAGATATAGATTTGACACATAACACCAACACCACGTAAGCTGATTTAGAACCAGACACATGTTCAGTATAAGACCGGATACTTTTGCATTTGATTGAAGACAGACACTCACCAGGCAGAGTTGGCTTATCTCCTGGTGTAACGCTAGCTGGTGTTAGCTGGTTTTAGCATGTTAGCCGGTGTTAGCCGATGTCCGTAAATGTAATCCATTTGGTCAAACCACCTCCAGACTTTTCGGGTCTGCCTCTACTTCTGCTGCTGTGATCTTTCATTTCACGGTCGTCACTTTTAAGCTTTTTAATTTTTCTCTGAATTGTGATGTTCGTGGGAATCATTCTGCTCCGTCCTTAGTGCTAGCTCCACAAACACCTTCTGGTTTCTGGTGGAACCATCGAGCTCACGCTTGTGTCTTCTCCTCAAACTGAGGAAGGTGTTGCCCTCATCCAGCGACCTAGGAACTGTTTTCCGTACGGACGTCATGGGTCGAGGCTAGAGCTGCAACTAACGATTATTTTGTAATCGATTAATCTATCGATTATTTTTACGATTAATCGATTAATCGCTTGGCTGTGAATTGTGCAGAAATAAATATTTTTTCATCACAAAAAGCTAAAGTGGCAACACTCGAGGACGTATTGATGGCGTAAACTTAAAGTAAATGTTTGTAACAGGCTCTTTGTGCTAATTCTGCTATCTGATTGGATGAGACAGATTATTATAGAAATTATAAAAACAAAGTCGGTTTTAATCAAAAAGACTACATTTTCATGTCTTTTTTGCTCTGTTTGAGTCCGTGTGAACCAGAAAACGATTAATCGATTACTAAAATAGTTGTCGACTATTTCAATAATCGATTAGTCGTCGATTAATCGATTAGTTGTTTCAGCCCTAGTCGAGGCAACATGTTTGTTATGATATTTGCAACAGCTGAGGCAGCAGCTGCAGAGTGATTGACAGCGCATCTGACCAATCAGAATTGACGTTCGCCGACGTCAGATTGTTTTGGTGGCCTGGCTAGTGTAGTGAAGTCGGCCTTTACCATGGGTCAGAACTACATAGAGAATGAATGGCAGCGCCACCACCGAGGCGTTTTTGACGCTTGTCGTGTGAAAGCCCGAGAGCCGCACGGAACCAGCCAAAGAGCCGCGGGTTGGCCACCCCTGCTTTAGTGGATAGCACTCACGCTACGCAGCAAGAAGGTCCTGGGTTCTAATCGTTTCTGGTTGGAGTTTTTATGTACTCCCTGTGTCTCCGTATGTTTTCTCCTGGTGTTCCGGTTTCCTCTAGGTCAGGGGTGGCCAACCCGCGGCTCGTGAGCCGCATGCGGCTCTTTGGCTGGTTCCGTGCGGCTCTCGGGCTTTCACACGACAAGCGTCAAAAACGCCTCGGTGGTGGTGCTGCCTTTCATTCCCTATGTAGTTCTGACCCATAGTAAAGGCGGACTCCACTCCACTAGCCGGGCCGCCAAAACAATCTGACGTCGGCGAACGTCAATTCTGATTGGTCAGATGCGCTGTCAATCACTCTGCAGCCTCAGCTGTTGCAAATATCATAACAAACAACACGTTGCCTCGACCCATGACGTCCGTACGGAAAACAATTCCTTGGTCGCTGGATGAGGGCAACACCTTCCTCAGTTTGAAGAGAGGACACCAGCGTGAGCTCGATGGTTCCACCAGAAACCAGAAGGTGTTTGTGGAGCTAGCGCTAAGGACGGAGCAGAATGATTCCCACGAACATGACAATGCAGAGAAAAGTTAAAAAGCTGACAACCGTGAAATGTAAGATCACAGCAGCAGAAGTAGAGGCAAAACCGAAAAGTCTGGAGGTGGTTTGACCAAATGGATTAAATTTACGGACATCGGCTAACACCGGCTAACATGCTAAAACCAGCTAGCACCAGCTAGCGTTACACCAGGAGATTAGCCAACTCTGCCTGGTGAGTGTCTGTCTTCAATCAAATGCAAAACTATCTGGTCTTATACTGAACATGTGTCTGTGGTTCTGAATCAGCAAAAGTGGTGTTGGTGTTATGTGTCAAATCTATATCTTTTGCTAAACGCAGTCAGAGAGTGAATCATGGTTCAATAAAGACAGTTGTGTTTCTGCTGAATACTGGTTTGAAACTTGCTTTTTTCATTGCGGAATCATAATTGATGTTCGCTGACGTGATATTGTTCTGGTATCAACTCGCCCGGTTAGAACCAGGGCCAAACCATTAATAAAAAGTACCGGGGAGCGGTTAAAGCGAGCGGTGGAAGCGCCTGCAAACCGGGGAGAGTCGAGTCCAGCCCTTTAGTACTGTACGAGTCAATTTCTGTCATTATCGTGTTGATGACATTTACAATAAACCTGTCTGAGCAGCGGTGTGTGTGTGTGTGCACGCGCGTGTGTGCGTGTGTAAGGGATGGGGTGATGTTTATGTAGTGCACATTTGTATGATGTGGCTCTTTGCTGTAACACAGCAAAAAAATTGGCTCTTAGTCTGTGACTGGTTGGCCACCCCTGCTCTAGGTGCTCTGGTTTCCTCTGGGGGCTCTGGTTTCCTCTGGGGGCTCTGGTTTCCTCTGGGGGCTCTGGTTTCCTCTGGGTGCTCCGGTTTCCTCTGGGGGCTCTGGTTTCCTCTGGGGGCTCTGGTTTCCTCTGGGGGCTCTGGTTTCCTCTGGGGGCTCTGGTTTCCTCTGGGTGCTCCGGTTTCCTCTGGGGGCTCTGGTTTCCTCTGGGTGCTCCGGTTTCCTCTGGGGGCTCTGGTTTCCTCTGGGTGCTCCGGTTTCCTCTGGGGGCTCTGGTTTCCTCTGGGTGCTCCGGTTTCCTCTGGGGGCTCTGGTTTCCTCTGAGTGCTCCGGTTTCCTCTGGGTGCTCCGGTTTCCTCTGGGTGCTCCGGTTTCCTCTGGGTGCTCCGGTTTCCTCTGGGTGCTCCGGTTTCCTCTGGGTGCTCTGGTTTCCTCTGGGTGCTCCGGTTTCCTCTGGGTGCTCCGGTTTCCCCTACCACTTGCAGAATGGGTCAAATGCAGCGGACAAAGTTCCCAACGGGGATAAATAAACTGCACATTTACATTTAATTGGCATTTATCATTAACTTGAAGCATTGATTGAGCCTTTTCTCAGGAACACAACCAAATTTGACGCATCCAAATTTAAACGCAACACAATATTAGAAGTTAAATCCATCCATTCATTTTCTTCCCCTTCTTCCATTTCTAGGTCGGGGGTGGCCGTCAAAGCTGCAACCAATTCACTGCGATCTTGAATTTAAACCGTTAAATATAAAACAATGTGTTCAACTTTATTTTTGGTCCAGTTTTGGTTAAATCTAAACAATAAACACATTTTGTTTTCAGAAAAATCAACCCAAAAATAATAGCGAGACCGTTCAATAAGTAAGTAATTAAGTAAGTAATGTTTATTTATATACCGCCTTTCACAGACAAGGGTCACGAAGCGGTTTACAATTGTTATTATTTTTTTGGGCATTTGTCCTCTCACTCCACACAGAGATGGGAGCGGGGTCGCCAGTACAGGAGGCGCATGCCAGAACCTATTGAACATATTTTTAGTGGTAGGGGAAACCGGAGTATCCGGAGGAAACCTACGCAGACACGGGGAGAACATGCAAACTCCACTCAGAAAGGCCCTGATCCGACCGGGATTCGAACCCAGGACCTTCTTGCTGAGAGGCGAGAGTGCTATCCACTCAGCCACCGTGCCGCCCAATAAATAAACGTCAAAATACCTTTGAAATGTAAAAAAAGGAAAAGGAAATCCCTTCTTTTCTTTCAGCCCCAAATCAGTTCCTATTTTTATGCCCTTGACAAAAATGAGTCTAACACCCCTGAGTGTAGTACGATTAATTTCTCTGCATAATTCTCAAATATTTAAGTACTTTCGACACTTCTAAGCGCACCTGTATCCAAACCTCACCAGCTGAATCGTTGAATAAAGTACATTTTGTCACATATAGGCCTCACTTGAATATAAGCCACAGGTTTTCATGTTGTAATGTAACACTTAACCAAGAGCTGGTGGAGCAAAGCAAACCTGATATTTTGACAACAAACATGCGTCCTACTCCTATCCTTTCTAAAGTTGTCAAAATAAAGTCCATAAACCACAGCAAAATTAACAAACAAATAATAAAAAACAGTTCCCGGAGTCGGCTTCATCTGTGCTGTTCACATAAACACACCGGGAAGAAGGAATGTGTTCAACGTCATCAGCTTTGGACCTAGACTCCTTCCTGACGCACTTTTACCAAATAAAAACACATGCTGCTTGAAAACTAGTTTCCACTATTCTCTGATCTGTGTTGGAGAATTTGGTGAAGTCGGTTTTGTAGAGTCCTTCGAGATAACTACTGCTGTGATTTAGGGCTATACAATAATAAATAAATTGAATGTAAACTAATCGTTGTCTCTCTCAGTGTTCAGAGAATGGAGACGCTGCTGCAGAAGATCCTAGCGGTGCATCAACAGTACAGGAAGGACCGGATGATCGGAAGTAAGTTCATAACTGGAGAAAAATGCATCTCTATCGGTTGTTCTGTTTATAAAAAAAGTAGAAATAGTTCCCTGATTACTGGAGAATGGACGAAATGCTTTGTGGTGATAGTTCTGTATATTTTTTGAATCTGTGGAAATGACAGCGGCTGCAGTGTTTGTTGTGGTAGTTTTTGTACAGCCCTAAATTGCGATAGTAGCGATCTCAGAGGACTTTTCAAAGCTTATTATTTGCCAACACAGATCAAAGAATCAAACAGTTCAAACATAATAAAAAACACATAGAGCCATTGGTCCACAAGGGGCAGAGAGCAATGTCCATAAATGTTGATAAAGTCCATAAATGATATTGGATGATGGCACGGACTGGTGGCCTCGCTTCTGTCAGTGTGTCCCAGGGCAGCTGTGGCTACAGTAGTAGTTTATCACCACTGTGTATGGAGTGAATGAATAAGGACAAGTGAGGCGTCTTTGAGTGTCCTTTATCAAAACAAGCGTCATCATTATTATTATTATTATTATTATTATTATTATCATTATACAAAATAAATTGAATTGATTGGTCAGAGTATACTCCTGGAAGCTATAGTTTCCAAGGAATTTCTCCTGGAAATTGCTGTGCTGTGGGTAGCTTTCTAGGACACTGCACCAGATCTTATTTAGTACAAAAGAGTGTTAAAAGCAGTGGGTTAGGGTTAAAGTGGCCAAAATGACGTGCGCTGACATGCTGCAATACCACCCCGGGCCTGTGGGGGTGGACCCAGAAGAAGACTTAGCCAATGCTAACATATAGCATTGGCAGACCACTCGAAAACGTCTTTACAGGATGGTCCAAAAGTCGGCTCTTGGCCCAAAGCTCCGTTCCACATGTGTGTCAATGCTGAGTGGGGTGTTCTGGACCAGTCTAGTTTATGTCACTTTTTTCACTCGTTTAAATGAATGCAGCTGACGCATCCGTTTTTTTCACATTTTCCAGCCCCCGCGGCCATTTTGAATCACTCCATGAAAGCCCAATTTTTGGCCCATTAGTTAGAACGGCGGAGATAGTTGTGACTACGTCTGTTATTATATACAGTCTATGGTTAAAAGATGATTTAGACCCTGAGAATGTTTGTGTTTTTTCCCCATTACCCAAACGCATCCAAATGGTTTTATTGAGTGATTATTTTTTTGACAGAGCTGCCGTATAATGACGAGCAGATCCACAAGTTTGAAAAGTGAGTCTCTTCATTAGTTTCCTCCGGGTTAAACAGCTGCTCCGCTCTAATCAGCTCTGGCTCTGCTCTCCCAGAATCCACCTGGCCTCCGACATCAAGAAGGTGAAGTCTCTGTTCAGGGGCGACTGTGTTCTGAAGTACAGAGAGCTGCAGGCGGCCTCGCACACGTGGAGCAGGTGGGATCAAACAGCACGGGGAGAACATGCATCAGATCATTTATTTAGTCCCATTTATGTGGCGCAAACATAGGTGCGAAAAATTATCAATTATGAGGTAATAACTGCTTAAATCAAGTGGTTTTTATCTCAATCTGACACATTCTGACTCTGTTAAAACGAGATTCAAAATCACCATTAAAGATACAATTAAAATCACACAGGTAATTAAAAACATTAAAACCATTAAAATCACACAAAGGATTACAATAATAAATAACACGGTGCCTTAAAAAAAGATAAAAAGTGATGAAGAAGAAGTTACATGTTGCCAAATTTCAGCATTTTTTTATCGTAATTTCAGCACATTCTGACTGCCTTAAAACCAGATTTTTCAATGGGACAAACAAAATGATCTTGTTTTAAAAGAATACAAGAAACTTCTCTTGGAATGAGGAAATAAAGCAACAGTTCTTGAAATAAGGCTAAATGGTTTTGGAAATCACATTATTATCCATTCTAAAAGTGTCATACAGTATGTCATGTGGAGAGATTAAGGAAGTAGTTTTGTCTGACCCTGTGGGAAACAAAATGAGCAGCTCCACACACTTTAAATTAAAGGTATATTGGTTGTTCGTAATTTGAGATAGCTGTATAATTTTAAGTTAAATGTTGGTAACTAGGTGTTATCTGGTCAGTTTTGTACATCATAAGTTTATTGTCCTAAGTGTAAAGTTTAAATTAAATGTTATATGAATGCTTGGATTAAAAATGTTATGAAATTGTTAAAATACAATGTCCGTAATTCTTCATCAGACGTTTATGCTTCCTTCCAAGTAACAGCAAAACTTATTTACACACATACTGCATATATATTTCAAAACTTACACTTAAACGTGTAAGTTTTGGTGTGTACCGCAAAGAATTATGGGCAACATCCTTCGCCAGAGTCCGCTTAGGTGCAGGCTACGGCAAAGTGTGGATCAGGGGCGCAAAGGGGGCGGGGCCAAAGACCTCCCTGGAGAATTGGGACTGGACCCTACGCACTCGCACCCATCATCAGGGAACGCGCAAATGAGGGGCGCGAGGGTGGAAGTGCGAGTATTGGAAAACACATGAGGGCTGGGCAGACAATCAAGACAAAGAAACAGGAAGTAAAACTAAAACCGAACCAAGTGAGAACTGATTTCAAAATAAAACCAAAGTACAAAATAACACAAAATCCACACCATGAGGCCATACTGATTATTCTCAAGCTCATAATAACCATTTCTTTCTTCCCTTCCGTCCCGTCAGCGTTCTTCAGCAGATGCAGATCCGGCTGCAGGACTTCCACTCCTTTTCCTCTGGACTTTTGGGCGATCTGGAGATGTCCGAGAAGAGACAATACAAGGTCTGTGTTTTCACTCTCACAGCTCACCAAACGGGACCAATATCGTTCAACTTCATCTTCTTTATGTTTCCCAGACTTTAGACTCCTCCATTTACTCGCTCCAGTCAGAGAAGTCACTGCATCTGTCGGGAATCACACCCAAGGACAAGGACCAGATGGTGTCCAGGTTTGGGAAGTTTTCATACGAGCTATAAGCAGATGCACTGTAAAAAATGATGAAAAATAAGTCAAAAAATGCTCAACTTTGGCCAAATGTATCTTAATTTGAGCCCATATCTTAATCTTTGACTTAAAAAAGACGAAATAGGGGCAAAAAATGTCTTCCTTGGAATGAAAAAAATAATGCAACAGTTCTTGACATAAGAACTTCGTACTATCGGCAAATCTTGTTTAATACCTCATATTTTATCTTTTTTTGCAGTGTATATTGTGCTTTTGTCTAATGTATACTCACATCTACCAAAGGCAATTATTATTCCATGTTTTTTATGAATATTGAAATATCTATATTGTTGTAAACTTGAGAAGATATGACAGCTGACTGTGGTATTTAAAGTTGTAAGAAGGGGATTTTTCTGTCTTCACTGTTTTGAGAACATTTAGCTTGAGGTTAACTGTAAAAAAATGATTAATTATGAGGTAATTAATGTAAGTGGTTATTATCTTAGTTTGAGCACATTCTGACTGTGTTAAAACCTGCTTTGCCAATGGGACAAAGCCATTTAGTAGTTTTTCAAGAACTGTCGCTTTATTTTCTCATTCCAAGGGAGACATTTCTTTTATCTTTTTAAAACAAGATCATTTTGCTTTGTCCCATTGACAAATGTTGTTTTAAGGCTCAGTCAGAATGTGCTCAACTTAAGTTACATTTAGCCAAATTTTAGCTATTTTTGACTTAATTTTCTTCACTTGTTGCAGTGCTGTTACTATTTTGGTAATACACATAGATACAGTATATTTATATTCGGAGTGGACTGACCAAGTGCTGATGTCACCCATAGTGTTTGCTGTAATGAGGAAGAGGCTTAGCTAGCTCGAACAGGCTATTTCAGCTGGAGTTCATTCGAATGTTGTCGTTAGCATCTGCCGGGTTAGCGAGCGCAATAAAACACAACACAATATGAGGAGGCAAACATTCACTCACGTTAGCATGCTTACCTTAACTGTTTCCTTAACTCACTTATGAATCTACATTGACAAAAAACAGCCTCCTATAGCCCGACAACAGCCCGACTCTACCACAATAAATATTCTTACATTAGCTGCATCACTATATAGGCCTCAAAAAAGTAGCATATATACAGAAACTACTGACAATCGGCCCATTTTAAATAATCTATATATATATATATATATATTTACTAAATTATGGATTATTCGCGACTTAGCTTTTGAAGTCCAGGCTTGTCTGAAACGCCTGGACACTAGTTAAAGATTCTAGTCACCAATTGAAACGCAACTGTTCCAAAACTATTCAAATTAAGAACGGTCATAATTATTCTATATCTCCCATTTTTGCTTCTTTGGATGAATTCCCAGGATGCACCAGCTCAAGGAGGAGATGGAGATTTTGGTCCGAGAACTGCAGTGTAACAACAACATGATAGAAAGGTCTGACACTTTTAAACATTACATTTATGAACTTTTTAAACAGTGGATTAACATTTTATCTTCCAACTTTTCCTACAGTTTGGGAGCCATCAACTCCCCCGGCCCCGACGCCAGACCCTCCACTCTCTGACCACGGATGTATTTTATTATCTGGATTGGGTATTTCTGCTTTAACCTGTCTCCACATGGACTGCAGGCCATCGATGGTACTGCAGCGTAAATCTACAACGCTGTACAGATTTTCCCATAGACCTCAAAGTTTTGTGGGTATTTTTGTGTCCCTTGTCCTCCTGAACTGTTTGCCTTTTGAAATCCACCGTTTTTTTAAATAGCTCCACACATTTGTGCATCAAACTCTGCTTGCTCTCGTCCCGTTCTGATCAGCAGCGCTCTGATTGGTCAGAACGCTCACATGTTACTCTGGTCCTGCAGAAGTAGAACCACTGCACTTACTGCCCCAGACCAGGAGAACCAGAGCTGGCCAAAACACCTCACTCCTCCGAATGTTTGGGACGTCCATGGTGCGAGTGAGCACAGGCCACCGAGCTGAATGAGCAGACATCTTGGAGAGACCTGGGGCAGCCATCTTGGAGAGACCTGGGGCAGACATCTTGGAGAGACCTGGGGCAGACATCTTGGAGAGACCTGGAGCAGACATCGTGGAGAGACCTGGGGCAGACATCTTGGAGAGACCTGGGGCAGCCATCTTGGAGAGACCTGGAGCAGACATCTTGGAGAGACCTGGGGCAGACATCGTGGAGAGACCTGGGTGAGACATCTTGGAGAGACCTGGGTGAGACATCTTGGAGAGACCTGGGTGAGACATCTTGGAGAGACCTGGTGCTTGTCTCCGACCCATTATTTTGAGCTACAACAACAGACCTTGAACTTGACCAACTGTGGCTTGGGAGCCACCAGTAGCTCGTCACGCCATTTCAGGTAGCTCCCCAAAGGATTGAAGAACTTAACACATGAACCCGAATGATTCCCTTTTTAGTCATACATGTCCATTTTAACTTTTGCAGCAATACTGTACTGTACTGTATTATACATGTGTGTTCTCCATGATTGGCTGTAGTTATTATACAGACTACCATTGTATTACAAAGGCTGAAGAAGTAGCTCTCTGCCATTTCTGTTTCATAAAAGTAGCTCTGACCCCTGATTTAGAGGAAGAAAGTTGGTTTGTGAGATCCAGTTTCTACCAGTGCTTTGTAACCGCGCTCTTTAGACTTCATTTGCATCACAGGAAGCGTCGGCAAAGTCAATCGATGAAACGTGAGTTTGAAGACGCACTGGACAAAGGAGGAAATGGTTTGTTGCAACTCAATACCAACCTCATTACAGCCGCAGGCATCGCTAATGGAAGCACGGACTGATGGTCTATGGATGTATGGATGCCTTCTGAAGACATTTTTACTGTTGCTCTTTTTGGGGGAAATGTTGTCATACAAATTTTCGAATTGTCTGAGTAACTTCACATTGAAAGGAGATTTTTTCAGTAAATGGAGCCCCAACTTTTTAAACAATTGATGAAGAAGGGAAGAAGGCTGGCTCTGGGAGAATGGTCATAGCCATAAGCAGCATGATATTGACTGTGCATTGATTATGGAGTTGTGTGTTAGGTAGAAATACTCAGGAATACAAAATGAACATTTTTGAATCATGATTAAATGTATCTGAAATTACGTCTAATGATATCTAAATTCTAACATTGTAAAACTAAGTACAAATGAATTTGGTTCCTAGTTATTTCACTACATAACGTTGTGAGGCACAAATAAATCTTACGTGTATTGTGGCGCTACCTGCACGTGAAAGCCAGATCCAGTCAGACCTCTGAAACTAAGCAGGGCAGGGCCTGGTGAGTACTGTGATGGGAGATCTCTGGAGTGGGGAGGCTGAGACTGTGTCCTTAAGCAAGACACTTCACCCATATTAGAATGAGTCTAGTGTGTGTGTATGGTTTGTGATGGTCAAAGGGGCATGTACTGGTTGCCTCACTTTGGTCAGTGTGCCCCAGGGCAGCTGTGGCTACAGTAGTAGTTTATCACCACCATGTATGGAGTGAAAGAATGATGTGAAGTGTCTTTGAGTGTCCATAAAGCACTGTATAAAACAAATGTATTTTTATTATTATCTATCCTATCTTTCTATCCACCCACCCTACCTACCAACCTACCTCTCTATCTATCCCCTGATGCCACGATTCCATGTACTTTGATTTGACACGGTCTCTTGCTGTCACACCAGCTGCTTTGTGCCCGTCTTAACCTGAGGGAGCAGAAGAACAGGCCAGGGCGAGGGGCTCAGCCAGAGGAACGAACATGTACTTTCTTAGTGCAGTTGTTTGGCTTTTGGCTCTGAAGTTCAAATTAATGAGTTATTTTCATGGATCGATTATAATATTGTTATTTTTTGTCATTAGCGTTAACTGCATGCTAACAATGACCTGAATGGACTAATCTGTGGCGTGTCTTTGTATTTACTTCTGGAGGCAAAGTTGCACTACATAATTGGTATGAGCTGTTTCACCAATACCCTTAATCCATTCTATTTCATATATTGGCGACAGTAGCTCAGTAGAGCATTGGCCTTTGAGCCAGAGGGTCGTGGGTTCGAGCCTGACTTTCACCAATGACTCCCACTGTCTGCTGCCGTTGTATCCTTAGGCAAGACACTTCACCCCCATTGACTAGAATGAATCTCGTGTGTGTGTGTGAATGGTTGGTGGTGGTGGTCGGAGGGGCCGATGGCACAGACTGGTTGCCTCGCTTCTGTCAGTGTGCCCCAGGGCAGCTGTGGCTACAGTAGTAGTTTATCACCACCATGTTTGGAGGGAAAGAATAATCACATGTAAAGCGTCTTTGAGTGTCCAAAAAAGCACTATATAAAACCGATGCATTATTATTATATATTTATATATATATACACACACACACACACACACATTGTTGACCAAATCCAGCACTCTTTTTACTTTTTTTTGTGTGACAGTTCTTTAAAATCAATTTTAGACTTTATATGTACCTGAAAACCAGAGTTTCCATGGTAACCGACCCATGGTTACCATGGAAACTCTAGTTAGTGATCTAGAACATCCATATTGGGTTGCTATGGATACTATGACGTCATCTCGGCATCAGTGTGTGACAGGCCTGTGTGGCCACAGTGGCATATGGTAAGGGGTAAGGTGTGGGACTTTCACCCTGAGTGCACCATTAGGGGAAGTTATTTAGTTTTGATGGTTTAGAGTCTTTGGTCTGTTAGCAATGGGGTGTAAACAGTCGAGAGTTGTGAGAAAAGGGAGCCGCGAACAACTAGAGAAATGCAGAGAACGCAGGGCCGATATTAACCAACTTTTGCAGAGAGCGGAGCAGGACAAACTGAGGGAGCAGCCGGAAAACCGAAAAGTTGAGAAAGAGACACCGGACGGAAGGAAAGTCGCCGAGGGTCTGTTTCGAGATGGAGAGGTTTTGAGGGAACGGATGCGTACGTCCATTTGGGAAAACCAGGAGCGTATCGCTCAACTTAAAGAGTTGAAGGCGAGAGCAGAGAAGGGCGAGGTTAGTGACGACGACGAGGAAAGTGAAAACCAGCAACTTTTGCCGGAGACCTGCGGACAGGCACCGAAGGAAGGCATTCCTATCAGCGAAGTGTGTATGGCTGAAGGTACAGAGGTTAGAGGAGAAGGGTTGGAAAACTGCGCACAGACCAGTACTTTGTCTGAGGTTCCGCTCAAACCTACCGCAGCAGAGAGGGAGGCATCACTGACCGAAGGTATAGTAGAGAGGAACCGTGCGCTCGAAGCCGAGGTCCAACGCGTTGTGCTCGAACTGCACCAAACCAAACAGGCGTTTAAAGGGGAAGTCGAGTCACTTAAGACTCAAAACAGGGAATTAACGCAAGAATTGGAGGGGTATAGGTCAAAGTCAGAGGGAGAAAAGGCCCGCATGCGGACTGAACTGGAATCACTTAAATTTGATTCTCTGCGGTTCGATAGAAGTGTAGAGACAGATACATACAAATTAGAAGTAAAAAATGCACATTTATTGGATCAGTTGGAGTGCTACAAGACGGACCTCGAGGACATAAGGCGGGAATCTGGGTTGACCATCGGAATGTTTAAATGCAAGATCGACTCTCTGGAGAAATACGCTTCGAATCTGGAACAGAAACAGCAAAGTGTCCAGACAGAGGTACAGTCACTCCGAGCAGAGAACTTAGAGATGAAAGAAGCCCTAAGCTCTAACGGTAACGAACTGGTCAGGCTAAGACAGAAAGTGGATGAGACAGAGAGGCGAGAACAGTCTCTTCAAAACACGGTGAGCAGCCTTCAATCTGAAAAGAGAGATTTGTCTGAGGATCTGCTAAGAACAAAGTCTCGCTTGAATTGGATTCAAAACACAGGGTTCGACTGTGAGTAAGGAGGAACTTTGAGTCGCGACAAACCCTAACCCTCACACATTTCTGAAACTAAAACTAAACTAAAACAATTATAGCTGTAGGGAGAACAAGAGACACTCCCCTGCTCCTTTTCTGATCTAGTCTGAAAGATGGGAAATGAAAACTTGTGTGATCCTCGTCCTACAGAGAAAAGTTACTGATGACTCCAGTCTTTCAAGTCTTTGGTCGGTAGCAGCTGTAGCTTTTGAATCACCAGCTGAAATGACCTGGAACTCATGAGAATATGGCCTTTTGACTTGGGTTGAGGGGGATCTTCTACTTTCAGTGCTACTTCCGTCTTTACATGTGTTATGGCGAGGCAGGCCAAGGTTAGAGAGAGGGTAAAGATGATAGGAGCAGGGACTTTAGTTCAGGTTGGGGGTTGAGGGAAGGGTTTTGTGGCTATTCTCTAAAATGCAAAGATTTTAGGGAGAGGCCCAAACCCCTGACCATGACCTCACCATCACTAGGTTAACTGTTCTTCACCTGAACCCTTGGCTGACCCTGATCCTAAATCTAAATCACAAATGGAAAGAAAAGAAAGAGCTTTGAATGATATTTCCCTGAGCTCGGGATGAAAAGCCAGGATTCCACAGATTCCCAACGGTTTCTCTGGGGAGACTGAGCAGGATCACTGCAGTTCATTTTCCAGATCTCAGACCAAGATGTTTCTGCGCCGGAAGTTCCAGGCCAAGTTTTAGTCTTTTGGTCTCAGTCTTTAACTAACTCTCACTAGCTCACTTTTCTTTTCAGTGGTTAGCACTCTCGCTTCTCAGCAAGAAGGCTCTCGGTTCGAATCCCGGTGTTTGTACCGCTTGTCGAGTGGTGCTGCCTCAGCTGTTTTTGACAATAAATCATAAACAGCTGAGCCAGCACAAACCGACAGAACACCTGTCGAAACAGGGTCTTTCTGAGTGGAGTTTGCATGTTCTCTCTGTGCCTGCGTAGGTTTCCTCCGGGTGCTCCGGTTTCCCCTACCGCAAAAAACATGAGCATTAGGTAAATCTTCCAGGAATCCGACGGCAGAGATTTGGACTGAAGCTGCTGATGACAAATGGCTGATGATTATTTGGATTAAACCTCAGTGGAAGATTATTGGATTTCAATACATTGGAAAACAAAAAATATTTTTGTTTCATTGTTTTATTCTGTTTCTATATTTTACTATCTCTAGGGAGCAGCACCAGCTCACACTCACACATGTGAAAAACTAAATTCCTGTTTGTCAACGTGCACTGACTCATTTCTTTTATTGTTTTAGATCAATGTTTAAATATCAAATGTAAAAAACAAATCAATTCAAGGTGTGACGTACAGAGCATCACCTCAAAGTAGACAACAGCACATTACTGTTTTTATTAACCTGAAAATAAGTTCTCAAAAAATCTTTAATTATTTTAGCGATTCTATCAACTTTCTATTATGAGATGTTTCTGCGGAAGTGGAAAATGTTGAATATTTAACAAAAATGGCTAAACATCCTCGTAACATACGCATTATTAAATGAGGATTAAATCTATCAAAGTAAAATGTCCAGTGTTTTTTCCTGCACTGACGTCATGATAACAACACTCTGAAAACACAGGAGACGCTTATTCTTCTCTTGTCTCTGTCTCTGGTCTCTCTCGTCACTCTCTCTAATCTCTCTGGTCTCTTTCTGGTCTCTCTCTTCTCTATCTCTCTAGACTCTTTCTGGTCTCTTTTCTCTATCTCTCTAGTCTCTTTCTGGTCTCTCTCTAGTCCAATCTATCTTTGTGGTCTCTCTCTCATCTTCAAAGGCTCTATCTAAACGTCCTAATAACACGTGTATCATTCACATGCACATCACCTACAGATTAAAATGAGGATTAAAGCTATCAAAGTCCAATGTCCAGAGTTCTTTCCTGCACTGACGTCATAATAACATTATGACAACAAAGGAGGTGCTTATTTTGCTGCTGATTCAGAATAAAACAAATATAAACATGGGGGATTGGGCAAAGTGTACATATAGGCTGATCTTTCACTATTAGTCCTGACCAGATTAAGATTAAAATTACAAGAGCCTTTATTTGTCCTACAGTGAGGTAATTTCAAAGTTACCATGCAGTAGGAAAAATAAGTGAATATTAAAGGTGCATTGCGTAAGTGGCAGAGTTTTTGCATTAGTTTGCCCCCTTCTGGCGTTTTATGTAATTAATAGTTACCTAATGTAACTTAAGTTCTACGAATAGGTGCGTAGTCCCTTAGGACTTCGCTAGTGGGATATCACTCGTGCGCCCCAGGTCACACGCCAGAGAGATCAAAATAATTTGCTCCAATCACCAGCCACCCTCCTCTTGATTTATATTAAGAGGTACATTTGCACTATATATCAGTATTGTGGGTCATTCACAAGGTGCGCCAGACATTACTGTAGCCTCCCGTGTAATAACACGAAAAACTCGTCAAACTCGTCATGGGCAGTGAGCGTTACTATTCAATATGACGAGTTTTGTCGTCATGGGCAGTGAATGAGTTAATGAGCTCCCTGTTTGTCAGGGGGCGGAGCCATAATTACTTTTTTTTCATGTTTTGACTTGAGGAACATGTGTACCGAATTTCGTGGCTTTACGACAAACTTGACCTCCGACCTGCTCCCATAGGCGCAATGTAAACTGACTTTTGTAGGGGGCGCTGTTCGGGCATTTTTTTAGTCCCATAAAAATAAACACACAAAAAAAAAATTTTTTGCCGGTTCTGAATTTTGGTCAAAATTTCACAACTTTTCATCAATGTCCAGGGGGTCAAATTAAGGTTCAAAGTGCAGAAGAAAAAATAAAGAAACCAAACCAAAAATCTTTTAAATCTTCGAGCAAAAACAATATAGGTTTCCATAGTAACCTATAACACAAATGATACGTCGTTTTAAAGCGAACGACCAGACGAACGCAACTATTGGGTTCTCGGTGATTGAGGAGCTCTGATGCACTCGTCAATCACCTCGCCATCATGAGGTCACCCACCCCCCCCATAGGACCCCATTCATTCGTCCGTAAGACAGTTGAAAGAACCCACCTTTAATAGGACCTCAATAATTTCACTGTGTACTACCGTAGGAGCAAAGCCATTCAGTGCTTGGGCACGTGCCGTCGCGTGCAGGTCACAATTGTGACTTATGACAGATTGTGGCTTTGCCCAGGCATTACTCGTTGGAAAAGCAATAGACCCTTACCCCAGTTGGGGCTCGGGCCTAAAAATAAATAAACCAAACCAAGGATTTTTTTTTTTTAAATGGCGAACGCAACTATTGGGTTCTTGGTGATTGACGCCATCATGAGGTCACCCACCCCCTCCATAGGACCCCATTCATTACACTGTGTACTACAGCAGGAGCAGGGACGAAGACAGTTGAAAGAACCCCCCTTAGTAGTTTAACTTACAAACTACAGACCGATCTCGAACCTCACTTTTATATCTAAAATCCTGGAAAAACTTATAGCTGAGCAGCTCCGCTGCCACCTGCAGGAAAATGATATGTTTGAAGTCTTTCAATCAGGATTCAGAGCTCATCATAGCACTGAAACGGCACTAGTCAAAGTCACAAATGACTTACTACTAGCTGCCGATAATGGACAAGTGTCAGTGCTGGTCCTACTGGACCTTAGTGCTGCATTTGACACAATAGACCACAGCATTCTACTGCAGAGGCTAGAATGTGATATAGGTCTTAGAGGAACAGCCCTTGGCTGGTTTAAATCCTATTTATCAGATCGATATCACTTCGTCAATGTGAATCAGGACTCGTCGCCTTATTCTGGAGTGGAATTCGGTGTGCCGCAGGGTTCGGTACTCGGACCGATTCTTTTTACTCTCTACATGCTGCCATTAGGAAACATTGTTAAAAAGCATGGAATTAATTTCCACTGCTATGCAGATGACACACAGCTTTATCTGTCGATGAAGCCTAATCAGACAGATCAGCTAGAAAAGCTCAGTGCCTGCATAAAGGACCTTAAAATGTGGATGACTCTTAACTTCCTACTTCTCAACCCGGAGAAGACAGAAGTGATCCTACTCGGTCCGAAGCGCCTGCGTGACTCCCTCACTAACCAGATGGTTACTCTCGATAATGTCAGTATAATACCCAGTAACACTGTGAGGAATCTTGGAGTCATTTTTGACCAAGAACTCTCCTTCAAGGCTTATATAAGCCAAGCAACTAAAACGGCGTACTTCCACTTACGGAACATCGCTAAAATTAGGAATTTCCTTCCTAAAAGTGACGCGGAAAAACTCATTCACGCGTTTGTCACCTCAAGGCTCGACTACTGTAACGCTTTACTGGCAGCGTGCCCTAAAGCCTCTTTGAAGAGCTTCCAGCTCGTTCAGAATACAGCAGCTAGGATCTTAACAGGTACCAAAAGGAGGGAGCACATAACTCCGGTGTTAAAATCACTCCACTGGCTCCCTGTGGAGTACAGAATAAAGTTTAAAATCCTACTCTTAACATATAAAGCCATAAATGGCTTGGCTCCTTCTTATCTCCAAGACACGTTAGTGTCGTATCAACCAAGTCGAGCGTTGCGCTCACAAAACGCCAGACGTCTGGTGGTCCCTAAGGTCTCAAAGGTCACTGTTGGTGGCAGAGCATTTAGCTACCAAGCTCCTTTACTGTGGAATCAGCTTCCCATTTATGTTAAGGAAGCAGATACGGTCTCCACATTCAAGGCCAGGCTTAAAGCACTTTACTTTAATTTAGCATATAATTAGGTAATATATAATATGTAGTGTATATATTATATATATATGCTGTATTATGTTATATATTATGTTATATATTATTCAATAATGTATTGTGTTATGTTGTATATTATGTTATATATTATGCTGTATGTTATTCTTTATTCAAGGCTAGGTTTAAAACAGTCCTCTTTAGTTTAGCATATGGCTAGGAAGGTAAGACTCGGAGAAGGTTAAACTCCTCAGAGTGTTAGTCAAGCTGCATAGGGAGTCAGTTTGC